TTTTTTTTTTTTTTTTTTTTTTTTTTTTGGGGGGGGGGGGGGGCATCATGGAGGCCTTGTACAAGACAGCTCATCAGACTTCTAAGCTCAAGACAATTTTTGGCCGGTCTTGTGATAAATCTGCTGTCCTCAGAAACAGGGGCCACGGGTGTAAGTACGATACCTAGCTAGGTAGCTTCGTCGGTTCCTTCACCTCTACCAGTCGAGTTAACGTGATAATTTGCACGTGCGCATGTCGAGGCAGATGACGTTGGCAGCAGAACACCCAATGCTCAGCTTCTACTTGATACCCAATTACAAGTTCCTTTATATGCCAATCTTGTGCAGTATATATCAACCATCATGTAAGAACACTAACGCCATCTATCCCCCCTCCACCCCCTTTTGGAAAAAACAAAACAAAACAAAACATAAAAACAAGGAGAAACACCACTAATCCTCAAAAACGACTGTTCAATCTAAACCGACAAGAAAGAGAAGGAGCGAAATACTGCTGCCAAGAGGTCAGTAGTTAAAAACCATCAAGCTGGGATTCAAGACGAGCGGCACGAGAGCGTGAAATCCCAAGTTCAGGGCCAGCGGCACAATGACGGAAAAGTCGGTAATAGCCCAGTCCGGGGGCGCAAACGCGCCCAAGTACACCATTGCGGCAGTGAGGAGCCCGACCACCAAATACATGTACTTGAAGGTGCGGAAGATACGCGGCATCTCCTGGAAGAAGTTGCTGTCCTCCTTCTCCTTGGACGTCGCGCCCCACTGCATGTCCACGTGGAAGAGGTGAGCGAGAATGGCGTTTGAGATGTGGAAAGAGATACCGCCGAAGAAGACGGTCATCATGGGCATCCACTTGAAGTTCTCGACAAGGGCCTCGAGCAGGGGCTTCTCGGCGGTGCGATAGCGCACGATGGCGAGGGCGATGGGACCCGAGGCGTTAAAGACGACAATGAGGGAGAGCAACACGTTCCACGAGGTGAGGTAGCTCACGGCCAGGTCGTCGCGAAACCAGCCGACGAGGAAGTAGTTGAGCGTGGTGAGGAACATGGCCGACCCCAGCGCGTAGTAGGAGCACATGTAGGACAGAATGGAGATTTTGGACGACAGCATAATGTTGGACGTGATGTAAGTGTAGAAGAGCGGCGTGAAGGGCCCCTTGTAGATCCAGCGGTGGAGTGGGTGGAAGATCATCTCGTTGACGCCATAGGCATACTTTTGCCAGCGGGCAATTTCGTCGTAGATGGTGAGCGAGACGCCCTCTTTGAATTCGTTGTCGTGGTAGTCGGCCACGCGGATGATGTTGCCCTTCATCTGGAGGCGGAGCGCAATGTCAAAGTCTTCTGAGACGTGACTCTCGGACCAGTACGGCACGTAGCCGTCTTGTTCGGGCACGCCGACGTCCTGAACGGCTGCGAGAGGAAATTCAGTCAGCATGATGTTCTCACGATGTACCTGGCATCTTCTCCCTTTCTTTCTCTCTTCATGTCTCTCACCTTGCCAGCGGAGAAAAGCGTTGTGCCCAACAAAGGGGGCCACCTCGCCGGACCCAATGGAGAAGCGAATGGAAGAGTAAATGAGGTTGGTGAAGTAGGTGATTCCATTCTCAAAGTAATCGTGCGTGACTTGCATGACGCCGGTGGAATGTTGGACAATGGCCGCCTCGGGGGAGAGGAACATCTCGGCAGCACCATACAAAAGAGAGTCCTCTGGCTATTATCAAATGTTAGTCCATGACTAGAATAGAAAAGGGATTCCGGAACAGAAAAAAAAAAAAGATGTAAAGGCAAGGCCTACCACTCGGGTATCTGAGTCTACAATGAGAATCATTTCCCCGACGCGAATATCACCGTCGGCCCAAGCCAGCGGGTTCTCTTCCAACACGCGCGCCAAAGCAGCCTGATACATGTCTTCCTCCTCGGCATCCGTAACAAGGTCCGTCTCCTTGTCCGCCAGCTTCGCATCCGCAAGGTCCTGCATGTATGCCTCGACCTTTTGCGAGATGTTGAGCGCAAAGTTCATATTGGAGGCCTTTTTAAATTTGCCCTTTCTCACGAAGCCCTCGTCCCCGTTATGCTTGGGACGGGCGACCCAGCCGATCCCGTTGTCGGCGTAAAAGTCCTTGCGGGCGCGGACCTCGTCGTCGGTCAGGCCGGCGCGCAGGCCGTCGTCGTTGATGAAGATGTTGGCGGACCCACCGTGGGACTCGTAGTACGACATGGCAGCCTGCAGGCTGCGCACGGTCGGGACGATGACGGACTCCATGCCCTCCTTATAGACGGGCATCTGGATGGTGACCTTGGGGGGCAGGAAGCCGTCGGCGTAGGCGCGTCTCAGACACGGCTTGTGGGCGGAAAAGTAGCGCGAGTTGGTGGTGACGCCTCCGATGGGCCCAATCATCTGGAAGATGTTGGTGAAGATGACCTGGAAGAAGAACAGAGAGACGCACATGAGCAGGGGCACGGGGAAGATGAGCGCCAGCCTGGTCCAGTCGTTAGCGAGGATGCACTCCGTCACCAGCTTGCCGATGTAGACGCCGCACAGGAGGCAGAGGGACAGGCACATGGCGCAGCCGATGAAGACGGCCGACGGGCGCGCGACGGGCCTCGCGACGGACTCGGGCCGCTCCATGGCGGCGTTCTTGTCCGAAAAGTCGTCGCTGCTGTTGGTGCGCGTCAGGAGACCCGGCGTCGTGATGCCCGCGGCTGGCGTCGCCGTTCCCATGGGGCTGGATATGCCGGAGCCGTACAAGATGGACGGGGCGCGGCTGGGCACGTGCAGGATGTTGGCCGGCAGTCTTGCTTCTCCCCATACCTGCCGTCAGAAAGATTAGTCCCTCGGCCGTGTCTTGTACCCGCACGTTGCTGTTTGGCAAGGAGGGGAGTCTCATACCCAGGCAAGAAGCCTCTCCTCTACATGAGTGGCCTGAGGGACAATGTTGGCCAGGTCATCGTGCCAGACGAGAATCAGGCGCTCCTGTCTAAAGACGCAGGCGTACTGGAACTTCTTGACGGTGGCAGGCTGCGCAAAGGCCAGTGAATCAAGGACCTGGATCTGAGAGCCGTCCTTGAACTTCAGATCCGTCTGGCCCGGCGTCAGCGAGGCGAGGATGCCGTAGAGCATCTGCGGGCGCATGGTGACGGCCACGTTGAGATTGAGTCGGATTACGGCGCCGAGAAGAGTAGGGTTGACTCGCTGCGAGGCAGTCATGTAGTTGCCGCGAGATCTTCGCAAGAGCACGCCGGAGCAGTCTTCCTGAGACCGGATGGACTCGGGAGGAATCCAGCCGCTGGCCACGGCTCTGTTATGCAGGTACATGACCATCTGTCGGACTGTCAGAAGGCGTCTCGCCTCGGGGGCAAAGGAACCGTGCTTGTTGGCTTACCGTTCTGAAGCGAAAGTCATCGTGATAATTGGCGTTGTAGGGGGAGTCCTGGCCGGATCTTCGGGCAGAAGAGTCGATGGAGATCGCAGAGATTGTGCAGAACGACCTGTTTCGCGGCATCGAGTCGTCAACACCGTGGGCCGAGATGGTTGCGGAAGAATCCATTTTCCCCCATGAACGGCCCTATTCTAGGGCGAGAAAGAAGCTATGGGCACGGCTTGAAAAGGAATACAAGACGAAATAAGATGTAGAACGAGACAAGAAATACAAAGAAACACACGGCGAGCAGTTTGCGAGACTCCAGGCCTTGTTAGCCAAAACGACGGGGCTGCGTCTCCGGATGGTGTCTCTTTGGGGAGATTTCGCAGAGTGTAATTTGGGAGAATTGTTCAAGCCCAAGCCCAAGCCCAATCGGTAACAACAAGCATTGTCAGCAGAAGTATCCTCGGGGACAAGAAGAAGCACTTGAATATTTCCCTCTCTGGATTCGTATGTCGGTACAGACTGGTCCCGGGCTTGATGGTCCGCCAGCTGTGCATTCGTACAACGAGACAAGCCGGGGGTGCCGACGGAGCAATATATGTCCGCAGCTCTAGGATCTAGACGAGTGGTAAAACAGAGGGCAGCTCGCCTCGCCATAACACACTGCTGACCTGCTCCGTACGCCGACTGGGCGGGCTGCGGGCTTCCCGACAAGGAAGCCATCACGACCAGCTTCATCTGCGACAAGGGCCCGACGATGCCACAAGACAAGAAGCAACGGGCCTAGGCTGAAGCAGATCCAGACGGGGCTCCCGACGGGCCCGTCCCACCGTGACCAAGTCCCTGGATCGTTTCAACGTTGATGCGGGCGTTGTCGTATCCATGCGAGGTCCTGCAGAGCCCAATGTGCAATTTTGCTTAGGCCAAGGCAGAACTCGACGGGCAGGCGGCCGGTCAACGATGCCAGCCGGCGGCCACGGGGCCAGAGGGAAGTCGACTCGGGAGGAGATGCATCTCAATGCACCACCGGCCATTATTCTGTATGCATCCCAACCGTGGGTCCGTCCGGATGGTCAACAATGTCGATGCCAATGCCAAACAAGTCAATCGGCAGCCCCCAACTTGGAAGGCGCGGCGCAGAAACAGATCGTTATCAATTGATCCACAGCTCAGCCACATGTACAGCAGCCCGCCCGTGGCAAAGCCGCCTTCCGCCTTCCGCCTCTCGCCTCCCGCCTCCCATCTCCCTTGTTCCATTTCCCGTTTCCCGTTTCCCGTTTCCACCCTGGTCCGTTTCTCGCCCAAGCCTGCCAATGTCCCGCGCATCTTCCAAAAAAGCAAATCATCAAGCTCGAGCTTCTCGACGCCGCGGAACCGACTGCTGACTCGTCTCTCGCGCTTTCAGTGTTGATATTGTCGAGTGGCTGGCCTGGCACGCAACGCGTCGGAGCTGGGCAGCCCCCCTTCCCCCCTCCAAAAAGAATGCGACTCTGCCGGCAAGGATAACCATCTGTCATTGTCGATGCTGCAGAAAAGGCTTGTAGCGGGTAATTGGACTTTTCTGCGTCGCTGCTGCCGGCGACAGCCAAATACGAGACCGGGGGCGCGACGCAATCGAGGTTACATGCTCCGACATCAGGGTTTATCAACCCAGAACCTCTGCGTCCCACTCGTCCCCGTGGACTGGTAGCATTCACAAGTTGGGTTGACATCCTTTCAGCTGTTGCCTCGATCCAAAACGTCTTCGTTTCGCATACGGAGTACTCCCTACGTTGCCCACGCGCTTTATCGCGGCATTGGGCCGCTTCGCTTTCGATTACGGACCGCAGCCTCCTGCCCTTTTGGTAGAATGACATTGCGCATGACGATGGGGGGAGGGGAGCGAGCGAGCGAGCGAGCATCATGACATGATAAGATTGTGCCAGGAACCAGGAGCAGCAGTGCTGTCTGCTATCTGCTATCCGCTATCCAGCAATCTCGCCACCAAGCGATCTCCTTGCAGCTGAGGGTTTCTGCGCACTGCCAGCGCTTGCGCCTTCTTCAGCTCCCTCGGGACCATGACATGCCGCGCACATTTTAGCCTCTAGAGCTTTTCCCTGGCAGCCGGTCGTTCCAGTAGAGACTCGACAGTTTCGACCACAAAGAGGAGACGGCGAATTCGGGGACTACGGCCGGGAGGCAATAAACGTCCATGTATTTGACTTCTGACATTGGACCATCTCCCGTCCCTCGAACGAGGCTAGTCCGACTACTTATCAGGCGCAAAGCGTCAGTCGTGGCCGAATAGCCGTTGCCACATGCTGTAGATTCTGCAATCTGCACGACTGACTACACCACCCCTTCAAAGTTCCATCCTGTCCTGCAAATTTACCACCCACTGCTAGTCTACGGTCGTCGTGGCACGAGACGGGGACGGTGGCTACCAGGATGCCACGGGCCGGGACCAGGAGACCAAAAACAATAAAGAACAACAATTGTCATCATCATCGTCGTCATCCTCACCCCTGTCCGGCTGTCACAGCTAGCATTGTCGGCAAGGTGTGTGTCATGACATTTGGCGTCAGATCTCGGGGACTCGACACAATCCGTACCGTGCATACATACAACACAGCTCCCGTCATGGAAAACCTGCATTGGCGGTTGTCTCGAGGTCCTAGGATACTGGCGTCGTCGGCAGGCGCTCCATGGGAACGTAATTGTGCTCATGACACTGGCGGTAAAAACTAGCAAACCACCACGCCCGGCACGTCCCTCTGGGCGGGAGGAAACGAAACCCCTGAAACCAAGAGATCGTGGAGAATCTGGAATTCTGCAATGTTGCTGTTCAGCGTCGACGCTTTCTCGCATCGACGCCACCTGACAACGCCCTTCTGCTGCCAACGTCAACTGATACTCACCGCGTATACCGTCACTCAACCGTGTCTCGCTTCTTCCCAAGAATAGACCAGCCCATGCCGCAGGCAGGGCCACGCCTCGGGGCACACTGACTGTGTGGGTACATGCGCACATGTCGGCATGGTCAGCCCAACGCCGCCCTCGCTGCATACGCGAGCATGCAACTCTCGCCTTGCTCAGGTCAACGGTGGCTCCCTGCCGTTTGTCATGACCCTCGACGGCCGGCCGCAAGGGCTCCCTTGAGAAGCTGAGAAACCGGCGGACAATTGACCCGCCCTGGAAGTCGACTCGATACCGACAAGGGCGCCGTCGTTCAAGTACACTAGGTATGTGGACGGCGCCACCCTTTTGCCTGCATTAGTTTCTCACAAGGAGCAGGGGACCCGGCGCCAATCAGGAGAAGCCTAGGGAAGCAAAAGAACTCGACAGCGGCTGAAAGTAGTAGTTGCATGGGAATACCACTAGTTGCGATGGACATACAGTACTACTTACCTGGGGCGAGGTCCGAGTCTTGATGCCATGTTATCGTCGCTGCGTTGACGCCCGCAGCTGCCCGAGACTCGTGGTGTTGCAAGATGGGGAGCTGCAAATTACCATCACGGTGTTCCTTTGAGCTTGATGGGGTAACTCTTGCTCTTCTTCTGGCCGTTGAAAATTCTTCCCATCCAATACTTGCCCTCGTTGACGCCGTCCTTGAAGAAAGGGTTCGTCTGGGACACAGCAGCGTACTCGGAGCAGATAAGCTCTACATGCAATCAAAACACCCTGGCAGACTCTACAATAGACAGAAGGGCACATTTCATTGTCAAGACCTTGCAAGAATAAACATGGACAACATTCCGCACACGCCAGCAGGCGAGTCGCCGCCCTCACAGCGCAAGCCACCCAAGGCTGATTCCGGCGCAACCTCATCGGCCCTGGATGCTCCGGGCAGTCCGTCGTCCGTCATCACGCGCGACTACTCATCGCTCGACATCGCGTCCCGCCGGAGGTTCAAGAGCTACCGCCTCCGCGGCGAGTTCGAGAAGCCATGGCTTTCTGACCCAGCCATGAACAAGACGAGATGGAACAACTGGATTGTGAGGGGCTTCATCCTGCTCGGCCTTGTCCTCTCGGGCGTTACCTGCGTTTTGCTCGTCTGGCCCTACCGAGACGGAGATGTAAGCCGATAGACATATATCCCCCCCCCTTTTTTCGTCTCCTCCAAAATAAAGTCACCAACACGAAAACCACTGCTCAGTACTGCCTCATCTACGAAGACCACTTCAGCACCTTCAACAAGGATGTCTGGTCGCACGAGGTGCAGCTCGACGGCTTCGGCACAGGCAGCTTCGACTGGACCACGACAGACCCCAAGAACTCGTATGTCGACTCGGACGGCCTGCACATTGTGCCGACCCTCACCAACGAGACCACGCCCATCACCAATGCCGACCTCTTCGCCAACTACACGCTCGACCTGACCAAGGACGGCAGCTGCACCAGCAACAACGCCAACGCGTCGTGCATAATCACGTCGGACCCCCAAAAGGGCACCATGATCCCCCCCATCCGCTCCGCCCGCCTCTCGACAAAGGGCAAGAAGAGCATCCGCTACGGCAGAGTCGAAGTCGTTGCCAGGCTCCCCAAGGGCGACTGGATCTGGCCCGCCATCTGTATGTCATTCCGCCTCTCCGTCTCTCCCAGAAACCCCCATCTGACAAAAGGAAACCTCCCGTCACGACGTCAAGGGATGATGCCCGAGGGCTCAACCTACGGCGACTGGCCTCGCAGCGGCGAAATCGACATCATGGAATCCAGGGGCAACGCGCGGTCCTACCCCGAGGGCGGCCGAAACTACTACTACAGCACTCTGCACTGGGGTAAGCAAGCAAGCAAGCAAGCCGTGGCACTCGCCGCTCTCTCCCTCCCTCTCGCTCACTCACTCCGCCATCCCTCAAAACCCTCTGCTCGGCAACAGAAGCCAAAGCCTGGTGTGCTGGGCCGACGGCATATCAGCAGCTGACCGCCGGTCGAAAACAGGCCCGACCGCCAAAGACGACAGCTACTGGCGCACCACGGACGCAAAGATGCTCCGCCGCGGCGACTTCTCCAAGTCCTTCCACAGGTTCGGCATCCAGTGGACCCCCAAGTACATGTACTTCTACATCGACAACCGCGCCCACCAAATCATGTTTGTCGGCTTCGACAAGGACCGGCCCCTCTACGAGCTCGGCCGCTTCGCCAGCATGGCCGAGAACCAGACCCTGCTGGCCAACCCCTGGGCCATGTCCAACTCGTCCACGGGCAACGCCCCCTTCGACCAGCGCTTCTACCTGATCCTCAACGTCGCCGTCGGCTCCAAGACCCCCCCCCCCCCCCCCCTTTCTTGGCGCGCCTCTCCTCCGCTCACTGCTCCTCGCTCCTGCAGGGACCACGTCGGCGACAAGCCCTGGATAGACGGCGCCAAAAACGCCCAGTGGACCTTTTGGGACGCTGCGGCCCGGTGGCTGCCGACCTGGGGCGACGGCGCCGACCGCGGCATGACGGTCAGGTCGGTCGAGATGTGGCAGGCTGGGCGGTGCGGCTCGCCGAGCGAGCTCTAGAGCAGACGTCGTTTTCGCGTGGGCACGGTCGTGGTGCTTGCTCATCATCTGGAGACGAGAGTCCACGCAGTCAAGGTTGGTAGTTTGCTCGCCTGGTCCATGACATGTACGTACCCGGTCAAAGTTGAGAAGACGCTCAAGCCGTCTTTTGACGAGTCTCGTGGCTTTGAAAAATTACGTTTTACCCTTTTTCGAAAAGTATGTTATTACATACTCTAGTAAATATAAAGGAGAAGTATTTGATAAGTTTTCTGAGCACGCGCACAAAGTTCAAATTATGTAATGAGACGAGGATGCCTTGCTGTAGATCAGAGACGGGCATCGTCCCCGTCCCACCCACCCATCCATCATGTGTAGTTGCCGCCCCCGCAGGGGCGCACACAGCAACGACACGTGAAAGAACCTAGACACATCATGAAATGGCATGGCATCCCTTATACTCACGTCACGCTCACGTCATCAAGCTTGACAAACCGCAAACAACACAGCTTCAAAAAAACACACAATGACAAAGACTCCCTGCTGCTGCTGCTGCTGCCGCTCCTCCTGTATCTCTATAATGTACAACTACCCGATAGACCAAAGCTGCGGCCGCTATGATGACCGCGGGTATAGCAAGCACGAGTACGAGTACGGGTGCGTCTCTGCTCAAAGTTGCGTTGCGCAATCCAATAACAATGCTCTCTCGTCTTTTTCCCGTGTAAGCCGGGGGCACGGCGGTCTGACAATGCCTTCTTCACCTCTTGCCCTGCGACCCCAGCTCAGCCGCCTTTCGAAACAACCTCTTGGTGCCGCCAACTCTGCCCAAATCGCCGAATCGACTCCTCTCCTCCGGTGGAGGTATCCTCCTCTCACCACTGACCTGGCGAACCTTCTCCTTGACACTCTCTACCCAAGCCTTGTTCTCTTCGCTCATTTCAACCTTCTTGCCTGTGGGCCCGGCAAGGCCAAGGAAAGAGCCGTCGTCTTCAAACCAGCTGAGCCGAGACCCCGGTCTAGAGCGGGTTGATTCTTCTGATGACGGCGTATCGGTAGGATGCGTCGCCGGGGCCGGCGTCTTGGGCCACAACTTCGGCAGCTCGCTGTTCGCGGCACCAATGCTCCTCCTCGTCTTGCGAATATTAAGCGGCGTGACGGGTGAGTGCTCGGACGAGACGGCGGCGGCCGAGGCTGGACGGTTTGGTGGGCTGGATCCCGTCCCCGGCGCAGATGGTGTGGAGCCGCGCGGGACATCTTGGACTTCAATCTTGGCGGCCTTTTCTTTCCCGGCCGACCGGCGCCCGTGGTGGCTGGCGTACTCCTTCAAGTACTCGCTCAGGTCGGCCCACCCGCCACCAACGCGGACCATGACGCGCTCACCGTGCTCACCAACGCATCGAATGAAGAGCTTAATGGGCGGTTCGCCGGTAGAACGGGATAGATGATAGACCTTTATTTCCCGTTGGCCTCTAGCGGCACGCAGACGTGTGTTTCTTGCCGGGGACAGAGTGAAGGAGGGCGTCGCAGTGCCAGACGACAGGCCAGATGTGCTCCTTTTAAACATCTCCTTGGATGACTCCTTCTTTATCCGAGGCAACTGTAAGTCGGGAGGGTTCAGGTTGACAGCAGGGGTCTCGGCGGCCAGCTTGATTTTGGCTGGTATTGACTCGATGATCTCGCTGATCTGTTGACGCAGCTGCTTGTCCCCAGTGCTTTCTCGTCGATACGTGGGCCCGGCAACTTCGGATACCGACATGGAATCGTCGAAATCGTCGACGAACGAGCCGTCAGCGAGGGTCTTGTCAAACACTGATCGATCATCTTCAGGACCTGGTAGAATGACAGGACTGTCGAGCAATCCACTCGGTGACGGAGAGTCCCCCGTGTCGCCTAGAGGAAGTGGAGGAGAGCTGGGAGGGCTGTCGTCAACAAATTGGGCCTCGCGGATCCGATCCCGAGGCACTGGGGGAGACGCGGATACTTCCGGCAAGTCACTCGTTAGAAGATCAAAACGGCCCATGTGTCCATCTCCATGCATCATCGAATAGTCTTCTGAAGAGTTGCTATGACGTGTGGTGCGATTTTGGAGCGCAGGAAGATCTGCTTCGTCTCCTTCCTCTTCTTCATCCACGGGCGACATGGCCCTAGCAATTCCTGACATGTCGTGCTCCACGGACGAACTCTTGTTAGCAACAGATTTCGACTCGTCGGCCTCGGTGGAAGATTCACGCGTTAGTTCGGAATCAAAGGAACCCGGGTCAGACGGTGTCCTGGGGACTTGGTCTCGATTGTACTGCGACATTCCGGCACCCGGGCTGGACAGGCCACCATTGGCCGGCAGTTGGGGTGCATTGCCACTGATGGCAAGCGACGTGTCGACAGGGATGGTGAATGTACCATCAGACTTGTCATAAACCGGTGACTTGATGGCGATCCCAGAATCATTTCCGAAAAGCTCGCTCGATTCGGAAGACATGCCATCGGCGACCTCCCTGGGCGCTTGTGGTGAGGGTGATGTGAAGAAAGTTTGTCCTTGTGCTGATTTGGACCACTCTGTTTCACGGATCTTCCTCTCGCAAGCAGCCACCCACTCGCTGTAGCTGCGCTCAACGGCCTCCATGCGCTCCAACCAGGTATCCGGGAGGGTGTCGTCCATTCCCTCCAAAGTATCAAGCATGTAATCCAATGCTCTGCCAGGAGCCGCGACCTTGTCGACAAGGACTTTGTTCATAACGTTAAAGTCAGCAAGGTTCAGTGTCGGCTTCTGGAGGACGGCCCCTTTCCCGTCGACATGAGCTGACCTCCTGAGAGGCTTGGAAATGGCGGCCCAACCAGCCTTGACTCCAGCCTCGGCATCCTCGAGCGCGTAGAGCAAGGGCGGGACACGTTGCAGAACATCTAAGCGGCAGCTCCATATCCGCAGCAGTTGGTCGAGTCTGGAGAGGTTGGGGAGCATCTGGACGACGATTGTCGTGACAACTGCGGACAGGTCTTCCATCTTGGTGTAAGCATTTGTGGAGGGTAGTCCGTTGCGGGATATTGACAGTGGCGTATTCGGTCTCGACAGGGGGAGGATATGGTTGGTAAGGACTTGGGTCTTGATCTCTTCCAGCGCCAAATCGTCGACATGTCCGTGTATCTCTGCAATTCTCTGCCTATACAGAGCCACGTCTCGGGCAGGCAGGCAGCCGATATACTCGCGTTCATCAATGTGTGGTGCGTTGACGTGGAACGATAGTCTTGGCAGTGTGCTGCGGGGTTTCACAAAGCCAGCACAGCCGTTTTCGACGGGCCACTTCCATTCGGAAAGCTCGTCAGTCCATTCGCATACTCTTTGGGAAGCAAGCGCCGCTCGCATGGCGAGGTCTCTCTCAGCAGCAGACGCGCCGTCTAGGCAGGCTCGCAAGGGCCCGTTGCCCGAACACAAGGCTGCAATGGCTGTGTTTGGGCTCAGATGGGAGAAGATGTCGTCGTCCGGCCGAGGTCGGGCGGGCGATTGCGGGACGAGAGAGAGCCGCTTGGGCTTGAGGCGGAAAGGCGAGTCGGACATGTCGTCTTGTCGAGCACGTGTGGTCGATGGCAGCAATGGTGGCGACGGATCGATGACCTCTGCAATTCAGCAAGGACGCGAGGGCAGCATGGTCAGTTCACGACCCCGGGGAGATGGCAATGTCGATGCGAATGGAAATATCGATGCACATAGTCGAGTGCTCTCTGAGGAGGGCCAAGGCGAGGTTGACGATGCACGGCCCGACGGGGCAGAAAAGGGTCACTGGTGCGATGTCTGCGTGGGCGTGGGCGTGGGCATGGGCGTGGTGTCGTTTTGTTTGCTGGAGGAAGCAGGCAGGCAGGCAGGCAGGCAGGCGCGAGAGAGACGGCGTGCATGCACAATGCTCCGTCCCGACACAAAAACCCCAGACACGACACAAGGACGAGGGCGCAGCAGAAACAGCAGGTCAGCCCTCGACAGGCGAGCACCGAGGTCTCGGGCCGCCGTGTTGCCAGGCGGAGGAGGCCCAAAAGTCGAGTCGTTTGTTGGCTGGCAAGTCGTCTCGAGTGCTGATGATTCAGCAAGGCGACGGGGGACGGGCGCAACGATTGGTGGCTCCAAGTCGGGGAACAAAGACGCCGATGGAAAAGTGAGCAGATGGCAGCCAGATCAGGACAGCGTGCTGCTGCTTCAAGAAGCGTATGAAAGTGAGCGGGCGAGTGGGCAAATGAGCGAATGAGCGAATGTGTGCCGGTTGAAGCCAAGAAATCCAGGCAGAAAACGAAATGGGAGAGTCAGAATCAGAATCAGAATCAGAACCAGAACCAGAACCAGAACCACGACCAGAACCAGACACAAAAGAAGGTCCGGCAAAGGCCAACCGGATTAGGGGGAGGGGAAGAGAAATAAATAAAAACAGTCGGGAGACAAAAAGGAGGAGCGGCCACGCCAGGCGCCCTCGCTGTCGCTCTCGCTCTCGCTCTCGCTTCAGTGATTCGCCGCCATCAACGCCCACGCCAGGTCGCCGGCTCCTCTGGCTGGCTCGCTGTCCGACCATAGGCCCCGTCCAGGAGCCGCCTGGCGTGCCGTCCCTCCCTCCCACGCACAAAACACCGTTCAGCATTCAGCACGCCACCTCGGCTCCGGGGTGCGCAGGCGGGTCGTGGATGCGCTCGCACACGCACGCACAGAATAGGTACGGAGTCGGAAAATAACTACGTACGTGCGTGCGGGATCCTGCATGATCCGGCGCACGCGAGATTGACGCGCAGCATGCGCCAGGCGGCACTGCGTCCTTTGATCTAGCAAGAAGTCGTCAAGCTACAAAAGGCGTCTGCGGCTGCACCACCCGCCGATGCCGATACCGATCCGTAGATGGTACTCCGTACGTAACATTGAACTGACTGGCCTGGCCTGACCGAATATTCACCTGCCCGGTCAGGAACCCCCCGAATCCCCGTTCCCAATTGCAACTCGCATTAACGTTACAAGGTGCTCCGCACTACGCGTTCCCATGCCCTGCCCGCACTCACTCACACCCAGTTTCCCCCAGCCTGACTCCGTAAAAACGCCGCAAATGCACCGCCATGGCCGATCATTCATCATCCCCCCCCCCCTTTCGTGTCCAGCCTACCAACCCGCTTTCACACAACTCCAGCCTCCAGCCGCGCCACCTCGGCAGCGCCCAGGCCCAGGCCCAGGCCCAGGCCCAAGCCCATGCTCACGTCGCCGTCGTTGTCCAGCGCCGCCAGGTCCAGCGTCTCCTCCATCAATCTTTCCGCGCTGGCGCTACATGTGTCAAACAGCAGCCCGGCAGCGGCGGGGGGGAGGTCCTCGGCGCCGCCGTCGGGACGGGAACCAGAGGCCGAAGCCGGGGCCGAAGCAGGGGCAGACGCGGCAGCCGAGACGGAACTGGAACTGGAACTGGAAACGGAACCGGCCCCCGCGTCAGGGAACTGCAGCCACTGGTCGACGTCAAACTCGGTGCCGGCCACGGCGTTCCAGTCAAACTCGTCGTGGCCCTGCATAAAGTCAAGGTCCATGGTGTCGTGGTCGACGAGCTGCGCTTCCGACTGGCCGCTCGCGCTGGGCGTCGGCTGGGCCGAGTCAAAGTCGGTCTGGGGCGGCGAGTTGGTCGACAGCTCGAGGGCCGCGGCGTTGATCGTGGCCGGCGGCGGCGGCGGCATGCACGTGGGCATGACGGCGGGCCCGACCTTGTCCAAGTCGGCGGCGGTGAGGAGGACCGCCTCCGGGGCCGCCATGTAGGGCAGGTTGTTGTCCGGGGGAGGCGTCGTCTGGGCGGCGGCGGCGGCGCTGGTGAACTCGGCTGGCAGGTCGGGCTTGGCGGCCGAGAGGGCCTGCTGGTGGTGGCCGGCCATGCTGTTGCCGGTGGTGGCGATGGCGGCGGCGGCGGCGGCGGCGGTGCGGACGTCGATGGCGGCCTTGCGGAGGGCGGCGTCGAGGAAGCCCGTTGCGTAGTCGGCGGCGGCGTAGATCTCGCGCAGCTTCTCCATGACGCGCATGCACTGGCGGAAGCCGCGGGTGGCGCGGTCCCGGGCCTGCGACGACGGCGCCTTCATCTCGAGCAGGTGGATGATCATGGCGGGCAGGATGACGGTGACGCCCGTCGTGGGCAGAAACTTCTCCAGCCGGAGGCGCTGCAGCTCCGTGGCCATGCGCGTGATCTGGGCGGCGGCGTCGCGGACGCGCAGGCGGGACATCTCCTGGACCTGGCGAGACGTGGTCGGCGCCTGCGTGGGCGATGACGGCAGGAACTGCGGACGGTGGAGGGCCGAGACGGTGGTGTGGAAGACCATGTGCAGCAGCGTCCGGTGCACGGCGACGGTCGACCGGCCCTCCTCGACGTCGACGGCGCTCAGGGGCCGGTACTGGCAGACGTCTGGCAGCGAGGCAGCCCATGCGCCGAGCTCGAGGTCGACCGCGTTGACGCTGTCCACATTGTCCATTTGCTTGTTGGGGAACAGCATCATGGTGCTGTTTGTCGTGTTTTCGGGCTTCATCTTGTCGCGGATGAGCACCGAGTACTGCGTCTTGAGCATGTGGCTGATGCAGAGACACAGCCTCGCCTTGGAGATGCACATGGCGGCCAGCTCGCGCTGCATCCCGACGTCTCGCACGAGTGTGCATTCTGGAGGGACGACGCTGATGCCCTCGGCGAGAACCTGTATGTCGAAGTCGCTCTCCACGAGCATGGGCACGTCGAAGTCCTCGTCCTTGATCCGCGTCGGGCGGCGCATGCCCAGCGCAATGAGGCGGTCCCGCATGAAGCACGACCACCATATGCGTTTCCAGAGACGCTGCTTGGACGTCGACATGGACGTTGACCCAGGGTTGCGGTGCAGGCCGATGGTGTGTGCGAGGGAGATGGCCACGCCCATCCAGTGCCAGGTGTCCTTTTGGTCGTCGGGCGTCTCGTACCAGTATGTCATTTGCATCAGAGACTGGACAAGAACGAGGCGGTCTTGTTCGTAGTCAAAGTCATACAGGAGCTGGTCATCTGTCTGTCAGTCGGGTGGGTTTGGGAAAAAAAAAAAGAAAAAAAATCAAGGGTGCTCATGACGGCACGCCCCTCTCGTCAAGGCGAAGAAGAGTGGAGGAAATGTAAACAGAGGTCTAGATGAAGGGGGGGGAACCCAAGACGTACCCGTGTCTTCTGGAAAAAGGCCTTTCTAGCCGCCTTCCTCGACGAAAAACCCGCGTCTCTCAAATACTTCATGTCCACAAACGCCGTGGCCGAAAACATGATGCTCTGGTAGAGCAGCAAGCTCGTCTGGCCGTTGACGCCATCCCGGCGGTCGACAATGCTCAAGAAGTGGTGCAGGTCAATCAGCGGCATGTACGGATAGACGTACTCGATGTAGCCCTGCAGGAGAGCACTCTGGAGCGCGAGGCTGGGCAGCGTAAGGGCGCCCTTGAGCGCGAGATACTGCACATCCTCGGGCGCGATCTTGGCCGGCAGCGGCCTGACAAACGCGGGGAGCTGGGATCCGGCATCGGGGAGTTCGAGCGAGTTGAGAAACTGTGCGGTGCGGCCGCTTCCATAGCATGAGGAGGTCTAGAATCCGACTCTTTGTGTTAGAAACCGGGCTGGGGAGTGAGTGAGGGAGCGACGTGGGAACACGAAAGGGCGCCGAACCTGGCTGACGACGCTGGCTTGGCGGTATCCGGACCGTTGATCTGTCAGAGTTGGGATGCGGTCAGCTTGCAGTTTTTTGAGTGAGTCTTTTTCACATTGGGATTTTTTTTTTATTGTTGGGGTTTTTTTTAGGCTGCCTTCCGCAACAAGAAAAAGTGGCGTACTAAGCCAATTCACATGTGAACAGGGGGCCGTCATGTTAATAATGTGGGGCCCCCCGCAGAGGAGACTGGTTGGGGAAGGTGGGGCCAGTGGGCTTTGGATGCGGAGAGTCGGCGCGGAACAGCCGTCCGTTGCGGGTGCCTATCCAAGACCATCCGGGTTCGTTTCGTGTACAGAACGTCCCGTGGTGCCCACCGGCAGCGAGGTGAAGGGGTGAAGGAGGACTGGGACTGCCAGTCCACACCGTTACGGCGGGCAAGCCTGGACGAGGAACTCAACTCATCCCAGCGGGCGCACTACCAAACTGGCACCATGGCAGACGACCGGGGCGGGAAGGAAAAAAAGGAAAAAAGGAAAAAGAATAAACAGAGAGAGAGAGAGAGAGGAAAGTGCGGAACAAGGAGTGCGGCACTAGTCGTGTAAACCACTTACAGAGCATGTGCGGTACGTGGCCGTCGAGGCCGTTCTTAGGCAGCAAGGGGGCCGCCCCATCGGGGCTGTGGGACGGAAAGGCAGTGACGCTGCCGGCTCGGGGTGCAAAGTCGGGGTTGGTCAGGGAAAGCGGCGGCGTGGCCATGGCGCTGGTGGGCTGCATGGACGCTGAGGCTGCGGTGGCCTTGGCGCGGAGTTGTGCCTCGGCTGAGCCGCTGCTGGCTGGGCCCACGGCGCTGGGGGCGGCGACAGAATTCTTTCTGGAGATTTCAAGACTTCGGGTCAGCTTGGACGACACGACACGACTCTGGAAGCGGGAAATTCTGGGGCGGCGGCGAAATTCGAGTCGGCCTGCTGGCTCTGAGCCTCCAGTCTGCCCCATGATGTCTGGAGCATCTCCGCATCCGCACTCGGTGCTTCAACGGCCTGTGCAGCCACTGAAGGTTGTGCTCTGGCGCACCGAGCGTGGAGACGACGGATGGAGCCTTGGGCCCAGCGCCCAGTGCCCAGCCCAGTGGCGCCAAGGCCCGGTAAAGGCGGTTGAAGCGGGTACCCGGGGTCCCAAGCGCCAGGCCAGACGCTCAGGCCAGACGCCAGGCAACCGGGGCAAATCAAAGGCGGGACGAGCGTTCTGTCTACTCACTTTCGCCGGCGGCTCTCCTGCACAATGCACTGAGAAAAGGTTAGCGAGGTTTCAACTGGCAGGCAGATGGACCGTTGTGACGACCAAGAAGCACGAAAAAAATGAAACAAAAATAAAAAGCAGACAGCAATTGCCGTCCAGGGCAAAACCCGCTCAACTCACCTCAACGTTGTCCCAGCGGCAATTCCCACACGGCGCTCCCTCAACCACGTCGCACCGCACCTTTCGCGCCCGACACGACGCGCATGCCCGGGCGGCTCTTCGCTTGGTCACTTTGTGCGGACTGTTGGAATCGTCGCCGGTGGCTCTCTTCTTGCCGTTGCTCTTGTCCCCCGAGTCTGACTGCGACGAGGCCGGCGAAGCGCCGTCCTTGATTGGCTCTGACGCCATTGTGAATTTTCCTTGCTCTCTCTCCCAACTCGTCGTCGGTCCTTGTTGGTGGCCCTGAAGAAGAAATTGCCCGGAATGCCAGAGGCCGGGCTGCTACGGCTCAGCTCTTTCTGGCCGTCGTTGGCGCTGATGAAGTGATTTCAACAATCTCAGCCGCAGGGGCACTCTCGCCTCTCTTAAGAATGAAAATATATTCCAGTTCCACGACTCGAGGTTTATGTAGTGGCTTGCCGTTGGAATGCGAATGCAGCCGTGGGCCGTTTTGCTGGCGCGACGCGAGTCAGATGCACCCAATGCTAGATGTTTCTTGAACCTTGAAATGGCGCCAGTATTCTGCTCCCGGGCGTGTGTTGGCCGTCGTGGGCTCTCATTGAATAGCCTGGCAATTGGGCACCCGCGCGTCGGAAAGGAGTAGTGTTGATGATGATGATGATGATGATGATTCGAGGAACACGAAGAAACACACAAGACCGGTTGCGGCAGAAGACGTTGCTGCCGTGTGACGCAATGGGTTCGTCGTCTGGTGGCCGTTGGTCCAATCCACGTTTAGAAAACAAAAATAGAAAAAGAGGAAAAAGAAAAAGGAGAAGAGAAAAAGAAAAAAAAAGGGGGCCGGCCGCCGGTGCGTTGCTTCGTGTAAACGGCGTCGAGTCGAATATTCCCCAAGAGCGGAAATGGTCCAAGGGGAAGTGGGGAGATTGCCGATTGATGCCAAAGCAGGCGGGCAAAAAGGACAAGCAAAGAAAAAAAACGGACGAGGGGATATTGGCCTTTTCTCTCACAAGATCAGAAACAATCCGGGGGTGGGTTTCATGACTCCGGGGGCGTGGAATCCTATTATATCTGGAGCATTACAACGCAGCAGCCCAACGCACTCTGCAGGCGAGGCAAAGAGACGGCCAAAGGCAATTGGCAAGCTAGCCTTGACGCGGGTATCTGCGCCCCATCTCCAGTGCGAGGCCGGAGTTGCATGTTAGCATCGACGCATGTGGAGGTGGACGGTGGACGAGCATGGTCGTGGGTCGTGGTCGAGGGGTCGTGGTCGTGGGTCGTGGGGTCGTGGGTCGTGGGTCGTGAGCATGTGTGGGGACGGAGAATGGAGAATGAAGATTGGAAATTGGGAAATGGAAAATGGCACTCTGCGTGACATGGCTCCTTCACCCTTCACCTTGTTGCTTGTGATTTTTCCGTCGAGCTGGTCGAGGCGAGCAGCGCAGCTTGGCAAGCCGCGAAACCTTAACATGGATGACGACTCCAAGGGCTTCCGTCGATGGCTCTTCTCTCCCTCCCCTCTTTGCCTTTGGTTTCTCTGTCTGGCCCATCTGCCCAGGCACAACCAGGCAAGGCAGCCAGGCAGCCAGGCAGCCAGGCCACACATAGGCCACAGGCCACAGGCCACAGAGACGGAAGGCCCTGGCATCCGGTGGAGGTGGCGCCCCGGTTCTCGTGCGTGCATAAATCGCCAAGTGTCCGTGCCGCGGACCGTGGGCCGTGGACCACGGTGGCCGGCATAAAATACTACACAAACGCGCCCGTCGATCCGATGACATGATGAATGACAGCTAGCGAGCAACTAGCCAACGCAGCCCAAACTCCCACCTCGCCCCGCGACACACGAAACACCCGACCACCCCATGTTTTATCCTTTTTCAAGCCTGCCTTTGCCTTGGCCGCCGATTCCAGCAAGCCAGTATTGACGTACGTAAGTGTGCGGCGTGCCGGGTCCCTCCTTGCTGCTGTTTTCTTTTGTTTTTCGTTTTCTTTTGTGTTTTTTTTTTTTAAAAAAAAAAGTCCACAGCAGCCATACCGGGAAAGCGGCGATCCAACACTGCCCCGTCTGGTGCATGCTGGGTCTGGGCTCTCCTGATTCCAGAACACGCCCGTCTGATGCAAAGACCTTGCCTCCCGCACTTGCTTGCGTCCCCGTGCACGTGCAACGAGGGGGCAAAAAAAAAAAAGGACGAGATGCACGAGGCCGCTTCCCAGCCTGCATACTCACACCCACCCCCCTTGCCGTGTCCTGCTTGCGTCTTTTTATTTTTATTTTCTTGCCTTGTCCCTCTCCTCCAGGACAGGGGGAGGGGCTGAACCTTGATCCGTGCATTTATTGGTGGAGCCAGGCTGCAGCTGCAGCGGACGGCCAGAAACTCGGTCACTGCTCCGTACCAGACGGAGCGTTGGTCGCGCATTTTCCACCGCCGCCAAGTGCTGGTAGTTATTGCTATTGCTGCGCTGTTAACCCTAACCCTTTTTCGGTTGCCCAACTCCTTGGCTTGCTCCGCCGTCCGCTTCCAAGTTCCAAGGTCCCGAGCACAGTGCCGAGCAGACGTCCAGTTTGCAAGCTGCACTGTGGCACGTCCGTTCCCATGTCGATGCTTCATCAAACAATGGATGGCCATTCAACCTTACCGGCTCGTTGGTACTAGCCCTTGCTAGGCGCCGCTTGATCGAGGTAATGTCGCACAGGCTCCTCGGCCCCTCCCTCATCTCGCCTTGTCTGCTTGCCTGCTTGCTTGCCTCGACCTCGAGTCGATAACATCACCACCCCGGCCGAAACTCCCAGCTTCCGATCCGACGAGTCGAGGCCGCTCGCCGCCATCCCATCCCATCCCATCGACACCCCGCGTATCCTGCGTCTCTCTCGTCGACGTCTCCAGCCTTCGCAACTCACAGCTGGGACGGTCGGCTGCACGCCTGCCTGCCACCAACCGCCACGGGAGGAAGGGGGGGCGCCGGGGCTGGCTTCGGGACTCGGCCCGGGGAGTAGGCCGGATCGATATTCTCTGCACGCCGGGCAACAAACGTCGTCTACGCCCCGAGACGCCCTTCGCACTCCCCAAGTGCCAGGGCAGCCATTCCTCTGGTGGCGAAGAGTTCCTCAGCGTCAAGCCGTGCATGTACTCCGTACATGCCCTTATATGCAAGTATGCACGCCATACGCCATGCAGAGAGTGTCATCGGCAAGTCTCGGGCCAGTGGAGCATCCATGTCTCTCTGCCTTGCTGTCTCGCCGTCTCCATGTCTCGCTCCCGCAAATGTCCACCGCTGTCTCACCTTATTATACTGCAGAGGGACACAAAAAATTAAAAAAATCTGCAGCTCCCTGCAGGCCTCTCGATCCTCCATTTCGGCCAACCAGCCGACCCACCCACCGCCTGCGCCAGCGTGCCCCACCGGGTCGGACGCGGCACTTGATGTAAATTACCCCGTGACTTGCAAGCACGGAGCGCGGAGCACACATATATCCTCCGTACCCGACCTAATTATACCGCGTTTCATCACAGTACATCTCACTTGCACACCACACGTACGACACACACACACACAAAGAAAAAGCACTTTTGCCAAGCCGCCGCCGCCTTCCCAGCCCACAAGCCCAAAAAAAAATCAAAAAAATCATCTCCGCTCCAGCAATCCGCCGAACCGCCTCGCGCAAAGGCGGCAGCCTCGCCCGCAGAGTATGTACCACGTATTGTACTCCGTAATCAGCCGCCTGCCCGTCCGTCATCGTCTCGCGCCGACAGGCGGCGGCTCCACCCCGGAACCGGCCCCCCCCAGTCCCGGCAGTTCATGCGCACAAGCTACGGCATGCACGACTGCGGAGCGACGCGACAATGCTCCGTCCTCCGCGCGCAATACATGCACACGCACGCACGCACATGCACATGCACATGCACCGCAGTAGCCATCGCAGCGCAGCACGTCCACATGACAAGGACGCATCGCCACGTCGCCCGGCCAGCCCCGCGGGCGATTTCCTCCTCCTCCTCTCATGCCGGCTGAACCTTCCCAGGGAGCGTCCACATCCCCCATCTACCCGACTTCCAAGTATGTACTCGTGGACCACTACGCCGCCGCCGCCGCCGCCGCCGCAGCAGCAGCAGGCAGTCAGTCTTTCCCGCCATCGAAACATCCTTCCTTTTCTTCCTGCACCTGGCACGAAATCTGGGGACCTGCTCGAGTAACTAGTATGGAGAGGAGAGAATATGGAGCGGCGGAGCCCTTCCCGGCCGGCCGCGCCGTTGTCCCCGCACTCATCGGATGAATCCGCTCGACTGCGCGCACGCATCGCACACTCATCGCCACCACCTGCATCATGAAGCTTGGCCTTTCACTTTGTCGTCATGCCGTGATCGCGCATCCTGTCATCGCCGGCTTACCTACCGCTGCAGGGCCAAGTCGACACTAGAGCAAGAAGCCGCCTCGTCACACGCGCGCTCACACAATGTCCATGCCAAACACAAGAGGCTCTCGGCAGTTCATTCGACAACAACTCAAGGCTAGGCACATCGCTATACAACAAGGAGACAGTGGCTAACCAATGCCTGGTTCTATGTGCAAGCACGGAACCATGCACAGCCGGCCTTGTATACCGCTGGGTGGTAGCCGCCTTGTCATCCTAGCTCAGGCTGGGTTTGGTTTCCAAAGGGAACAAAAAAAAACACCTTCCCGGATATTCACATCCATCATCGAAAACCAATGTCCCGGCACTGGAAACTCATGACCAAGCTCCTCCACTACATTGCCAGGCTCATATTATCGAAATGTCATTGGTCTCATCAAGTCTCCCATCTCTTTTCACCTTTTTCTTTTCGCTCCTGCCTCTCATAGGCGACCTCGGGCATCAGTGAAGCAGGCAGGGTTGTAGATGCGCTGCTCAATGTATGCCGTCAAAGCAACATCACCCCACTCCTCCCACTCATGCCAGTAGGCTTCGGGAAGTTCTGAGACACCATCTCGTCGAGCAGCCTTCATGACTTCACGAGCAATATTGACACTCGCCTCACGGACACGCTCAATGTTGGGGTATATCAACCCCCTGTGGACTTCCTCAGCATTCAGTGAGCCAGCCAGGGCCTCGGCCGAGGTGTACACCATGTTGTCCGTCACGCGTGACGCCTTGGCCAGGATAGCACCGAGGCCTAGACCGGGGAAGACGTACACATTGTTGCCCTGGTTGGGATGGTACGTCACCTCGCCAGCTTCACCACCGACCTTGACGGCAAATGACTGGAACGGAGATCCGGATGCGAAAATGACAGAGCCGTCGGTCCACTGTACAGCTTGCTCGAACGTGCACTCGGCCTTTGTTAGGGGATTACTTAGGGGGAACAGGATGGGACGTCGACCGGGGCCACCGGCATCAACCGAAGCCTTCAGCGCTCGGACGACGGATTCTGTGAAGATGCCAAAGGTAGCGGCGAGACCAATCAAGGCACTGGGCTTGACGTATTCAATGACCTCTTCCAGCGTACCGAACTGCTGGCCATCATTGTCGCTGCGAGCAAAGTACTTTTTGTGCTCTGCCAGCTTGTCGCCCCTGTCTTTGGTGACCAGACCTTTGGTGTCAACAAGGAAGAACTTGTCACGGGCTTCGGCTTCAGAGAATCCTCTACGAGTGTAGTACTCAACAAGCTGCTTCGCCACACCCACACCCGCAGAGCCGGCGCCCATAAAGACCAGACGCTGCTCCTCAATGGGGACGCCGGACAAGTTGCATGCACCGATATACCTAGAGACACGTCAGTCTAGGTGCTCCTGGGAGTTGAGAGGAAAGACACTGCGTTCAAGCGAACGTACCCGCCGAGGACCACGGCACCAGTACCCTGGATATCGTCATTGAAAGCTCGATGTGTGTTTCTGTAGCGATCCAGGTAGTTGAATGCCTTTTCGCTCTCGAAGTCTTCAAACTGGACAACCATGTTGGGGTACACTTCCTTCACAGCTGCCATGAAGTCATCCATGAATGCTTGCTGGACCTCTAGGGAGGGACGCTTCTGTCTAAGACCCAGGTACAGTGGATCCCTCAAGTTGGTTTCGTTGTTGGTGCCGCAATCCAATACGATGGGGAGAGTCTTGGCAGGGTGAATGCCTGCGGCAGCAGTGTACAAGGCCAGCTTGCCAATCTGTTGTCGAGTGTCTATGTCAGCATACTCGAGTCAAGCTGCAGGTGTAAAAATGCTACTCTTCCTCTCCTCTTGCTTACCGAGATACCCACGCCATTCATACCCAGGTCTCCAAGGCCCAAGATACGAGATCCGTCAGTGACGACGCAAATGTCGGGTTCTGCGCAGGGCCAATTTCTAAGCATGGTTCGAATAGATTTGCGCTGCCTGATGGAAACATACAGAGCCTCGGGGCGAGTATAGATGCTGGAGTATTGCAGACAAACGTCGCCTACGGTGGGTGTGTAGACCAAGGGCATGAGTTCGCGGACATTGTTCATCAACAGGTGGTAGAACAAGTCGACGTTTTGGTTTTTGATGTTTGAAAGGTACAGATACCTGTCGATGTTGGTCTGGCGAGTCTGGATCATCTTCATCGCTCTGGCCGACTGAGTCTGCAAAGACTCCATGGCATGCGGCAAGAGCCCGGTGAGGTTCTGGCTAGCACGCTCCTCAGGGGTAAATGAGAGGCCTGCAAATCGAACAGAGAGCATTGTTAGTATGGCGAAATTGCAGGAGCTGTCGACCGACTGCTTCACGATGCCGAGAGCGACATGCCGAATTGCGCATATATTGAACAGGAGCAATTATCTACTGGATTCACCGCCCAGGCTAGGACCGGCGATGGAGGATCACGCGAGAGACACAACATACCCTTGTTCCACAGAGGCTCACGGAGTATTTGATAGCCTCTGGCCTGCGACTTGGCCAGATATTCCGTATTGCGTTCCTGCTTGATTTCGCCATAGGTGTCCTTGGCATAGCCTCGGTGCTGGTCAAGAGCTGCCGTCTTCATTGCTTCTTCAATAGCAAATACGTCGACAGTTGACATGGGGTTGAAGTCGGTGAGTCTGCGGCCGGAGACAGACACTCGCTGATTAGATACGGATGTACGAGAGGAGCGGTCAGAGACAACAGACGATGAGGGAGAGGAAGAGCGAGGCAGAGAGGCGTCTGAGCTTTCAGAGCCTCGAGGCGACGTCATTGGCATGGCTTTGAGAGGAGAAGAAGAGGAGGAGGAAGAAGGAGGAGGAGGAGGAGGAGGAGGAGGAGGAGAAGCCGCACTGGTGGGAGGAGGTGCCGAGGAAGCAGAGGCCAATGATGCAGCAGCGCGAGTTGATGAAGAAAAATATACGGAAGAGGCAGGGCAACGCTGGCGGCAGGCGGCGGAGGCAGCAGAGGGTCTCGTCGCCGTCAAAATGGATGGGTCTCGCACACCCGCAGCAGGGACGGATGGACGACTTAATAAAAGCCTTGGGGAAGACAGCCGGCGGCGGAGAAGAGGCCAAGGGGATGAGACCAAGGTCGAGAGACGGTGCCGACGCATGTGAGGCAACTAAATGTTCGATGGCTAGAACTTTGAAAGGACAAGGGCGACGGGAACGGGGGTCGACCGGGGCTTGTCGGAGGACTAGACTGACAAGTATGAATGTGCGTCTAGGTCGCGGGCTTCGAGACTCAATAAAAAGTCAAGAGGCTCGAATATCCAAACCCAAGACGGCCGACAGAGTGGAAGAGTAAAAAACGGTTTCGAGGATGCGTTTTGCTGACGGGACCCACGAGACTGTCGGGTCAAGTACCAAAGTACCCAAGTACCGGGTACTTTGTGCTTTGTACCTGGAACTTGGGCTGGGTGGTGCGTTGCGTTGCCGGGGTGTGGGACGGCCAAGAAGCTAGGTACGTGGTTGGAGGCAGGGGATGCTCGAAATGAACAAGTATTGAAACGAAACGAAAAGCAATGGAAGAAATCAAAAATATGGCATGTGCCCAGACTAGCGTCACAGCCGTGGTATCAACAGTGTGGAAGCGTTGGGGGCAGCAAAGACGGAAACGAACAATTGGACCGCGGCCGGAGAAGCACGCCGACGACGGATGACGGTGAGTTGGTTGTTGGGGCTGTTGGGGGCTCCGGATGCTATGCTCTACGTACTTACGTAAAGTAAGTACTTAAGTACTTAAAGTACAAAAGTAAATTGCGGTCGAGAAGCCACAAGACAGCCAGCAGAGACGTCGCATACTTCTAAAGTTCTTAGCGAAACCTGACGTCGACAGAGACTGCCTGCTCAAGTAGGTACTTAAGTACCTGGGTGCCTGGGTGCTTACACCAATGGGTCGTTGGAAGTGGGTTTTTCCGGTGCCCGCCTGCGCGCTCCTTTGCGTGGAGGGAGGGAGTCTGCAGTGTCGGAAGTAACTTATAAAAAGTCAATTTTGGCAATATAAACAGCCCCAACGACAAGGACAGGTGAGACGGCGCCACGTCGGCGCAACTCTGAGCCCAAAGCTTCGAAGTGAACATTATACTGCGAGATGGTTGATGGTAGTACGTACTACTATTTAATACGGCCTACTCACTCTGTGCTCGCAAAGGGCCCCAACCCACGCCAGGATCAATTTGGGCGGTTCAATGCATCCTGTCTTGCACGTCTGGTTCCAAACTCCAAACTTTCATCATGGCTCACCGACTACGCCCCTGGTCCTCCAGCAGCATTCTTGGTCGCGTGATGCATGGCTGGCCTTGTTGGTGGCATCAATTCATCTCCAATTCATCCGCCTTGCCCTCCCTCCCTGTAGAATGTTGGATTTGGGCATGACATGTCGTGTGCTGGATGCATCGACGAGGCCTGCAGGCCCAAGTGCTCTCAGTCAACTGCCGAAGCCCTCCGGATCCTGCACCGCGATTGGTTTGGTCTTGGCTTCATTTAAACTTGGGGGGGAAAATTTGCACGCACTTCTGGTGATCGGGGAAGGAGCATCCAGGCAACTTTTCATTGCCATCTTGGTCATGGATCAACACGGAAGTAGCACTTGTGCAGTACTTACCTAGGTACTTTTCTTGAATGCACGGAGAAGGAAGCCGCAGCATGTGTTCCTTCTTGCCCTGCATCTACGCAGTCCATCATTGTACAGAGTACTCCGTATGGAGGGAGTACATTTACATGCATGCTCCACGCACTTTGTGCTCTGCCGTTGGGGCAGAGGCGCAGTAGTTCCAACAAATATTGGCATTTTGTCGACAGCCACTCTGGCCCGTTCAATGCTGGACCTCAATTCAATGCTTTTTGCCGAGCAATAAACATCAGCAAGACGCATTGCCTCGTCGCGCCGCCGCCACGCTGGCTCCTGGCGAGACTTCCTCAGGCCGCTAGTTCCCAACCAAAACGACTTCCCGCTCGACCTTGACCCATAAGCCTCTCCCACGACATCTCCACAGCAATCCAAGACATTACCGGGACACTACGGGATCGGAACGCCACAGCCAAGAACCTGCCACGGCCAGCCAACCAAACCAGCCTTTCGTTGACTTGTTCTGTTGGACTCGTTGACGCTTTGGACAGTCTCACTGTCGCGTGGGGTTTCATTGCAGTCAACTCTTCTTGTCTTGGACATCGGTTGCACAAGACTCGCATGCTGCCTGCGTTCCTGAATCCTGGCCCAACTTGCGACTCAATGATGCACTGCATCAAGTACCAAGTTGTGGGGATGTCTTTCGTCTGGACGATTCGTTGCCCAACTTCCGATTTCCCCCGACGTCCCTGGTCTTGACTCTTGACCCCGGGCGGTTTATATTTTTGCGCAGAGGTCACCGCCGTCCTCGACCGACCAAGTGCCCAGGGTACACTGTACGGCCTCTCTGTTCGTGTTGCAGGCTCTGACGCAGTGTGCCGACCTCCGAGATATGTCTCGTCTCTCTCGTCCCCACGCGTGAGAGGGTTGTGCTTTGGCCTAGAAAAGGCCCCTCGACACTGTCTTTGACGTGTTTGATTGATGATGGAGGTTGGGCCTGATTTTCACGTCGGGGTTTGATGGTCGAGTGGAGAATACAGCAGCCGAGGACCTTTCAACAATTAAGGCCCCAAGGCCCGCCCTTCAATGAGGAAACTAGACACATCACATCATCATTTATGATCGTGACAACTCTCTTTCCACGTCTATGCCTGGCGGTTGCATGCTTGAGGGGTCTCGGCACTCGCAGCAACGCGGGCCGTCGGCTGAGGGCCGGTCCAATTACAGTCACACTGCCTGACATTTTGGGATATCGGAGCAGCCTCTTCACGTGCCTGTCCCACCTACGTTCATCGTTTAGACGCACGTCAACGACTTGGGTCTGTCCGCATGTGTCCAATGGCTGGCATCCAGCAAATCATAGCTCGTCATGCTTGAACCTCACCGCGTAGGTTTTGACCGAGTCCAGCACCAAACCGGTTTTTCGTGACCGCCATGTGATTGCCATTGGCGCGATCTGATCAGTTTGCTGAAAATCCATCCTGAAGTGCCTTGGACGATCCCGATTGCACCTGTCGAGTAGGCGTCCCGCTCAGCTCTTCCATGGCCGCTGTTGAAGAGAATGTTGTCCCTGTCAGGAACAACGCCACAGGAGACTTGGCCCCTTTCGCAACGCAGCACTATCATTACTTACGACATGCCACGGGGATTGCTCGGCAAAGTGGAAGCCCGCCCGCCACGTGTTGATAATGACTATCGTGTCCTGGTGCCGGTAGCCCAGGCCGAAGCATGTACTTTTTATTTCCAACCCTGACGGCGGCCGCGTCAGTCTTCACAGGGCCTAGTCATGGTTGCCGTCCATGGAACATTACAGGATGCCGCGATTGCTGCTGCTGCCTCTTCAAATAGTCATCCTGGTAAAGGGCTAAAAGGCATATTATCTTCCCAATATGGTATTGGAGGTAAAGCACGGACACGACCCGGTGTGCCGGTCTGGACGCCGGCTGGTCGTCGGTGCAGCTTAAGCTGCAGTCGTATAGTTTATCATTATGCTTACATCTTCCCGGCTTGCAACTCCTCCTCAATGAGGCGAAAGCTGCCTAAACCTCGCCTCACGAGAATGCTTGCAGCGGACACAACCTGCAGCGCTTGGCCATCGTGAACGTCCGGACCGTGACATCAGCCAGTCGTCTAGCATGGACTTGTGGACGCGAAAGGGGTCGCCGATAGAGCGCGGTTAACTACGTATTCACCCTCGAGGCTCGCATGCCTGCGATACTTGAGTCTTGCAAAGGCAAAGAGACCTGGAGCTGTCGAGAGTCAAGTCGGCCTTTGGCGTGTCGACTTGTTAAATCTTTCCCCGAAACTTCCCCATCAAGGCTGTGCCCCGGCACTTCCTGCTTATTGTGCCCAGAATCCGCAAAGAAACCACCAAACGACGAGGCCTCTAGCCAGATGAATCTCACCAGCCTTGAGTGCTTTAGCCACACAAGGACGTGCTTTTAGCCGGGGAGCATTGGGGATAAGTCCTGGCGATTGACGCTAGGGTTGTGAACAAGCTGGGGATAGCCGGAGACGACTGCGAGGCTTATTTTTCACGCAGTCACTTTTCGCGGTCGAGCGATGTGGCTCGCGCCCGTAAAGCAGTAACCTCTGTCACACTATTTTCTGTCGTATGCCACCTCCCACAAAAGCTCGTCAGCGTCACTCACCTTGACGCTCGACTTGACTGCTCTCGGCCAGTCGGCTTGCTTTGTATGCAGGTCAGTCCCGACATCTCCCTATGTGCGAGCCGCCGCCCGCTTGTCGCTACCCCGTTCTTTGCAGACATGCCATCGGCGGATCGAAGTGCATTGGACGAGCGCCAAGCTGCGACCAAGTTCCATCAGAGACGGCCCCGGGTTCCCCAACCTCCAAAACGGTGGCCGTCTCTACACGTTCATGTTGTTGGCGACTCGGGGCCCGCCGAACCATGGTAGTCCCTGGATCTAGGTTCCCCGGACCGGGGGCCAAGTAGCGAGTACTTGTGTGGCCATGGCACAGTTGTATTTTTTCTCGCGAAGCAGCATGTGAGACGAGGAGAACGACGTGTTTGTCGCTCCTCGCTTCGTGCCCGTGGTTCATTGTGCGTTCAACCTTGTGTGTGCCGTCTATCCCGCCGATACATGACTTGACTCGAAACAAAACATGACGGTTCCGGAATCAGAATGGGCTCCCACTCTTTTCCGCTTTCCTTTGGTTTTCAATTTTTTTTAAAAAAAAAAAAATCTCATAACACGGCCCAGTCTGCAGGGTGCACACATGTCCATTCACGAGATGCATTGTACGGCCTTCACATGCCGAGCGCACTTGCCCCTCCGCCGAACCGAATCACAACTTCGTACAACATTGAACCGCGAACGCCATGCATTTGCTCGACTAACCCGCCACCTTTTGCGTGGCCCTATCAATCTTGCTCCTGGCCGTTTGATCCAGCGCGGCCCACCACTTCTTCAGCCCGCCTGCATACTCAACCTCGTCGTCTGCGACTTCCACCGGCGGTCCCTTGATCTGCGGCAACATCTCCTCGTCGCCCGTCTCAAACACCGCCCACGCCGAGGCATCACTGACCCTGACGCCGAATCCACGGCCCTTCATGGACACCACCGTGACACGACGTAGCAGGACGGCATCTCCCTTGTGGACCACGGGCAGGGAAGCTTGGTGCGGGCGGAATATGTGCGCCACGCTGATGCCCGACGGCGCAGACGACGGGTCGCTCAGTGTCAGCTCGAGCATGTAGTCCCTCGGGCCGTGTTTGGGACGGTGCGGCTGCGGAGGCGTCGACGTGGCTACGGCGAGGACGTCGACCGTCTTGTTGAGAGATGTGCGGAGGGAGCGGAGCGGCGCGTAGTCGGGCAGTCTTGTGCGCAAGTCCTTCTGCAGTTGACGCTTCAGCGTCGAAAGGGACTCGTCTTCGACAACGGAGCCTGCTATGGAGGGGGATGCGAGCGTTTGATCGTCTCGATGCGTCGTCTGGGTTTCGGGTGTGGCCGGACGCCTGCATGTTCGGTGTCTTGTGGGGGAGGACGGCCCTTCGGTGTGCTCTGTCATGCTGCGCGTCACGCGGACTGTCGGGCCCGGTGTTTCGTCCCTCTTGGATGGCTCCGGGGACGATCTGGCGAGGAGGACGCTTGGATCCGCGTGGTCGGGTTTGGCCCGGCCAAGGATGCGCAGCATGCCCGGCGAGCTTGGCTCGTTGGTAGCCTCTGCCGGCTCAGGCTCGAGCTCATCTGAATGTGTTGGGCTGCTGGCCCGAGCCAAGAGCACGCTCGGGTCCTCGTGCGCTGAACCCGTAGAGTCAACAGATTGCGTCTTTTGATGAGGCTGGCGGCGGCTGCGGAGTGACCTGACTGTGATGGGGACGTCGGATTCCCGTGGATGTGTCTGTTCGGGCGCCTCAGCGGGCGCTTCCGTGCTGGGCTGGACTCGTGCCGCAGAACCTTTGTAGGCGGGGGATTGATACTCCTGATATTCCTTCATGATTTGGTCCTCGGCGGCAGCGGCATCGTCGTACTCTTCTTGTTCTTGCGAAGGCAAAGGTCCGGCGATTTCTTCCGGGCCCTGCGGTTCCGTGCGTGGAGGAAGCCCTACATGTTCTGCAGCTTCGGCTTCACCTGGTCCTCGCTCAGGTTCCTGCTCGACAGCTGGCTCGCCCTGTTTGGCAGCTGGTTCCTGGGCGTCGACGGCTGGCACAGACTCCGTCATCTCAACACCAGCCGTGTCAGGAGAGGGCCCCTGGACCACTGTTTGCTCCTCGGAGGCATCTACCTCGCTGGTCCTTTTTTCGGCACCCTCAACCAGTGAGGCTTCGGTCTCGTCCTCCTCGTGCCACGCTCTCTTTTGCATGTCGTCCTCGGTCGTTTGCTGAACCACAGTGCCAGGCATTTCAGTCTCTCCGACGACATTCTGATGGGCCGGCTCCGACGTCTCCTCGTCGACATCCATCTCATCGTGTGCTTCCTGATCCTCTACAACACTGGCTACTTCAGCATCTTGGGAGGACGTGCTCGTTTGAACGGGATAGTCCTCGTCGACCTCGTCGGCTGCTGGGCTTGACTCTTCCCTGTCCTCCTCTACCTCGCGGTCATCGGGCTGTCTCACAGTTGCAGGCTCTTCCATGTCCTGTTCAATTGTTTCAGCTTCAGGTGGAGATGCTTCATCCTCACGCTGGTCCTGTTCCTCTCGCAAATCGTGTTGGAGCTCTTCATTCGGGGTTTCGTCTTCTTCTTCCTCATCGTCTGAATCGGATATTAGGTCGATACAAACCGGCTCCTGCGGTTTACTCGGGGCTGGTATCCCGTCCACTCCATCATCTCCCTCTTCGTCGTAATCCTCCTCATCGTAGTCTTCTTCAATTCCCTCGTCCTCGTCGTATCCGTCCTCTTCATCTGTGCCTTCCTCCTCGTAGTATCGCTCTTCTTCCTCTCCTCTTTCTACCATTTCGTCGCTTTCTGATCCGGAAAATCCATCCTGCTCCCCATCTGAGGATCCTCTATGCTGCACGCCCACATCGTCTGCTTCCTCGTCACCTTCATATTCCTCCTCGCTTGTATCGCCATCTTCCGAATCTACGACTAGCTGATCCGCATGACTGCCTGGAGCATCAGACATTTCTTCCAATACAGCTTCATCATCGCGGGTGTGTGCGTAGTTCCGTAAGTCGTAGTCTTCACCTTTGATGTCCCCCCCATCATCTTCAAAGTGAGGCTGTTCCCCACCTAGTGTTGAAACCTGTCCTTTTATCGGCGAGGCTTCCTGATCTCGAGGTGCTCTCTCGTCTTCTGCCGATGCTTGCGACGTACGGAAACCCGCATCACGACTGGTTTCAACCTCCAGAGAAGGGGAACCCTCTATTATTACTGCGACTTGCGGGTCTTGACGCTCACTTGGAACCGGTGGATATGAGGATACCGCCTCAGGATGCCACGGTGTATTCGCCTCTTCGGAAATAGGTTGGAATTCGGGGTTTGTTGAATGAGCATCATGCTCTTGAAATTGCAGGTTTTGATCGTGGTACAGTACAGGCCCGGCATATGCTTGTTCTGTCGTGGCAAAGTCGGGGTAGCTAGGTACAGCGGTGGCTCCGAGAGACGGCGCCTGGCTTCTCACCAGTTCTGCCGGCGCTGACACGGCCCCGAAACCATTCGACACCATGTCTACATGTATCCTCGATAATCCAACACCGAGGCTGTCATCGTGTTGACTAGTGGCGAGCGCGACACCAGACACTCCGTGGTGCGGCTGTGGGCGACTGAATAAGTTTCTTGATGGAGTATGAGAAGTTGGACCTGTTTCGGAAAACAACCCTAGTAATGGCGAGGCTGTCAACTCTGGGGCAGGGATGGGCACCTGAACATGCATAGGGGAATGGAAGCCATGTTCCTGGGTTTGAGACCCCTCGTCGACCATGGCTGACCGTTGGGGTGTCGGGATGATGTGGCTAGAGTCTGCGGTTGCGTGCATCTCTTCCTTTGATTCGTTCTCTGGGCTTTCAGGCTCTGACATGTCCTTTGCTTCTGGGCTCGGCGATCGGCTGCTATACCTCCAAACTGCATTGCCCATACTGAAACGGGACTTTCGCCCGCCATTCTTCCTCTTTCCTTTGTCGTCTCCGAAGAGGTCTGGTTCACCTTCGAACAAAGAACCGTACGAAACTCTGGCTCGTTTAATGAATGCCGGCGATGCATACTCATCCATGTCGAAGGTATTGGAGGCAAGCCGTTTCGACGGGACCGTAGAAGGAGGCAATGGTGTTGAATTCACCACTTCGTCTTCCGCGCTGAGAGGCTCCCTTGGCGGAGTGATGCGCGAGTTCGGACCAGGCTCCGAGACGCCGTTGACAAGGTCTTCTGGCGCGTTCAAATCAATGACGGTTGAGCCTTCGGATCCGAGTCTTTGAACAGAAAGTAATAGGCGATTGGTAAAGTTGAGTTGCCATTCGAGCGGCCCAACTGGCAGACCGGTCTTGGCGTCAATTCTGGTCCACTGAGCGCCATCTAAACTGATGCGAAGCTGGTCCCCACCGCCAATATTCGCATCTGCAAAGGCTTTGCCAGAAGGACCATGAAGCTCAATTCGAACTTGTCCATGGTCACGGCGCACGAGGATGTCGTGTTCGGCGAGAATAAATGCGATGGATTTTGTCACGGCGCTATATGGCCAGGTAATAGTGACAACCCCGTCAACGACCCGAGATTCTTCAGCGGCGCTTTGAGGACTGAGTTGCGCTATTGGCGTGACCGGAAGTTGGTCAAGAGCTTCCAAGGGCGGTCGGTCTGCCTTGTCCATGGTAAGAGTCTGAGCCGCCCACGCCTGTCATGTGGGTGTGACAAGCATACAGAGCGCGTCACGAAGCTGACCGCCTGTGTCACTCAATGCATCGTTTGGGTCTTGATGTGAAATCGCTGTCGCGGGACTTGATTTGCGAATCTGGAGCTCCAGGTCAGAGCTGTAGATGACGGCTGGGATGCTGGCGCGATTAGGATCAAGCTTCGAAAAGCAGGCGGTGAGGAGCGGCTCAGGATGGACAGTCGCTGGTGGGGCTCTAGTCAGGTGGCTGCCAGCTGCATCAGTGGACGATGAGTCGATGACTAAGTCGGCGCTGGGACTCGGAACTGGGAACTCTGCACGGAGTACGTCGGCGAGGTTCACAACATCACGGTTTTGTCACAAATCCTTTCGTGTGGTCTGCTTCCCCACGTCTCGGCGCGATGGGCTCGATACACGCAAGCAGGTTCAATGTGAAGTGCATTGCAGTGATTGGCGCCGGTCCCGCCGGGCTGGCCGCGGCCAAATACCTTCGAGCCCAAGGCACATATGACCGGATAACAATCTTTGAGCAGCAAGCAGAGGTTGGCGGTGTATGGAACTTGGACGCCGTCGTACCGGCTCCGAATCCTATTCCCCAGACCAGCCCGTTTTACCCTCCAGATGAACCGGTCCGTGTGCCGCAGGAGAAGTTCCCAATATTTCCGTCGCCCATGTACAACAAACTACATGCCAATATCCCCAAATCCATCATGATGTTCTCGGATTTGGAATTTCCGCGAAAGTCATGGATATTCCCCAGCCGTCACGATGTGCAAGACTACCTGGTTAAATATTCCTTGGATGTGCGCCACTTGGTCAAGTTCTGCTCTCAGGTAAAACGCGTCCTTCTGCAGCCTGAAAATGGCCAAGATCGATGGCGGGTGATGGCTCAGTCGACTCTCGACGGACGAGTCAGTGAAGAGGTGTTTGACGCCGTTGTCGTGGCGAATGGGCACTACTCGACCCCCTTCGTGCCGGATATCAAGAATATAATGGACTTCCATCGGACACATCCCTCCGTCATCACTCACTCCAAGAGCTATCATTCTGCGGATATATTCAGAGGGAAAAAGACCCTCATCGTTGGCAACGGACCATCGGGACTAGACATTGCGCATCAAATCAACCATGTCTCCAAGGGACAAACCATTCTGTCGGTCAGACATGAGACACCGCCGAAAAGGCTGCAGCACACTGGCTGTCGAGAGATTGCCGAGATTGACGAGTTTCTCGTCGACCGGAGGGGCGTGAGACTCAAAGACGGGCTCGTGGAAGCCGACATTGACGCCGTCGTCTTCTGCACGGGGTTCCGGTACAGTTTCCCGTTCCTCGACAAGCTGGAAAAGGAACTCATCACCAATGGGTCTTGCGTACATGGCCTATACAAACACCTGATTTACATTCAACATCCTACACTTGTCTTCCCCGCGCTCAATACGCGGGTTGTTCCGTTTCCGGTATCCGAAGCGCAGGCAGCGGTATTTTCAGCCGTGTGGTCTAACCACCTGCACCTCCCGTCCAAACCCGAAATGCTGAGGTGGAACAAAGCGGCAGAGGAGGCTGGCGATGAGCTGCACATCATGGCCGACGGCCAAGACGGCGTCTACTTGAACGAGCTGCATGATTACGCCATGACTGCCTCAAAATTAGGCAAGGAGCCGCCGAGGTGGGGGGATGAGCAGTTTTGGATTCGAAGGATAATCCTTGACGCCAAAATGGCATTTGAGGACCAAGGCTGCGAGGCAACAACTTTGGAGGAGTTGGGGTCCGAATTCCTTCAAGAGGAAGATGGGTGAAATGGGACGGAGGAGACTGGCTAGTTACTTGCAGCAGTTGACAGTGTTTACTCTGTCGCAAGCTCGGGCAACAGGTGGCCATGTCGACATGGCCGGCTCACGTTATACGGAGTCGCATGTGTCGGCTCTGTGGACGCGTCGTACGTCTTTCCCAGCCAGGGTAATCGCTCGACAAGACGCGCAGGCGGCATCAACAAAAATCTCGTGGCTGTGGCTGGTCAGGGCCGCCCCGTGCGTTGATGCCCTCAGCCAAGCAAACCAGCCCAAGCCAATGAGCAATCCAAAAGGCGTCCAAAAGGCGGTCCGTGTCGTTTCCACCATCAGGTGATCTGGTAAACTCCATCTGTCCTTACAAAATCTTGCCAAGTCGTCCATGCGTCAAAGGATCCCTCAGCCCAAGCATTTTATCCTTTGTCAAGGCTCACACGTCCTCTACACGTCCACTTCTCGCCAAATCCTTCCAAGCACGATTAATTCTCGGGCACACTGATCCCCGGAAATGGAGTCACCAACTACATCTCAGCCCCAGGTCTCGGGGTTAACAGACTTGGAACGAAAGCTCATATGGTGGCTTTGTTTTGTCCTCCGACTGTTCCTCCAGATGGTGATTCGAAACGCACTTACTCCGCGTCGATGGCTAGGAACCGGCATGCTTCCCAACCTGGTCTACTCGTCAATCGCCACATGGCCAGTCACCTATCTGCAGCAAGTCCTATCCGGCGAGCCAGCCCTGAAGCTGCCGAAAGGGCTCCTTCTGTATGCCCTGCCTCCCGTTCTCATTGTCGCTGCGTTTGGGGACTGTTCAGAGGACGAGTGTTGGGCGGGCTATCTGGGGGCCCCAGACGGGTGTTGATACCACTGATGTGCAGGTCTGCTCTTCACACACGTGCCAGATACTAGTTCGAACAGAGGTGGGCTGTCAATTCGGCTGGTCTCCTTTGGGCCTGCTCTTGCGGGCTGCATTTACTGAGGCAGGGCGGGGAGGGAAGCCTTGTCGCCCAGTCAAGGCGACGGAACGGACGTCCCCCCGAGCTTGGTGTTCCGAACTAATAGACCACGGCACACGACACATCTCGTTTCAAGGCCTGCTTTTGGATGCTTGAAGCTACACATGGCCCCTGTTGTGCTTGTGCTGCGCTGCAAGAATGATTCCGTCAAGCCGTGTCTTGAATCCTGTTTCCGCTCCTATCCTTGGCGAGTCCCATACCGTGTGAGCTGCCGCGTCGTACAAGGGGCCAGTGCATGCTTGCAGTGGCCCTGTCGACCTTTGCCTCTGAACAGCCGAAGGCTGTAGAACCTTGGCTCCATGGTAGCTACATTGGGCGTGCGTACGAGAGGCGAGAGGCCAGACTTGCAGCGTGCGCGGCGACGCTCCGCCAGCGTCCAGATAGTAGCCAACAGTCGAGATCGGCTGGGAGCAGTCAGGTCGACGTCGACGGCGCATCGACAACAAGCGAACGGCGGGCATCATCCGGGCATCCAGGCGGGAGGCCCACGGCGAGGGCGCAGGGCTTTCTTCGAGTGGAATCGACGCGTGACGGCAGCGCCCGGCGGCGACGGAATCCAGCGGGCACGCAGTTCTCGGCGTCGAGGGCTGATTCGCAACAGTGGAAGACTGCGTACACCGGCCGGTGGCAAACATGTCACACGTCACGGCTTGATGGGGCGCGACGACATTCACTTTGCTGGCACGGACACGGCATGTGATTCAGCATCTCGATTCATTCAAGAGCTGACGTTGTAGGAGGGAGCCATTGCGCCTCGATATAAAACATTTCCTGTTTCCCAATCACCACCGCCCTGCCCCGCTGCACACCCAGTCAGGACAGTTCTCTTGTCGGACTCGCCGGGAAGAGCTAGAGCTTCTTCTGAGAGTCCTTTGCAAACACGGAGGCGTAAGGGTTCAGGCGCAGCATGACCTGCTTGTTGCGGAGGGGGTTCTTCTTCTGCACGGCGGAGCGGCGGGTGAGGGCCTCGCCCTTGGGGGCGTTGAGCGAGCTCTGGATTTCAGAAGAGTTGATGAGGCGCGTGAGATCGGCCTGGGAGACGACGTTTGAGGGCAGGTGGAAGTCGCGCTTGTGGGCCGACGCCTCGGTGGTGGAGCCGTAGATGTCGTCGAGCGCCTTGAAGGCGGACGAGGTCCAGACGATGAAGCGGCCCAGGTGGCCGCCGGGGGCGAGCTGGAGGAGGTTGAGGGCGGAGACGGGCGACGTCTCGACGCCGGGGATGTTGCGGAACGCCTTGACGAGCTCCTTGCCGTCGACCTCGGGGTTGTAGACGATCAGGGGTCCGCGGCGCTGGCGGTGGCGGCGGCCGCGGAGCTTGCCCTTGCCGGCGCGCAGCTTCTTGGAGTCCTTGGCCTTTTCCACGTCGGGCCCCGCGCCGACGGCCTTGAGGAGGGCCAGGGCGGAGGCGGTGCGGGAGATGGCCGCGGCGTCGAAGAGGGCGCTGTCGACGACGAGGGGCACCTCGGCCACCGTCATGATTTCGTGTCCACGGGCCATCAGGAGAGGGGCGGCGGCCGAGGCGGCCAAGGCGGAGCAGGTCGCGTAACGCCTGGAAACGCGAGGTGTCTTCGTTAGTTGTCGGGGCAATCGTCATGTGTGGAGTTGGGCGGGTGCATACTTTTGGCCCTGGTTGATCTTGACGTGCCACTTGCGCCAGATCTTGGTAGGCGCGAACATACGACCGGATCTGCACATGTTACCAAAGGCAGCCTGGCCGGCGCGGTGAGTACCACCGCCAGAAACACGGGGGATACGAGCAACAGCACGTCCTGCGCCAAGGTTAGTGGTCTTCATTCCGTCCAAGAGTTGAGAAATTTTCGAGGAAATCTCAAAAAAAAAAAAAATCATACCAGTTCCCCACGACTCGGCAGAGGTCTGATGGCCAGCCTTCTCGCTCACGGCATACGGCTGGCGCTTGTTCTTGGCCATGCCGGTGTGAACTCGCTGCACGATGTCCGGTCGGATAGGGCTGGTGAAGACGGCGGGCACGGGGTGGGTGGCTCCCGTGGGAGCACCATCTTTGCCGATGATGGAGACGGTTGGTCGCGAAGCCATTGTGACGGTTTGGCGGACTTGGACCTGTGAATGAAGAAGAGAGAGAAAATTAGGACACAACTGGCGACGCCGCAAGGATCGTGGTCACGGCCGGGAAGACAGGAGGCTTACCTTGGTCGTTGGGCGGCGTGGAATTTGGTATGTGGATGGAGGTTGCGACTTGAGTGGGCTACGATAAATTTCACCAGAGCGGAATTTTCGCCCTTGTGTCAATTTTGCTGTGCGGGCCCTAAAAAAAAAAGAGGCACGTACTCCGTACCTTAAGCGAGGAGGGGCTCGGTGTTTCTGATTGGCCATATATCCCCACCAGCACACATCAGATCAGAGGACAGTGCATATTTCTAGGCCCTACGGAGTACGTACTCTGTATCTCTTTCACACTTTTCCATCCCCAACGCCCGTCCAAGAATCACAAATGGGTTTCATTGGTCACAGGGCTACTAGCCTACTACCACTACTACTATGCCACTTCATCGTCAAATCGCAATATATCTTGCATCGCCATGAAAGTCCTCAAACAATTCCCATATATGCAATCCAAACATGCGTTCCTTGCACGCTCCCTACTCCCATCTCTTCCATTCATCAACAAGCTTCTCCACCTGTTCTTCCTTCCATGAAGGGCTCACATTGGCTCGGTCAAGCTTCACCAACTTCTCGTAAATGTCCTTTTCTATGCGCCGCCTTTGGACCACCTTGTCTTCCAAGTACCTTGGATCATCCCTGCGGCAAGACCGTTTGAAGATGTCCCTCATTCGAGTTGAGTAAAGTTGGCATGTAGCCGAAGGGAGCCTTTGAGGCTTCATATAAAAGTTCCGTGCAATGACGTTTCCGTCTGCCAGTTTTGATTTCACAACTTCGTGGAAGCAGTTGCTGCATACTGTGAACTGAGGTAGAAACTGCATTGTATGCCAATATCCGTCGATTACCGGACTGTCCTCGCGGCACTTGAAACCCACAGTCAAGTGCCATAGATCTCGCGCCAAATCATCCACGTTCGGCGCCTGCTTGGCCTCAAGGGCCCTGTCGGAAGTGGTTTCCAAGGCATCAAAAAGTAGCACAAACTGCTTTCGCTCGGGCACAAAGTGTAGAGAGCAGACATCTTGCTTTGGTCTTGCGTCAATTGGCACAAAGACGCCAGTCAGATTTGGTAGCAGCAGCTCAACTGATCTGGCGCATTGGTAACAGACAGAGAAGTCAGTTACTGGCTGTCGTGTATGAGGATCTTTGACAGTAAGCCAGGTCCGGATCGCCTTTTTGGTACCAGGGCATGGCTCTAGGTTTGGAGCAGAATTAATGGTGGCAAGTTGCCGCAAGAGCCGCAGGTCTGGAATTTCGTCCTTGACAGTCAGCAACCATGCTATTCTATACCAGGGTGAGACCCCGAAGTCGCATGAAATTGGTTCATCAAGCGGACGGAGCATCGGCTTGAAAAATGTTCGGTACTCTGTTGTAGAAAAGACCGAGTCGTAGCAGGTAGGGCATATGTTGAAGTTGGTATGGGGAAGGGTGAGCCAATCTACTTTGCCTACAACAGGTTTCTGGCGTGGACATGCGGGCAGATTGTCGCTTCCGTCGTTCCCGTGGCTTTCGGAATATCGCCTGTAAGCGCCAATAGGCCTTTCAGCCCCAACGCCCTCCTTCTCTGGATTGAAAACGGGTGGTTGCCAGGCCTGCGGCGTCGCTGCGGCTGTGGATGGTGTCATTGGAGGGTCATAGTTGGAGTCAAAGGAGCGTCCTGGGGTAGTTGCGACGGTTGACGACGGCTCCGGCATGGACACAGACCCAGAATCGGCGAACTTTTGGTGCCTTGTGTCCGGTCTGCGGTCTTGTATGTCAAGGCCAACGTCAGGCGGAGCATCATCTTCTGGGTATGGGAGCTGAGTGTTGGAGCCTCTTGGCATGTCGGCGGTGGTCCGGGCCGCCATGATTGTTGGTTCTGTGGACGCCGTTTTCGGGGCATTATTCGTCATCTGTCCGACCGCGGGATGGCCCATGAGCGGAAAGGTGGGCGTTCGAGTGGAGGCCCGCACATGTCCAGCGTCGTCTTTGCGATCTTGTCGGGGAGGTGGCTTTTCTTCCTGAACTACTACTGGTTTGGAGGACAGGTAACTGGAGCTGCGAGGACTTCGAGAAAATTCGTCTCCAGAACGACTGGGCTCTCTGGAGTGGCGAGGAGAAAGTCTGAGGCCGGAGTTGTCCAAGCGGCTGTAGGAGGAAGCATCTTGATTGTCACTGTTGGTGTACGAATACTCGTCCCGGTATACAGGATCAACATCATTGGTCGCTCTCATTCTCGACCGACTGCTGTCCAGATCGGTATTGGACCGCCTTGTGGACAATGATGGTGGTGCACAATCTCTTCCATAGTAATCGCGGTCCGAACCGCGGCTTGTCTCGAACCTGTGACTTGAACTCGACGGCGAACGTGAACGGTATCCCCCGGCGGATTGGCTCGTGTCACAATGTGTTTTCCCGCGTCCTTTTGGACCAGGTTGAATGGGATCTGGTGATAGGAAGTAGTCACCATAGCGACGGGACTGGCGAGGATCAAAACAATCCGGCTTATGACCGGTAGCCGCTGATCGGGTTCGATGATGGTCAGAGTAATGTCGGCCATCCAGTTCGGTATCAATAGCCGGCAGATCTTGTTGGCTTTTCCTACGGTCGGGTCCATATCGTGATGTACTGGACATCTCCTTTCGCCCACGGCGATCATCTTCTGGCCTTGGGGATCGTCGAGAGGACGTAGGTACCCTCAGTTCCCGTGTATCGTCTCGGGTTTCCGTCTTGGACTTATCGGTTGTGGTTGAGGTTGACCTTTTTGCAGAGTCTGGAACAAATATGAAACGCCTCTCGGGGTTATATTCATGAACATCCTCCATGACATACTTCTGGTCAACATGACCTCTGCACTGTGGCTCTTCCTCAGCAACCACGGACGCTGCAGGCGAGCCATGCTCCCTAGCAAGAGACTTGATTTCGTCTTCAACGGTAGGTGGTGGTGGGCGGCATCTTCTTGGCTCTGGCGCAGGCGCAAGGTATACAGTTCTGGGAACTTGACCGTGTGCGGGCACAGGTGGAGGAATGGGTTCTGGGGGTGCATAAGGTGACGGTGCGGCAGATCGAGAGGAGGTGTCTGGGCTGCATTGTATGATGAGTTAGCACACACGGCAAAATCCTGTCAGGGTGGCCACCATTGCACCGCGGAGGTGTTGCACTGACGGGCCAGTGCTGCGGGCTCTGGACGTGGTAAAGTAGCCCGTCTCGAGCATGTTTTGGATGTTGAGCGAGTCGCCCATGCTGAACTTGTTCATGGGTTCCACCACGCAACAGGCATCGCAGCTGTCTTGAGGTCGGTTTTCAAGGATGAGGGGTTCCCGTGTGGCCCGATGGTTGCCAACAGGGAGCTACTCCTCGGGGTCTTGTCGCCGTCGCCGAACGCGGTTGAGGAGTTGAAGACACGCCAATCGACGAAGTTGGTTATTGGAACCCCAGATGCCCGGGGTCGACCAGTGGCCCGTGGCCTGAGGGTGATGACGAGTGACGAATGACGAGTGACGGTGAGTGACGGTGAGTGACGGTGCGCTAAGCTGGGCAGTAAGGAAGGCAAGGACGTGGTGGACGACCAAGCAGTGGAAGGAAGGAGCGAGCGAGGCAATAGCAGGGACCCTGAACGAAGGCGGGTGTCGGCGGTGAGGACAACAAAGCATGAAGCCGTCGCGGGAGCACAAGATGGGAACAGGCACTCCGATCAGGGTTGGCAATGGTCCAAGAGAACCGGCCTGCAGACGGCAAGCAGACGAGTGGTTAGAGGCGCCGCCAGCCCCGTGTACGGAGCGGACTGGGCCGGACAGAGAAGAGATGCCACTCGAGCCAACGAAGCAACCACTCGCTGCGCTGCAGATCACGACTTGACCTGGCAATTGCTCAGGTTGCTGGTCGGTGGCGTAGGTGCCTAGCAGGTACTTCAGTATCTGAGGTTGTGGTACAATATACTTACGTACCAAGTCGCTACGGCGTGCTCCGTGCTGGTGCCAAGTACCCTGGTACTCCGTATCCCTACTCGACTTTCGATAAAACACTGGACCTGGTGCTACCATACCCTAGACAACAAATCAACGAGTGTCACGCTGCTCTCACCTGTGCAGCATGCAACTTATTCCACATGGGCAATGCGTCACTTGCACCGATGACTTCATTGAGCCCATCCAAAGACGTAATTGAAGGCGGGTGGGTGAGCTGCTAAATGCCCTTTTTTCATACAAACAACCCGAGTCCTTCGTGCGGCCGATGCCATGGCACACTTACAAAACAATGTCCAACAGGACAAACGGCCCCCAGAAGACAAACAGTCGAAATGCGCATCTCGCACCCATCTCTCTCCCATGCAAACGGCAGAATTGATATCACAGCCTTACTGATGATGCCGCACGTGAATAACGCCATGTTCCCCCAGACTCCAAGCTTGCAACCCCTCTCAATCCTCCAGGAACTCCTGAATATCAGCATCTTCATCCAGTGCTGCTCTGCGCCTCTCATCCTCCTCCAGCAGCTCGCGCAGCATCTTTCGCTGGCGCACGCGCGCCTTCTGACCCCAATCCGAGCTGGTGCCATCACCGCCGGCATTGTCGTCGTCGGCGGCAGCGTACAGCTTGTCCCTGAAGCCGCGGTACTCATTTGGCGAGAGCTCCGGACGGGGCAGCTTGTCGTCCTCGCCGCGGGCTTTTCTGTCGTCTCTCTCCATCTTCTCTACCGCGCCCTTGGTGACGGCCTTCAGGAAGTAGGGCCGGAGGAGCATGTAACCGCCTGCAATGACGACGATGCGGATCCACGACTGCAGGGTCATGCTGTTGAAGCCCTGGGAGATGTTGTTGGTGGCGTTCTGCCCGTACTCGGAGAGACGGGCGATGGTCTGGCCCAAGAGGTTGAGCGCCGGCGGCTGCTGGGCCTCAACAGGCTGCGCTCGTTGATCCATGGCGGCGTCGAGTCTGGAGCTGGCGAATGGAGGCAGTTGACGCCTGCGCCTCTGAGCGGAAGTATGATGACAGAGTCCGCCGCGAGATGAGTGGTTTGCTGTGCCAAGAGAAATGATGCAGCTCGGGATGGCCCTTGATGAGGGTCGAGACTCGAGATGAAGTCGACAGAAAATTGTGGCAAGTGGATCCTTGGCTTGGCGAGTCACATCGACACAGGAGCTGCCTCGATGCTGCGAAGATGGCACGACTCAAGTACGATCAGGAGCAGGAGTGGGAAAGAGTTTGAGACGGAACATGACGATAATAAGAGACTCGGGATATCTCTGTTGCACCGTGCTCTGCGAAGACCAAGACGCATTGCTTGTTGCCCAGGTCTTGCGGGTGCAGCAAGGCTGGCCGTCTGTCATTGGTGGGCTTCTCCTCCGATCCCTGTGCCGGGTCCCGGCCGACGGGGTCAAGCACCCGGGTGCCTTCATCCCCGTCCGGAAATAACATGTCTCCGCACAAAACCGGCGTCTCAACGGCTAGTCGTCTACGAACGCAACATGTATGTAAACAGCTTTCTGTTGTCGGCCTGATGCAGCGCTATGCGATGCGAAGCCTTGGCGGCCGTGGCCGTGCCGAGGGACCTGTCTAGTTCCCAACGAACCGGGTCCCGGTCAGCCGAGGTCCTCGCACCCACTGTCATGGCTGTGTCTTGAGGGTCTCCATTACAATCAGGGTTCCTAGCCGCCGCCCGGCGAAGTTTCCGCTGTGACCAGTGGTTCCCGGGCCGGACCCTTCTCGGCTCTCGATATGACTCTCTCACCGTCTTTCTTTCCCGGTTAGCTCTGGAGCCAACATCGCGGACGGCTTTCTTTCTTTTCATCCTTTTCTCCCCCCCCTCGCCGAACGTGATGATTGAAAGGTTGGACGAAAAGTCTCCAGTGAACAATGCTTCAAAGTTCAAATGCAAATTCCGGGCGAGATATCCTTGCGCAGGCGCTAAGTCGCCGTGCGCAAAAATTGGCCGAGTCAGATACGGTTATGGCACAAGGTGAATGGGTTGCCGAAACAGGTGAACAGATCTCGCGCCAAGTCTCTCGTCGTGATGTTGAGACCACGAGCCAAGACCCAAGTGACTCACAGACGACGACTTCCCGGATGGCGGCCTGGAGGCTTGGCTGGTTGTGCTAGGCGCCTGGGCTGTCTCGTTTTGCAGCTTTGGTTGGATTAATAGTGAGTGACAATACGCCCTTGAGCCTGCATACTTTCCCGTGTATGATTTTCCAAACGCCAAGCTGCAGCTTGGTGACCGCTTTGTTAGGTGTCGGTACCTTCCAAGAGTGTTACGAGTCTGGACCGCTCAAAGAGTATACCGCAAGTCCAATTGCTTGGATCCCGGGAATGCAAATCTCATATCAGCCTTGTCGCCATTGACAGGAAGAAACTTTGACAGTCATGGTCCGCGATCCCTACTCCTCGTTGGATCTTTTTTGCACGTCTTCGGCCTCATGATGGCGTCATTGTCGTCCAAATACTACCAGTTCATGCTCTCCCAGGGATTCTGCAGCGCCCTTGGTGTTTCTGCCAGCTTCTTGGCGGCCATTGGCTGTGTGAGCGGCTGGTTCAAGCGAGACGCGGCACGGCGTTTGGAATGCTCGCCATCGGGTCCAGTCTGTCTTGGAGGCGTTGTATTCCCAATTATGCTCAGTAATCTCATCAAGACTGTTGGATACGGGTGGGCCATGCGGAGTGCCGCCTTCCTAATCCTTGCTCTTCTCATCGTGGCCAACATAACCGTCAAGTCTCGACGGCTGAATGGGCACCAGACCATTTCGAGAAAAGGACTGACCCGACCGTTTCAGGGAAATATTTTTGTTATTGCTTATTGGTCTTTCCTCGGTGCCATTTGGTCTGTATACGCCAATCACCTTTATCCCTACTGAAAGCGTTTGCTGGAGCGTTTATGCTTGTGGGAACGACTGGCGTTGCTGCAGCACGAATATCTCAAACGGGCTTCAGATTAAGGGTTAGATTTTGAATGAATAAAATCCAACCTAGCCATATGATGCTCGGTGGCTTTAGACTCCTGTCAGCTGAGTGCCAATGATGACGGGACAAGTAGCAGCCCGTATCTATGAAGAGGTAATAGACAAGCGAGCGGTCTTGTATTTAATTGGGTAAAACAAGGTAGAATCAGAGACTGTTGCGAGGCGTTCACCGACTACATAGACAATCTTGACATGTGCTGCGGGTGCAAGTTCTGAACAAACTAACCTAGTAGCAATTGGAAATGAGACGAATTTGAGTGGTGAAACCTCCTGTACAGGACCCTCACGTGACTTGCACGTAGCGGCAGGCACGACTTGGGCTCGAAGCTGCGGTTCATTGGAGCTCACAAAAATTTCGAAACGGCGACTCCAGAACACTTGCACCTCTACTCTGTAGCATAATCTTCTACTGCACAAATCCTCCGCTCATTCTCTTCTCCAGTCGGCGCATTTCGTTTTCATTTTTCGGTTTATTTCACAATGCCTGCCGCTTTTAGATCTGTTGCGCCGTTCTTGCGGACTGCTCGGCACGGCTTGCGCAGTGGCCGTGTTAACCCCCTGCAGACGGCCATCAAACCTCAAACCGCCTCTGGCATTCTCAACATCTATCGTTCATACGCCGTCTTTGAGCGAAGCAAGCCACATGTCAATATTGGTATGGCTGTGAAATATGCCATGTGAAACAAGTCGAGTCTAATGTCATTCCCAGGTACCATTGGCCACGTCGACCATGGCAAGGTAGGGAGAGGAAAATGCAACCGGGCGAAATATCGGATAGCTAACCAACGGCTAAATTAGACCACGCTTTCCGCCGCCATCACGAAGCGACAGGCCGAAAAGGGCCTCGCCAACTTCCTCGACTATAGTGCCATTGACAAGGCTCCCGAGGAGCGCAAGCGTGGTATTACTATTTCGACTGCTCACATCGAGTACGCTACCGAGAAGCGCCACTACTCTCACGTTGACTGCCCCGGTCACGCCGACTACATCAAGAACATGATTACTGGTGCTGCCAACATGGATGGTGCTATTATTGTCGTCGCAGCCTCCGACGGACAGATGCCCCAGACTCGTGAACACTTGCTGCTTGCCCGACAGGTCGGTGTTCAGAAGATTGTAGTCTTCGTCAATAAGATCGATACCATTGATGATCCCGAGATGCTGGAACTCGTCGAGATGGAAATGCGTGAGCTTCTCAACACGTACGGCTTCGAGGGTGACGAGACTCCCGTCATCATGGGATCCGCTCTCTGCGCTTTGAACAACCAGAAACTTGAGATTGGCAACAACAAGATTGACGAGCTCATGGCCGCTGTTGACGAGTGGATTCCTACCCCTGAGCGTAGCCTGGACAAGCCTTTTCTCATGTCCGTTGAGGAAGTATTCTCTATCTCCGGCCGTGGAACTGTCGTCTCTGGACGTGTTGAGCGTGGTGTACTGAAGCGCGATGAGGACATTGAGCTTGTCGGCAAAGGCAAGGAGGTCATCAAGACCAAGGTGACCGATATCGAGACTTTCAAAAAGTCTTGTGACCAATCACAAGCCGGCGATAACTCTGGTCTTCTTATTCGCGGTGTCCGCCGTGAGGATGTCCGCCGCGGCATGGTTGTCTGCAAGCCTGGTACAGTCAAATCTCACACTCAGTTCCTCGCCTCTCTCTACGTCCTTACCAAGGAGGAAGGTGGCCGCCACACTGGTTTCCACGAGCACTACCGCCCGCAGCTCTACCTGAGAACATCTGACGAGTCTGTCGACCTGACCTTCCCCGAGGGCACCGAGGATGCTCAGGGCAAGATGGTCATGCCAGGTGACAACGTCGAGATGGTGGTGACATTGACTAACCCCAACGCTATTGAAGTTGGTCAGAGATTTAACATTCGTGAGGGCGGTAAAACTGTTGCTACTGGTCTGTGCACACGCATTATGAAATAAGAGCAACCGTATGATTGTGGACCAGGAGAAGAAACGGAGAGAAGCATAAATACCACAGGCGAAGGGCAATCCATCGGCTTGAAAACGAAAAGGAGCGAGGTACCGTGGAGATCTTATCGACGATACGGCAGGAGGGTGAAGCTGAGTGTAAGATGTGCGAATTCCCATGTTTCTGAGCGAAAAGGGCTCTTGTATATTCCAAGGATGGCCCCGGAGATCTCCCCACTCTGCTTCTTCCCATTGTCTTGATACGTGTACTTTAGACAGGCATACAGGGGGAATCAGTAAGACGATCAATTGAACAACACCGTACATAAGTTTTTACATACATTCGTCGTATTGCAAGGTGTGATTCAGGAGAATGCAGACGCTCGTCCGATGAGTCCACGACTAGGCATTTTGGCATGACCACGTCTCATGAACTGCCTCCGACTCAATTACGCCGTAGCCACACAAGCGTGTCGAAAATGAACGGTCTTATCTTCACGTGATGGCGATTGTCCGTTGGCCCAGGCAGCCCAGGCAGCCCAGGCAGTTGGCTTGGCAGGGGAGCTTTGCGTGGGGCAGGCGTTTTACTAATAAGTCGGACTTGGGTTCAACGGTCTTGCAAGCTGGCGTCTAGACTCTAGACACATTTCATTCCCAAGCAACAAACATAATCAGCCACTCAACCGCGTCAACTTTGATTTCATCACAGACTGCGGCGAAGAGCGACGACTATCCATTCAATTGTTGAGAAAAACCTCATCCTGAAGAAAATCTCCTGCTCATCCATTCGCAGGTTCAACAGCCGCCCAACATGGTTCTCATCAAGAGCTTCGTGCTCGCCGCCGTGGCTGCCGTCGCGACTGCCAGATCCGCCGTCATGGACCTCACACATTCCAACTTCGACAAGGTCGTCCTCAAGTCGGGAATACCCACCCTCGTTGAATTCTTCGCCCCTTGGTGCGGCCACTGCAAGTCCTTGGCCCCCACGTACGAGGAGCTCGCCCTCGCCCTTGAGCATGCCAAGGACAAGGTACAAATTGCCAAGGTCGACGCCGATTCCGAGCGGGAGTTGGGCAAGCGCTTTGGAATCCAGGGATTCCCTACGCTCAAGTACTTTGACGGAAAGTCGGACAAGCCCGAGGAGTACAAGTCTGGTCGAGATTTGGAGAGTCTGACCAAGTTCCTGACGGAGAAGGCTGGGGTCAAGGCCAAGAAGAAGCTGGAAATGCCTAGCAAAGTTGTGATGCTTACTGACAGCAGCTTTGCGGAGGTCATTGGGAGTGACAAGAATGTGCTTGTTGCGTTCACTGCTCCTTGGTGCGGACGTAAGTGCTTCGGCTTTCTGGGTATGCTGGAATTTGGGAATTGCTGACAGTATGTGCGTAGACTGCAAGAACCTGGCCCCTACCTGGGAGAGCCTTGCGGCCGATTTCGCCAACGAAGCCAATGTCGTCATTGCTAAGGTGGATGCTGAGGCTCCCCACAGCAAGGCCGTGGCCACCGAACAGGGCGTCACTTCTTACCCGACCATCAAGTGGTTCCCCGCTGGGAGCAAGAAGGCCGAGAGCTACGATGGGGCTCGCTCCGAGGACGCCTTCGTCGAGTTCATCAACAAGGAGGCTGGCACTCACCGCGTTGCGGGTGGTGGTCTTGACCGTGATGCCGGAACAATTCCCGTCCTCGACTCGCTGGTTGCCAAGTTCATCGAGGGCGCCAAGTTGGAGGATACGGCCGCCGAGGTGAAGAGTGCCATTGAGAAGCTCGGCGACGACGCCAAGTATGCTTACGCCAAGTACTACATCCGAGTCTTTGATAAGCTGAACAAGAGCGACAACTTTGTCGCCATGGAGCTCTCCAGACTCGAGGGCATCCTGGAAAATGGCGGCCTGGGCCCGTCCAAGCGCGATGAGGTTCAGAGCAGGACGAATGTTTTGCGCCGCTTCGTTAAGAAGGCTGCCGAGAAGGCCGAAGAGATCAGGGATGAGCTGTAATCGATGAAAGCGTTGACTGAAACATGGATTGTGGCCAAACTGGTTTGGGGGGGCAGTTGGAAGCAGAGGCTTGAGGACATTTACGTCATATGTGCAACCAAGGTAAGTAGTACACGCCGGTTGACTCGGCTGATTCGTAAGTATGGAATCAATAAGAGGTATCGAACAGGGTAAACACGAAAGCCTGCAGTATGTACAATGCTACTCATGACGAATTTTCACAATGTGAAACACTCTCAAGACTTTGTCGAGCCCGATCCCTCGTTTGCCTTGGTCTCCAGCAGCGCCGCCTCTAAATTGTCTAATCTGCGTGACATTTCATCCACTGTCGAATTTCGGCAGCAGCATCTTCAATCAGCAGCTGGCTTTGTGTTGCGGATGTCCTCATTTTCCACGTCGGAAGAAGAAAGGGGATGGATGGTTTGGTGCGCAAGCGTGAAACTCACTTTTGGCAAAAATCTCGGACGACACGCTGGCAAATTTATTGGATAGCGTGTTCAACAAGTCCTCTACGGCGGCCGAGACGTCGGCGTTGGAATTATCGGGCGACTGGTCGTCGAGGTACGTCAGAGCTATGCTTGTTCCTCAAAGGACAGCGGAGTGAAGAGGAAACAGGGCGTCACGTACGGGGGCCTTGTCGACGCCGGGCGCGGGGTCTGTTGACTGCATGATTATTGTTGGTGATTACGGCGAAGGCGAGTCTTGTCTGTATCATTGAGCGTTGAGACGGGCGATAGACAGATCATAGGAAGATGTTTGACGCGCCCTTGATGGTGATGGTCGAGCGAGTGGTTGGTTGCATGGAGCATGTGCAAGCGGGCTGGCGTCTGGTGGGGCGGGGCGGGCGGACCCACATGCAGTCCGTACTCCGTCTCATTACTCCGTACTCCGTACCATCTCTTTGGAAGGTGCGCCATTGCCTCCTTCCACATGTCGTCTGGCTCGCACGCTGCGGCGCACGGCGACTGAAGCACCGAGACGCGCTGCCGCCGCCGTCAACCTCGAGCCGCATCCTGTGTCCCTCCAGCTCTTGGATGTCTCGCCTCGTCTCATCCCACGCAATCCCCCTCGCAAGTGTCTCTTGCTGGGCAACATATCATGTTGGCGACGTAGCTCGCACGGCCCTTGTTCCCGCGCTGCGTCGGCCACTATCATGCCTCCCGCAGCGCAGAGTCCGGCGGGCGCCTTTCTCTTCATCCTCTTCCTCATATGGGTCTTCTTCCCAGAAGGCGACTCCCGAAACCAGTCTCTTGCCGTGTCTGACTTGGCCGTCGATCGGCTTGCCCGGTACCGAGACGCCCTCGACGTGCTCAACACGACCGCGTGGGCGGACTTTGCGCCTCAGAACAAGACGACCGAGGGTGGACATGTCGTGGAAGCAAAACATTTGAACCTCACGGGCTTCAGGGAATCAGACGGCTTCGCATGGGACGACCTGGAAACTTTCAAGCAAAAGGGCCTGAAGCTGAGCAGACATGCCGTCCCGCCCGTCGACGGAAACCAGCGGTGGGATGTGGCGCAGGGAGGGGCGATGTGGACAGATGCCTCGGGAACCGTCCACGGAGACTGGGTTCGCAAGCCGGGCTCTGTGTCTCGCGGCTTCGACAGCTACAACTTGTCCAGGAGCGTGCCCGAGGTGGAGTGGACGGGGCACAAGGTCGAGTGGGCGCGGAACGTGACGGGCAACGCGGGCAGAATGATGCTTCGTCTGAGCGGCAACAAGACGCTCACCCGCTACGAGCAGCTGCCACGGGACATGGCGCCGCTGTCGGGCGGCATCATCCGCAGCGTGAGAGGCACAGCTACCATCGAGGACACCGCCGGCTCCGGCCTGAACTGGGAGATGAAGCTCTGGGGCGTCCACTGGCCACGCCAGGGCGTCATCCTCATGACGACGACGAGCGAGAAGTTTGAAGGCATCTTTGCCCTGCCGCACCTGTCGCCCGGCCCAGACTTCTTCCAGTCGAGCCAGATGCTGCTGAACAAGACGCTGGCCCGCGTCATCCGCCGCAAAGAGGAGCACGTCCACGTCGACCAGCGGATGCCGTGGAGTTCGGACGTCGAAAACCCCCTGTACACGGCGTACCCGTCGCCACACTGCGAATACATCATGTACGCGCAGGTCCACCCGCCCGTGCCTCCCAAGTCGACTCAAGGCCGAGACGCCGTCCCGGGGGCTACCGAGGACACCATCAACGCCATAGAGTCGGAGCTCCAGCATCCCGTCGGCGCGCCCATCCCGCGGATACCCGAGCTCAGGGTGTCCGCCGTCGTGTACTCCCCGGACTGCTCGTTCTTCCTCGAAACCAAGGGGCCGCCGGATTATCCGCCCAGCGAAGCCGACCACCTCGTGGGCCTGAAGAGGGAGGTGCAGACGCACCAGATCAAGACGTGGCTGCTGCTCTACGCCCTCGTCGTCTTCGGCCAAGTCCGCCTTCTCCGAGACCAGATGAAGGAGTCCTTCACGCCGTCCACCATGGGCAGGATCAGCTTCGGCACCATCGGCGCCATGCTCATCGTCGACGGGATGACCTTCACCGCCGCAGCCACGTGGGTGTCCTCTGCGGCGGCCACCTTCCTGCCCACGCTGGCGCTCATGTTTGTCTCGTTTCTCAGCATGACCATTGGCGGCAGCTTCCTGGCAAAGATATACGAAGTCCAACTGCCCGAGAGCAGAGGCCGCCGCGACCAGTCCTCCTCCTCCCCATCCACCACGACGGCGCAGGGCCCAACGCCAGGTCTGCTCCCGGGCCCCGTGACGGCCGCCTCCGGCCGCGTCGAGACACCCGTCATCGTCCCCTCGGACCAAGACATCTCCGCCGAAATCGCCTCGGCCGCCTCAGCCGTGCCCGTCAGCCGCGGCGGCAGCCCCTCGGCCCCGCAAACGCCAACCTTCCAAGCCATCATCGGCAGATTCATCCTCTTCTCCCTCTGCGTCTCCTTTCTCGCCATCTCCTCGTCGACGTGGTACCCCCGCCCGCGGTCCGTGTTCCTCAACACCTGCGCATTCGCCTACCTGTCCATGTGGACGCCCCAAATCTACCGCAACACCCTGCGCAACTGCCGGCGCGCCCTCGCGTGGCGCTTCGTCCTCGGCCAGTCCGCCCTGCGCCTCCTCCCCATCGCCTACTTCTGGCTCAAGCACGACAACTTCCTCTACGCAACGACCGACGCGCCCGCCTTCGTCGCCCTCGCCGGCTGGGTCTGGGTCCAGGTCGTCGTCCTGGCCGCGCAGCAGGTCGTCGGTCCGCGCTTCGGCGTCCCCCTCTCCTGGGCCCCCGACGCCTGGGACTACCACCCCGTCCTGCGCGAGGACGGCCTCGAGGGCGGCGGCCTGCCCGTCGGCTTGGTCGCCCCCGATGAGCGCGGCAGTCTGGACAGGCACGCCCCCGCGGCGCACGACAAGTCCTCCCGCGTCGTCAGGCACGTCGACTGCGCCATCTGCAGGGAGGTGCTCGAGTTGCCCGTCGTCAAGGCTGGCGAGGACGAGTCCAGCGTCTCGGCCGTCTTCGCGCGCAGGATGTACATGGTCACTCCGTGCAGACACGTCTTCCACATGGCCTGTCTGGAGAGCTGGCTGCGGTTCAGGCTGCAGTGTCCTATCTGTAGGGAGGAGTTGCCGCCCACTTGACGGATTTTCTTCTTCTTCTTCTTCTTCCTTGTCTTTTCTCTCTGTTGGTTGATTTCCTGGCGTCGGTCGGCTCGTCATCATGCTTCGGCTTTGCTGGGCCTGGAAGCCGTCAAGGACCGTGCTGATGATTCGGCAAGTGTCGCAACATGTTGCGTCGAGTTGACAAGAAACGTTTGAACATGCACAAATCTGCTTTCTCGGGTGAGGGCCATGTGTGATTGGGAATGTATTTTTACTATCCAATGAAATCAAAGCACTGCGATTTGGCGGCACGAGGCGCACTGCGTTGCCAGCAGAGAGGGGGTCTATCTAGTTGACTTTTTTTTGAAAAAGTGAAGAAATAGATGAAACAAACAAGCCCCCTGTTTAACAAACCCTGGGATATCTCGCACTTCCAACCGACCCTTCCCCGCCCAAGCAACGCCTTGAATACCAACGGCCGTTTCCTATTTCCTGCCCAAAGTCATCAAAACCAACGTCCAGGGCTACCACGCGATTCTAGTGCACCGTACCCTGTCGTCGTGAGATCCCTCATGCACCGCCCGTGTGCCCACTCGCAGCTCGACGAATCGAGCCTTGAGGTCAAAATCAGCCGACTTCACCATGACTCTCCTCTGCTCCGGAATGGGCTCCGACGGCAGCGCCGATTCATCCCACTCCAGTGATAGGTCGGCATAGGATTCTTCAATCTGCATGACCCAGCGGCCAATATTGGCTGCCAGCTCGCTGTCCCACATGCCCTCTCTTCTCGCGCTGCTCCGTAACAGCTGAATAGCTTGGCGTCGCAGCCTTGGTTCGCGGCACTTGGTTGCCACCACAAACAGGGGCGGTACGATGCCAAGGTCTGCTGAAAAGCTTGGCTTGATGTGAGCCGTGTTGGACTTGCCGGCTCTGAATGCGGCTCTGGCGGTTGTGCAGTGCTGCGTCTGGGCGTCTTCGGTTTTCACCTTTTCCTCCGTGGCGGCCCGGCGCTCTTCTGCGCTGACCACCTCCCAGCCAAGATCGACAATGGCTTTGAAGTGCGGCAAGAATGCGTCGAATTTTTCTTCCGTGTCGCAAAACATCATCAAGAATAGAACATTGCTGTTGATTTGAAACATTTTCAGGGCGGATATGCCTGTCTTCTCGATGAGGCTGACCCGCGGATCGAAGCGAGACAGAAATATGTGCTCAAAGGCGACCGCCCAAGCATCTAGCTCACTCTTCAGGTCCATGCCATACTGCCTCCATGATTCGGGAAGCACGTTGCTCTTGTTATTCTTCGCGATTTGAAGTCGTTCAATGAATTTGAGAAGCCTCTCGCACAACTTGTCGGAGGCTAGACGGGCTTCTAGCAACGACTCGAACCGGGGTGGAACCGTGAAACTGGGCGGCGATCCGGGTGATCCAATATCTGATGAGACGGGTGACGACCCACGAGATGGTTGCTGCGGAGTTAGGCGTATGACGTAGGGTTGCGGAAAGTGAAATGCCATGTCGTACGACTTGGCTTGTATCGCTAGGCGGGTAAATATGATGAGCAAATCGTCTTCGATGTACCCGTCCGGACCCGGCGTCCGGTGGTTGGGATAGAGCGTCTTGAGTTGCTCTAGCAGGCCAAGACCTGTCTGAATTTGAGCTATTGCCTGTTTATGGTCACCAATGAAAGAGTCAAAACAAGCTAGAAGGATACTAGCCATGAGTCGAGTTCTGAAGGAGCGTAAGCTCTGCCCGTTGAGGAGCATCATGGAATTCACCGCATCAGAGTACTGTTTTACGGCAACTTGCCAATGTGACAAGAAGGACCCCATAAACACATCGCGCCTTTCGGGGCTGATTGTCGTCATGTAAAAGGTTTGCTCCAAAGTTTTGTAGAGAGCACCAAGAGCAATGACCGAGTGACGGATGGCTGCCTCGGCGTGGCACTCTTGCAGAACTCGCTGGGCCCAAAAATTGGAATTGAAGTATCCCGACAGCTCGGAGGAGGTCTGGACGCGGAAGAGTTCGAAGTACAAGCCCTCGACTTGCTGAAATCCCAAGGTGTTGGACGGCTGGTACAAGGTAGGCGGAGTCACGGCAGCCAAAAGGGCATGCTGCGTGACTATCGATTGGCGTTTGCGCCGATTGGCTCGGCGCGGCGGCAAGACTGTTGGCTTGACAATGCTGGCCGCGACAACCCCGGATGGCGCCAGCGGCCGAATCGCCAACGCCGGTTTGGGTGCAATCCTGATGTCGGCAAGCGGCCTGGCGCTCCGTGGAGGTGGAGGGTACCCCGTGCAGACCTTGTGGCTTCTCACGCACTGAGTACAGGCTGGTCGTAGCTCATCGCACTTGATGCGTCTCTGTCTGTGGGAAACAGTCAGGGCATGATTGATTGAGTGACGAGGGATTTCCACGAGACGGCCTGCGTGGCAATGGTTGCACTTACTTGCAGTTGGAACAGCCCGTCTTGACTTTTGGATTGCTTCGCCGCCCACGCTTCACCGGGCAGCCATCGGGGCCGATCTGGGCCCCGGCCTTGGGCGTAGAGCTGCCGGGAGAGGCGCTGGAGGAAAGGCATGGCACAGAGGGCGGATTGATGGACTTGAGTTGCTGCCCTGGTGATGTCGACATGGTGAGCCAGTGTGGTGTGAAGGGCGTCTGCGAGGCTAGGCTCGAGCCCGCAGCGGCCGAGGTCCTGCTTGCCGTCGCGAGGAAGGGACGTCGATTTGACTTGAAGCAACGGTGTTGGGCAGCGATGGACTCGACAAACGGCCTGAAGCGTATGGGAGACTGGTGGCGGAACAAGAAAATATATGTGATGACGCCCGAGTCACGGCGCCAGCGTATGTATGATGGCCCCCTGGCTCTGAACGAACTGAATGGGCCAACGGCACGGCGTGGAGGCGTGGACCGGGAAACTGGGATAGAAGCCGGTGGTGGTCTGCCCGCCGGCGCAGGTTGGCAAGAACAAAGAGACGGGTAAATTTGCGGGACGGGAAGAAAATGGTGAGAAAAGATGAGCAGTACCGTCAGGACGAGGCAAGACCAGAGAGGAGCAGGCCTCTCAGCTCGAGCACGGCCTTGTTGAACGACAAGGCGGCCGAAGTGTCATGCGCACTGAAGGGTCATGACAGAAATGGACAACATCATAGGCCGCAGAGCACGAGCCAAGATTCAAAAGGGAAAGAGGAGCACAAGTAAAAAAAATAAATATAGAAACCGTCGAGATAAATAAATAAATAAATAAATCGACAGCAGGTGACTGCCAAAGGCAGCAAGAATCGTCAGCGTGGGAAGAATCTTGTCCTGATTCGCGCATTTGCGGGGACGGACGTCGAGGCTTGCGAACTGCCGACTCGCACCGTTGTTGACGTGTAGGCGCCATCAGCTCAAGCGACCAGACAGACGGCTAGCTTGACTTGAGCAGCGGTGGAGTCTGGTAGCAAGATTGATGGCGAAGCAGGCAAAGGTCGGCGTGCATCGGCGCGGTGCATAAGGGGGAACGGGACGGGGGCATGGGAGGTTTGGTTTGGAGATGCAATGGTCCCGGCGGTCCCATGGGGATGGGTGGTCCCATGGAGTTAGTAACTTATGTCTGTACGTATCGAGTAGGTTATGTACGGAGCAACCTGGGAGTACGTAGTGACTTAATAACGAGCAATATAAGACCATGATGGCCTTGACGTCTGGACATGAAGCGAAACGGCCAGTCCGCCCAGTCATGCGCCGAGAATGCGAATGCAGACTTGGGAAGCTGAGGTGGAGCCCCTTGGAGCCCTGGAGCCCTGGAGCCCTGCTCCCTGGAGCCTTGGAGCCCAGATGAACGAGGAAGGCGCCCCCCGAGTTGGCCAGACACAAGGCAAGCCACCAGTCCGGTCGTCGCTCGACAGAACCAGAACGTCCCAAGTACTAACTACTTACGCACCGCCGACCGGACGAGGAGGTCAAGCGAGAGAGTAAGCGAGACCAGCCAGGAGATCAACTTGGGGCCGCTACGGGAGCCGGGGCGCTCCAGTGGACGACATCTGGAGGGAAGGAGCGGGGGAGGCCGCCGCTCCTTGTCAACATTGAACCAGGCCTGAACCTATGCCCCATGTGCGTCTGGTCTGGTCTGGTATGTTAAGTACTTAAGGTACGTACTTACTAAGGTAGTACGTATGTCTGGTATAGGTACATAAAGCAAGTACATATAGATATTAACTGATTGATGTGATACTGCGTGGAAACTTCCGCCACAATCAATTTGCGACAGGGCACTCCATATTCTGCCTGGCACTAAGTGGTGACCAACCAAACCTCGCCAGAATCTGGAATGCAAGGTGCACATACATTGTTGTACACAGGCAGCTTGCCCGCCCGGCTCAACGTTGGACGTGATTGTTTGCACCTTTGTGGTCCAGCTTGGTGGCCTGACCCGCCGGGAGCCGGGGCGCTGGGCGCTGGGGACTGAGGACCAGGAGCCAGGAGCCAGGAGCCAAGGAGCCTGGAGTTTGGACCCTCGGCACTGAGAATGCCAAGTGGTCAAGGTTCCAGATGTCGTTTCGAACGGGCTTCAATGTTCGCTGGCAGCTACTAATTAGCTAATTAGCGGACGGCAAGCCCGCGCCCCCGGCTCAACTCACCCACGGCACCAGACTACGTAGTATTGTCTCGAGCGCTCCCACTCGACACCCTCGCGCCTCCATCCTGGGCCACCTTTGTTTGCCTCACTTTATCCGGCCGCCCAGCCGGCCAGAGCTGGGGGATTTGATCTGCATCAGTCGAACCAAGAATGGTCTTGGCCACACCACAATAAGTTTGCAGATAAGTCAACCCTCCACATCGCAATCCCAATCCTCCCGTGCCGAGTACATGCAGAGATTCCCCTCGACTTGGTCCTCGGGTTTGAACGAATAACTACATTACCATGCTCACGGCACGACACCACACTCTGACACATTTAATTAGACTGGGCAGGCCATGTTCCCTTCCCTTTCCGCTCGGTTCAATATTCGGTTCCGTACTCCGTCTAATACCTGTTCATGCGGCTAGAAATGGCCCTTCCCGCCCGGGCCACTAAACAGCAACGGAAAAGGGTGACGGCGGACGGCGCCCGTGATTGAGGACTTGACGCCCGCCACTACGGAATACGGAGAACGGACTACCGTACGGAGTACCTCGACCAGATATCTACACTCGTCAACTTCCGGCACACCTGTCTGTGCTCACGTCTGGAAAGGCCATGCACGGATTTGGCAAGCCCCGCCAAGACCTGCTCGACACTAGCGGTTCCTGAACGTTATTCAACAAAATAATGGCATTATCGACGAACCAACTCGACAGCACCGAGTGCTCGAGTCAGGTTATCAGCTTGTGCCGAAGCAACAACCTGCGAGACCAATTGCTTCATTTCTACGGAGTAACGTTAACAGGGGGCCATGATCAGACAGGGACTGCAAGGTTTTGGTCCCACGCAACCGCGCATATTCCGGACTGTTGGACCCGGTGCCGATCCACTGGTCATCACACGCACGCATCAAGTAAATTTCACGTTACGCCGTGTCGAGTTGCTCCCGACTCCCTAACTCCCTACTCCGTAGACGCGTGCCATCTGCAGACTGCGGGCAACCAATACGCCGAGTTCCTGGGCATCGCATACGTACGCACCAATCATGTCGCCGCCTACGGCCTCATGGGCGGAAATATTCCGGGTATATGATCGCTTTGCAACGGCGAGCCGTTGCGCTCGACGTCTCTGACATGTCTGACAGCCTCATGTTGTTTCGATTTGGCCCGATTCCCGATGGCAACTGTCAGAAAGACTTACGACTAGTTATCTCACAGTGGGACGGCCATGGCAACTAGCGCAGTGTATAAGTTAGCTGCGACTAGGCTATAGACAGCCATGCATATCGTTCCCCACAAGATGCTCGGAGCGGTAGACTTTGTCCCGAAAGGCCAGGCCGACAGACACCTCCACACTACTGCTCCCACATCATCATTATCATTACACCGTCACGTACGAGCAGCTGGTGAATACTACCTACCCAGCCGTGCGTTCGAGGGTCTGGCGATCAAATCCGGCGAAGCGAGGCTTTGGGGCGTTGGCTTTGCTTCCTTCCTGCACTAATAACAACACCGCTGTCGACAGGTTGACTAGACTGCCGTCATGGTTCCGTCGCCCATGTTTTGTGGAGAGCGGTAGCATCTGGCGTTTGATCTTGATTCACCGAGCGGCGCTCAACGGGACCGACCAGCGAATGGTCCAAGAGAGAGCGTTCTGTGCGACAAGTTGCAATCCTTGGCCGTCTTTGGTGCCGCCGATGAACCTTTTAGGTTCGCGGTCGGACCTGCAGAGCGCCTCTGTGTTTAGGAAATGCGCTGCTAGGAGCCTAGGAGGCATGACATTACAGAGACACAAAGGCACCAGGATGTCGTCGACTGGTATGTTTTGTGCATACCCACGTAGCACTAGGTGATACCACGCGCGCGGCTCCTGTTTCTGAGGACAGCAGGACTATGACTCAGGCCAAAAATTGCCCCGAGGTGGTCCTGTCTTGTAATAACTACTAGCTGATGAAGTTGTAATACTAGCTGATGAAGCTGAGGACAAGTCCTGACAACACCCCTGATCGCGTTATGAGGCACGTACTTGCTTGGGTAAGTACTTTGGAAGGTACAGTGAGTGGGTGTGGGTGTGTAACATTATGTACTTAGGTACCTACTTAAGTGCTCAAGTAAAAAGGTAGGTACCTAGGTATTTATGTTGATTACTCCGTTCTCCGTACAATGCATCAAGTACCTAGGTACCTAGGTGTCTTATGTATTAAGTAGGCACCTACCTTAAGTACCTAGGTACCTAACTTACTCAAGTATCCAAGCTACTCCGTAGGGTAGGTACCCAATGCAGAGATTACTCCGTGCCAAGCTATCACCCAGCAGCCACCCATCTCAGATCGAGGCACCGCATTATTAATCCGTTTTCCTCTGTCAGTTTTGTCGTGGCATATGCTGAACAGGCGCCAATCAGGCCACACACTGTGTCCTTGTTGTTTGAAAGTTGTTCTGACATGTCATCTGCAGGGTGGCTCAGGCTACGGCGTTGCTGGCACGACTACTACTACTCCGTAACTACTTAATTTACCTGGGTACTTTACCAGAACAACCGATTTCAAGCAGCCGTTGAGCCCCACATGAAAGCCTGGGGTTGCTTCACCACCACAAGGCTCGGCACACTGTGCCCTGTGCCGTGACAAACGTCAACCCGGCGCATTGTGATCCAACACGGCGCGCGCCTGGGCTGGCACCGGATATCGACCTCCCGTTGCGCCAACACACGCTCGCGACAATCGATCCGATCGGCACGAGTCCCAACACCGCAGCCATGTCGCAGGAGCCGCCGCCGGCGCCTGCCTTGCCTCCCCGAAGCCCCATCATGCACAACTTGGCTCTGGCGGGAGCCGTCATCACACCGCTGGCCATGCTACTGCCGCCGAGGAAGATGGACATACGCTTCTTCGTGCTGGCCGGGACGTTTTCTCTCGCCACCAACCAGCTCGCCTACGAGTACACCGGGCAGTCGATATACGGCCGATTTGGCAACCGCGTGGGCAGCGTCTTCGACAACAGTCTGCCGGAGGGGGCGAGGAAAACACAACAACTGCTGAGGGAGCAGAGGAAGAAGGAGGCCGCAGAGCAACGGGGGCAGCTGCAAGAGAAGAACAAAACCACCGGCATGGTCAAGGGTATCTGGATGGGAGGCGAGTCGGAGGACTGGCAGGAGAAGCGTGCGGAGGAGCACCGGAGAAGCATCGAAGAGGGCAAGGGCTTGAGCGGCATTATATTCGAACAGATTGCGGATGTGTGGAATGGCAACTACGGAAAACAGGCGACCAAGAAGGACAACAAGGAAGACGGTGCCTCGCCGAGCAGCGGGCCAGAGAGGAAGTGAAAGAGCTGTTGGGTGACGACGATGCGAGCAGAGGCTTCGGCTTCTGAACTTTTTTTTTTTAGTTTTTTTAGTTTTTTTTTGTATGATTGGGCAAATTGGGTATCGGTACGCTCCCGACGAGGTTCGCCGTGCCATCTGTAGCATCATCTTGTACGTGTAGTTCGAACTCTAATGAGCCGGGAAACGTGGGGAAAATGGGCCTTGTTGCGGCATGTTTTTATTTATTTGATTTCCTTATCATGAGGCTGGGAGGGATGCAATGACGTCGCCATGGAACGAAGGCAGGACGGGACGGGATTGCGGATTTGCAAGATTGGGTTGTCGTGTGGTGGGGAGTCGTAGCCCACGCATCGGCTTGCATGACCTTTGGCTCTCGGTGTGGGCTACCAGACGTGGATGGCATTTCTGCCTGACGCCCTATCGACATCGTGGCATGGCGAGTATGCCCGTCGCGAATGCACTGTTTTGAGGCTTGTTGGCTTGGCGCTCGGAATCAATGTGGTCGAAGACTGGCGGAGTGGTTCGGCTACGGGGGGCTGGACAGGGTGCACAGCCATCAGGTGCGTTTCCAAAGTTAGAAACAATGCGTGGCGTTGGCTTTGCGTGCCACGGCTTCCAATCTTGACAGGAACTTGGGTTTACTTACTCCCCTACTCAAGCAGCTAGGTACTTCGGTACTCCCAAGTGACTCGAAAGTATACAAAGTACGGAGGAGCCAACTGACAGTCAACAGTCAACCGGTGGCGGCTAAAGTGCTGCCTGTTTACAGGTACCCAAAGCACCTAGACGTCAACGGTAGCACCCATGGTCCACCCTGCTCGTCAGCTTTTGACACTGACAGTCAAATGACCAAACACCCGACGGCTCACGGGGCCAAAAGGGACATCTGCAGGGACGTGTTTGATCAGCGAGGACGCTTGATACTCTGCGGCTCATGAAATAACACGAGGACCTGCGCCAACGAGGAATGCCGCACCGGCATTGATTGTCAGAGAGAGGGAGGCGGACGCAAGTGGCAAGCCAAGCTGGGGGTAGACCGGCTTACACGTGTTGACTGACATGTTCTCGCGTGCGGAGTACAGAGTACCTTCGTAGGCTCCTCGTATGTACACTCGTACCCTCGTACCCCGTCCGTACTCAGTACGGAGTGCCCCGTACAGAGAACTCTGCCCGCACTTTGTAGCCGCCCAACTCGGCAACACAGCCACTCAACGTGTACATACGGGCTCCTCATCAACTCGGAACGATGAACCAACGCGCAACGCCATCTTAAACCAGCACTTGTTTTTCCATCGCCCATCGACATCACACGTTGACACCTTTTCTCTTCTTCTTCTTTTTCTTTTTTCCCCCCCATTTGCAACCCACCCATCCGCTCCAGAAGCACACCCATGCGCGACCGTCACCAAGGCCAGCCAAGCGTTCCCTTTCACTCGATGCGTTTTCATTTTATCGCTTCGTCGTGCTAGCTCGGTTTTTGGCATTGGTTCATTTTCAACTCTCGCCGCCCGCCTGGCCCCTTGATTTCCCCCGTCCTAGCACTCTCCGACATAGCTGCTACATCGACATCGCACACGAAGGGTCCGAACCAGGAGCATCTCAGCGTCGCCCAATATGACGTCCAACAACTACTACTACGACAACAGCCAGCGTCCCCCTCCGAGCTACCACTCAACCCCCGACCCCTACGCCCAACAGGCACACATGCCCTACCACGGCGACCAATCTTTCTCTGCAGCGCCGAACCCGTACCGTGTTGACGGTAGCAGTGGTCAACTGCATGGCCAGCAAACTGGACAGTCTCCGTTTGTCTCCGTTTTTGACGACAACTACGCAGTTGGCAGCACCAACAATCTGCAACAAGGGCATCAGGGTCAATATCCCGACACGGCCTACTACGGTCAAGCGGGTGTTGCCGGAGCATCTCATGCGCGGGGTGATATCCCGCTGCAAAACCGGGCTGGCAAGAATGACGATGTGAATGATCATATTTACGATGCGTCTGACGCTGCAACGTCGGGGGGAGGGCGAAAGAAGAAGAAGATTCGTGTTGGCGAACTGGGCATGTTTGGATCCGACAAGAACAGGATACCCTGGGTGTGCTACGTCTTCACGGTTGTGCAGGTGGCCGTGTTTATTGGCGAGATCATCAAGAATGGTACGACTGACACTACAGACTCCCCCGCCCTTCTGCCTCGTCGAGTGAAAACGCTGACGTTTCTAGGACTTCTGACTGGCTCTCCAATCATGATCAAGCCGCAATTCAACCCCATGATCGGCCCATCAACCCAAGTGCTCATCAACATGGGTGCACGATACGTCCCGTGCATGCACAACGTCAAGGAGATTCAGGGCTCCAACATTCCCGTCCTGTTCCTGTGCCCCAACGCAACCAAGAGCGACGAGTTCTGCCCCCTTTCCGAAGTCTGTGGCTTTGGCGGCGTGCCCAATCCAACCTTCAACAACGCCGACCAGAGTCCTCAACCGAACCAGTGGTTCCGCTTCATTGTGCCTATTTTCCTACACGCTGGTCTCATCCACATTGGCTTCAACATGCTGCTCCAGATGACGTTGGCCAAGGAGATGGAACAGGCGATTGGGTCCATCCGATTCGTCCTCGTCTACGTCAGTGCTGGCATATTTGGTTTTGTCATGGGTGGCAACTTTGCCGCGCCCGGGATAGCGTCCACGGGAGCTTCCGGCTCGCTGTTTGGAGTTATTGCTCTGACCCTGCTGGACCTCCTCTATTCATGGAGCGAGCGAAGAAACCCCGTCAAGGATTTGATGTTCATAATTCTGGACATTGTCATTTCCTTTGTGCTGGGACTGCTGCCCGGACTGGACAACTTTTCCCACATTGGCGGGTTCCTGATGGGCCTTGGACTCGGCGTCTGTCTGTTGCACTCGCCCAATTCGCTTCGAAGAAAGATTGGCGGCAGCGACAACACGTCCTACTCGGTCGTCAACGCGGACGGCGACGGAACCGGCCCGGGATTCCTGAAGAGCCCAATCGGCTTCTTCAAGGGCAGGAAGCCCCTGTGGTGGGCTTGGTGGCTTGTCCGAGCCGGCTTCCTCATTGCCGTCATCGTCGTATTCATTGTCTTGCTCAACAACTTCTACAACGGTAGTCACACTTGTTCTTGGTGCAAATATCTCAGCTGTCTGGTAAGTCTGCATCTGCATCCGTCTCCCCCTCGGCTCAACGACGTCTCGCTAAGTCTTGCCACTCAGCCCGTCAGCAACTGGTGTGACATTGGAACGATTCAAAAGACGACTCCGTAAAGGCCCGCGGTCTGCGTCTGCGACGAAAAGGACGCGAAATATACCGTACATCATGTTCCAACTGTCCCGCTTCTTCTTCTTCTTTCTCGTCGTTGACCGGTATCCAGGTTTTGAGTGGTAGCCCGAGTTTTTCTTTTGCTGTTCTCTTTTGGACAAGAGCTCTTCTCACAGGTGGTTTTTTTTTTTTTTTTTTTTTTCGTCTGGGCCCGATTGTCCGGGGAGACGGGGACGGGGACGACGTCATGCTGGGGTAGGGACAAATTTGGTATAGCACTAGGTACTGCATAGATAATGATATCTATTAACGACTGCCTGTGCGCCCTCTGCAGCACGACTTGACTGTTGCCTGCGTCCAACCTCGCCTGGCTGGCTTGCCAGGGAGCCAGGGAGCCAGGGAGCCAGGGAGCCAGGGAGCCAGAGAACCGGTCCCGTGTTCAAGAGGAAGTGCGTGATTTGAAATCCGGGACGATTGCCTATCGTCACCAGTTTCCGGCGGGAGACTTGGAGCATCTTGCTTGCTGCTCCTGCCGCCGGCGTGGACGGACGCCTGCTCCGGCGCGGGCGCTTGTCAGACGGCGCTTACTTGCTCGCGCTCGTTTACAAGTTGACGGTTCCTTGTCGGGCGAGGCCAGGACAGGCCAGGCAAGGCCAGGCAAGGCGAGGCATCGCACTTGCGTGGCACTGCGCGCGTCGTCGGGCCGGGATCACCGGGATTTGAAAATGGGGGCCGGGACTCAGAAGCACATACGTATACGTATCATGATCCATCCATGGGGGAGGTCTGTCTTGCAGATTCCGGTTCGGACGGGGCTGGTTTCTTGTCGGAAGCTCCCCAGGGCCGCTTGCGCGACGGGGACGGGGGTGGCTGCTTCGTTTGGAAGGCTGCTCCTTGCTCCGGAGCCCAGGGTGTGTGCTCGACCTGCGCCTCGGGTGCGTTGGGGTACGTTGCACCTTGGACACCTGGGGCACATGGGGCACCTTGGGCTGGTGCCTGAGTTGGTCTGGTCGTCTTGGGGGGCCGATTACGACTGCTCGTCGTGTGCTCGCGAGCTCGTTTACGTCGTTCGGGAGACCGGGTGTTTTGGATGCCGAGAAGGGGGAAGGGGGGGGACGATGGACAACGACGGCGCGAGGTTCGGCGAGAGGTTGAGCATTTCCTTGAGCGTGGGATAGGACTGGTGGTTCTGGATTGGGTTGGCGGATGCAGGGAGGGAGATGGCATACGACGTGCTGCAGCCATGGTTCCGGGGGTCGATGATTGTTGCTACGGCGCACAAACTTGTATGGAAAAATATTGAGTCCCGGCAGGCTGGTGGAGCATGCTCAGCCCGTGATGCTCTTGGTGAGGGAGGGTCTTACGGATCAAAGAGGCTGCGTGTTATTTCTATGGCGAGCAGAAGTAGCCCTGGAGGAGACTTTGGGCTGGGAGTCGTGGGCGCAGGCGGCAGACTTGATCACGTTTGAGTTGGTGTACTGTATCATCTGTATTCTACTCCTTTTTAGACTTGCTCCAGTCGAGAACCCGGGAAACATCCCGAAACCCAACAAGACTCCAGCAATGCATGCAGTCGTGTCTCGTAGCATCGTAATATGATGAGTTGCCAAGGCTTGGTCGACACCTACCACCCCAATCTCCTACTCATGGCAAGGTAGTCAAGCTCAATACCATGCAGCCAAAGGTGCATCGTCAATTCAGCTGTCCGAGTCAACTCGTCGGCAGACGGGTCTGGGTCGCCAAACATGTTGTTGGCATCGTGTTCGTAGACGATGCCGTGGGTGCCATCTTGTCTTTGCTGGGGGAAGAATCTTTGTCTGATGAACCGTTGTATGTCCAGCAAGGACGGCGACTTCTCCATTGAGGATCCAGCGTCTTGGTCCGTGTCCTGCCGCGGTGGCAATTTCGGGATGCGAACAGTGGTGCTGATGTGAGGACGCTTGGAGAGCGGGAGCAAATGTCTGAGTATGGTGGCTTCATCGACCAAAGTCCACGATGCTTCAGAATCATGGTCAAGATAGACGTCGAGTGAACGTAGGTGTTTGAGCCCAGCTATTGCTGGCCAGATGCCCTTCCACATGGTGGGGAGCAGCTGGTTGGGTGGATGAGTCGACACATTCGACTGCTTGTCTTGCAGCTCAATCATCTTGTAGACCTGCAGCGGAAGACGGAATGCGAGATGGAGGCTTCTCACGCCGGCGAATGAGCTCAAAAACATGCTGTCGGTGAACAGCCATGTGTTGTCGTGGTCTCGTTGTAGTAGCTGGTCAAGCGTAGAAAGTTCGGTGACGTGTAAGACGGACACCTCGGCTACCAAGTCTGCCATCTCCGTATATCTATGAAGCGGTTAGTGGATGACCAACAACAGCACGACCATCCTCTTGCAGCACGATTTACATTCTCTTGCATGACTGCATCAACGCCCTTGTTGAGTCGCGGCCAGTGGTAAGATTGATTCGGTCCACGTCCAAGCCAAGGGCGACTTCTTCGCATCTCCAGTGCGAGGCCCAGGACGATCCCAGTCGACGAGCCCAAACGTCACTGGGAGCATCTCCCGATGACTGACGGTCGAAGCAGAAGTAGTCATTGCTGGGCTGGGGAGTGACGCATGTCGAAATGCAGATGTGGCCATCACGGAGGTACACGTGAACGCCCTCGTCAACGATGAGGGCATACGTATGCCGACGTATTTCGACAGGTAAACCGAAAAGGCTGCTTTGCGTCTGGGAATCCATCTCCTTGTTGAGAGCTCCTCCAGAGGGCATGTCTCGGAGAGACCAGAATCATTTTATAGGTAGGATCCGGCAGCATTGGAGGGGAAACGCAATATGGCTATAACACGTTCACCAAGGGAGTTTGGCACTCGCGGGAGTCGGCAGCTTGGGGCGCGTTTTATCGGACTCTAGTTAATTATTGGTATGAGAATGGGGCATCGGGCTGAGTTTGTGACTCGCCGTTGGCCGGGACCACCATATGGGGAAGAGAGCTGATCATGGACGAGGGCGCATGAATGCGGACCGAGCTGGATTGCGAGTTGAAGAGCCGTGGGAGAGCGACAATTATCGGGACTGGGCAAGAGTTCGACAGACGCTTCCAAAACTCCGAGGGCACTCCGGCCAACGTGATTGGCGCACCCGAGGTCCGTGGTTGCTGTCTGCCGTCGAGCCATGCAAATGCTGCATACCCGTGACATGGACTCCAAGCAAAAGGCGGTGCGTGGCTGCATGGCCTCGGGCCTTGGAGGTTTTCATCAGCTTTCCATGGGCAGGAGTAGCCGCGGCAGATCTCTGCAGGGAAGGAGCAGGCAACTACCAGGTTGGCACCTCTTGCCGCCCAGGTCAACTCTTTACACGCAACTTTTTTATTCTTGAACTCACAACTGCACTAGCCGTACACCGCTTGCATCCGGGGGTCGCAGCAACCTGAGTGGAGACTGACGTCTTTGTTTCGGACTAGTGCAGTTGTGGTTCTAGGATTGACAGTGCGTGTTTAAGGGTTTCTTAGCGGGAGTAGCTACGCCATATCACGGAGAACCAGCGGCCATGTCGCGCCAAATCACGTGCCCGCCTATTAAACTCGACGTGGGTCCGTCACGTCACGGTCTTCAAGCGCGTCGCCCAGAATGTCGGGTTTGCCCTTCGTCCTCGAATATACATCTCATCCACAATTCAGCCAGATGCGACTGATCGTGTAGCCGCAGACCTTATCAGAGTATGACTCTGGACAGTCAACTCGATTCAAACCAGCTTCATACCATTTGAAGCATCCGTTGTATTCGTCATGACTTCAGTCCTCCCCCAGAAACGGGTGCTGGGCGAGGCAGGCACCCGCCAAAATATTCCGCCATCAACGCCAGGCTCGGCCAAGAAGCGTAGGACCGATATCTTTTCATCGTCGCCCGCTGCCAGATTCACAGGTTCCCAAAGAGACCCCAAGGCTACGCTCGGATCTAGTCAGCCAAAGAGTACCTTTGAGACCGAGGTCTTGGAGAAGCTCAGTCAAGAAATCTCCGATCTGAAGCGCAGCAATGCCGAGAAGGACCAGACATGGGACCGCCCGCCGGTTGTCGACTTCGAACCTCAGCAGAACAACCTATGTTTTCAGTCTATCGAGGCCGAGGAAGGAACCCTGGATGGCGGCAAGGCGACGGTCAAGTTATTCGGTGTTACAGAAGAAGGCTACTCGGTGATGCTACATGTCACAGACTTCAAGCATTACCTCTATCTCCGTGCACCCGTCTTGTTCCAACCGCAAGATGTCAGCGCTTACAAGACTTTCCTCGAGTCACAGGTCGCTCAATACCAGCCCGCTATTCATAAAGTCGACTTGGTTTTCAGGGAAGATATTTACGGCTTCTCGGGCAACGAGCAGCACGCCTATCTTAAAGTCACAGTCACAGACCCCAAATTTATAAACAAAGTGCGTTCTACGATAGAAGGCGGCAATGCGAACTGGAAAGGCATGTGGGGTGTCACAGAGGGCATTAGGACATATGACAATATTCAGTATGTCCTCAGATTCATGGTGGACTGCAAGGTGAGAGTTGATGCGATTCTTCACCAGCTTGCCCACAACTGACCGAGTGACATAAGGTTCAAGGCATGTCATGGGTCGAAGCGCCAGCGAACAAATACAGGATGGTTCCTGAAAGTCTCAGGCAGTCCAACTGCCAGATCGAAGCCCAGGTCCCATATCTCGACTTGATTGCTCATAAGCCAGAAGGTAAATGGGCCAAGATGGCTCCACTCCGCATCTTGTCTTTCGATATTGAGTGCGCCGGCAGGAAGGGTATCTTCCCTGAAGCCAATCAAGATCCGGTCATTCAAATCGCCAACGTGGTCACAAAATACGGAGAGAAGAAGCCCTTTATTCGTAATGTCTTTTGCCTGGATACAACAAGTTCAATTGTGGCCACGCAGATCCTGGAGTACGAACAGGAGGACAGGATGTTGAGCGAATGGCAGCAGTTCTTGATCCGAGCCGATCCAGACATTATCATCGGATACAATATTGCCAACTTTGACTTTCCTTACTTGCTCGAGCGAGCAAAGCATTTGAAAGTCAATCGATTCGAATACTGGACGCGTCTCCCCAGCGTTCCGTCTAGGGTCAAGGAGACAAATTTTTCCAGCAAGCAAATTGGCAATCGTGACACCAAGGCCACCAATACCAATGGGAGACTGCAACTCGATTTACTTCAATTAGTTCAACGAGACCATCAACTTCGAAGCTATACGCTCAACTCTGTGTGCGCGCATTTTTTAGGCGAACAAAAGGAAGATGTGCACCACACCATGATTACAGAACTTTTCAACGGTACGCCAGAGTCGAGACGACGTTTAGCTCTCTATTGCTTAAAGGATGCATATCTTCCGCAGCGACTTATGGATAAGCTTTCGTGTCTGGAAAACTACACTGAAATGGCGAGAGTCACAGGTGTGCCGTTTAACTTTTTACTGTCCCGCGGCCAACAGATTAAATTCGTGAGCCAGTTGTTCCGTAAAGCTCTGGAACAAAAGCTGGTGATTCCAAATATCAAGTCCGATGCCTCGGATGAGCAGTACGAAGGAGCCACCGTCATCGAGCCTGTCCGAGGCTACTACGACGTGCCAATTGCCACACTGGATTTTGCGTCCCTATACCCCAGTATCATTCAAGCGCACAACCTGTGCTATACCACACTTATAAAAGACAAGAAGCTGATCGAAAAATTTGGCTTGGTCAAGGACGAAGATTACATCGTGACCCCCAACGGAGACGTTTTTGTAACTACCAAACAACGAAAGGGGCTACTGGCGCAGATCCTTGAAGAGTTGTTAACCGCCCGTAAACAGGCCAAGCGAGAGTTGGCCCGGGAAACGGATCCGTTCAAGAAGGCTGTCTTAAACGGTCGACAGCTGGCGTTGAAGATTAGTGCCAATTCTGTCTATGGATTAACAGGCGCCACGACGGGAAAACTTCCGTGCCTTGAGATTGCAAGCAGCACGACCAGCTTTGGCCGACAGATGATTGAGAAGACGAAGGATGAGGTGGAGAAGAAGTACAATATCGCCAACGGATACACGCACGATGCACAAGTCATTTACGGTGACACGGATTCCGTCATGGTCAAGTTTGGCACCAAGGACTTGGCCGAGGCCATGAGACTGGGTGAGGAAGCGTCGCAGTACGTGTCGGCCAAGTTTGTTAAACCAATCAAGCTTGAATTCGAAAAGGTGTACTTTCCCTATCTGCTGATCAACAAGAAGCGTTACGCCGGGCTGTACTGGACGAAGCCAGAGAAGCATGACAAGATGGACACGAAGGGCATTGAGACGGTTCGACGAGATAACTGCCTGCTGGTGCAAACTGTCATTGAAAAAGTTCTCCGAATGATTCTAATTGACCGGGATGTCGCTGGTGCGCAAGAGTGAGTAGTGCTCCAGCAGCTGTTCGAGCTACGCTGACAACTGAATAATCGAATAGATACGTCAAGGAGACAATCGCCAATTTGCTGCAGAACAAAGTCGACATGTCAAAGCTTGTCATCACCAAGGCTCTGACAAAAGACGACTACGCTGCCAAACAAGCACATGTGGAACTGGCTCACCGAATGAAGAAGCGTGACGCGGGTTCGGCTCCTGCTCTTGGAGATCGCGTTGCCTATGTCATGGTTCGTGGAGCTGCCGGTGCCAAGAACTTTGAGAAGTCCGAGGACCCCTTGTACGTCCTCGAGAACAACGTGCCCATTGACACCAAGTACTACCTGGATAATCAGCTGGCGAAACCATTGGGCCGAATTTTCGAGCCCATTCTGGGCGAAACCAAGGCGAGGACGCTGCTGACGGGAGATCACACGAGAACAATCTCTGTGGCGGCACCGACGGTGGGTGGGCTGATGAAGTTTGCAAAGAAGACACAGACGTGCATGGGCTGCAAGAAGCCGCTTACGGGCAAGCAAGAGAGCGACGGGGCAGTGTGTTCCGACTGCGCGCCAAGGGTGGGCGAATTGTACAAGCGGACTCTGGACAAGGTTTCGGATCTTGAGATTCGGTTCGGCCGGCTGTGGACGCAGTGCCAGCGATGTCAGGGCAGCATGCACTGCGAGGTCATCTGCAGCAGTAAGGATTGTCCAATATTCTACATGAGAATGAAGGCGAAGAAGGATCTGGAAGATGCGGGTAAAGAGCTGTTGCGGTTCGACATGGATCCGGCCGCCATGTGGTGAAGGCGAAAAAAGCGACTTTTTGGTCTGGCCTGGTCTGGCCGGTTGGACATGGCGGTGTTGGGGAGCAAGGAACATATGTCGGGGATAGGGGCATTCGACATGTCGTGACAGGTACATTATTGAAAGCTGTGGCAGGTCGGCAAACCGTAGCGGTGTTGCAGGAGGCGAGTAATGACAGTCAGATGTTCGGAGTAGTCTGCACGACAAGCTGGTGGTTGCTGGTGACGCAAGTGTGGTGAGGACACCCAACGATGATATGATTCACGATGGGCGGGGGAGGAGATGCTGGACGCGACCACGAGCGACGGGCAATTTATGCAATTCCAAGGAGCACGAAAGCAGGCTGTGATGACGACTGCCCGTCTTTGTCCGTGAATCCAATCCAATGCAATGGCCGGTGTAGGCCAAAGTCCGTCGTCTCGGGCATACGAGGCATGGTCCGGCACGCACACTCGGTGGTTTGGGCCTTGGCGCCAAGTCTTGGACCCTGGGTGGGGGCGCAGGCGCATGGGTGTCAGCATGTTGAGCGTGCCAGTCTGGAACGCACGTTAAATGCTGCATGTGCATGTAGACATGGTCGGTTGAATTGGGGGCAGGGAGGGGCCGAGGCCGTTGTCGGCGCAGCTGCCTCACTGCCTCAGGAAATGCTTCCACGGTGCGGTGGGGCTGGGACGACAACTTCCCATCGAGGGACAAATCTGTTGCGCACGCTCATTGGCCGCCACCCAGGACGGAGACTGGAGACGCAATCGAATCTGTCAACAGGAACCAGGAAGGCGACCAATGCGGCTTGCAGGAGACGCCAATCAGCCGATGCAGGGGTGCGTCCTACACCAAGACGGCCTCCATGGGCATCCATCGACACGATAACGACGAGACGGAGACGGCCTTGGCCCCTGGACGCGGCGACATGGCGACGCGGTTGCCGGCGGCGGCGGCGTCCGGCTGCGCTGCACGGCGCGTTGCCACCACCAACGAACGTCCGGCGAGGGCGACGCAGAGTGAAGGTTGTTCTGCACCATGGATGGGCATGGGCCATGGCGGCGGAACGTATGTTGTGCCCAAGGCGAGGCAAGGAAGGCGAGGCAGCCGTCCACTGGTTGTCGGGTTGTCGAGATTTGCGCGCCCGCCGCTGCCGGCCTGGCCACACACAGACTCCCGCGACCCGTCGTCCATCGAGTCGAGTGCCGAAGGAGGCGTATATACGTCACTGTCGCTGATAAGGGATGCGGAGCTACTGCCGCGGGGTATCTATCCATCCATCTACGGGGTCGTGCGCCACGCACGCAAGAAGAAGCTTGTTGCTTTCGGGAGACACGCCATCCCCCTTGCCACGGCTAAATCTCGCCTCGACCATGTTGGATTCTTTGGCCCGGGGGAAACGAAGGCAAAGGAAGGAAAGACGAGGAAGAGATAAGAAAAGCAGCGTCCGTTGTCGGCCACCAGCAACTCTTCGCCATTCCGGAAACCTTGGCGGGCCCTTCGCTGATCATGCCTTGACCATGTGGCCCGACAGTCGACACGCGCCAGACTCCAGGGACGCAACGGCGGCGGCTGCTTGCTCCGATTCACCGAGAAGGGGAGGCATGGCAAACATATAAGGTTTGGCTGTGTCCCCCTCGAGGATGTAACTCTTCGTCCTCCTTCTCTTTCCCTCCTCTGCCACCTTTGCATTCGTGACCTCCACCCAAGCATCACCTATAGGTTCTCTTGATCATCACCCAGTTCTGGAGAATAAGCATCTAGCTACACAGACACAATGCCCCATCTCGACAGCAATGGCAATGAAAGGAACAGCACTCATGTTCTCGTCGCCCCGGCGAGCCACCTGCCGTCCGAGCCTGAGTTTGAGCAGGCCTACAGAGGTATTTGCCTACGTGTCCTGGCCCCATTTGGGATGGCAGCTTGTGAGCTTGTAGGAACGAGTTGCTGACGTCTTGACTAGAGCTCGCCAGCACCCTCGAGGACAGCACCCTCTTCCGGGACCACCCCGAGTATCGCACTGCGTTGGCCGTCTCCGCCATCCCAGAGCGCGTGATCCAGTTCCGTGTCGTGTGGGAGGATGACAATGGCCAGTTGCAGGTGAACCGGGGTTTCAGAGTACAGTTCAACTCGGCCTTGGGTCCCTACAAGGGCGGTTTGCGATTCCACCCCTCCGTCAACCTGTCCATGTATGTCGGCGTCGGTGCAGAGCGAGTCGTGAGACGTGGGGGAGAGGCTGGCTGACTGACCGCTTGGCAGTCTCAAGTTCCTTGGCTTCGAGCAGATTTTCAAGAATGCCCTCACTGGATGTGTGTGATTTGCCGCAACACATGGACGTCCAAGCCGGGCCGGGATTTGCTGACGCGCTGTGCAGTGAACATGGGCGGCGGCAAGGGCGGTGCCGACTTTGACCCCAAGGGAAAGTCTGACGGCGAAATCCGTCGTTTCTGCCAGGCTTTCATGCGGGAGCTGTCCAAGCACATCGGCGCGGACACCGACGTGCCCGCTGGCGACATTGGTGTTTCCGGCCGGGAGATTGGCTACCTGTACGGCGCATATCGACAGGCCAGGAATCGCTGGGAGGGTGTCTTGACCGGCAAGGGATTGAGCTGGGGTGGCTCTCTTATCCGCCCTGGTAAAATACGGTTCTCCCCCGACACCGTTGCTGCCGCCCCCGGTCCAGTCGGTTGCTGACAATGTGAATAGAGGCCACCGGCTACGGCGTCATCTACTATGTGCAACACATGCTCGAGTACGCCGGCCGTGGCACGTTTGCCGGCAAGAAGGTAGCCATCTCGGGCTCCGGCAACGTCGCGCAGTATGCCGCCCTGAAGTGCATCCAACTCGGCGCCGCTGTCGTCTCGCTCTCCGACTCCAAGGGCTCGCTGGTCGCTACGGCTGACAAGCCCTTCACCGCCGAAGACGTCGACAAGATTGCCAGCATCAAGGCCCAGCGAGGCGCGCTGTCCGGCTTCGACCATGCCGATCGCTACAAGTACGTTGACGGTGCCCGACCCTGGATGCACGTGGGCGCCGTGGACGTTGCGCTGCCCTGCGCTACTCAGAACGAGGTCAGCAAGGAAGAGGCCGAGGCCCTGATTGCGAACGGCGTCGTCGCCGTTGCCGAGGGCTCCAACATGGGCTGCACGCAGGAGGCAATCGACCTATTTGAGGCTGAGCGACGCAAGAAGGGCGGCGCGGCCACTTGGTACGCGCCCGGCAAGGCCGCCAACTGCGGTGGCGTTGCCGTCTCTGGACTGGAAATGGCCCAGAACAGTCAGGTATGCTCACGTGTTGATGCCGAAAACTCTTGTTCTGGCGCCGCGACCGGGCAAAGAGGTTGCTGACGTGTTTGGCAGCGACTCAACTGGACCACGAAAGAAGTCGACGACAAGCTCAAGGCCATCATGAAGAGGGCCTTCATGAATGGAATCGAAATGGCAAACAAGCATGTCGAGGCCAAAGACGGCGAGCTGCCTTCTCTCGTGGCCGGCAGCAACATTGCTGGGTTTGTCAAGGTTGCGCAGGCGATGCATGACCAGGGCGACTGGTGGGCCTAAGTGCTCGGGGTGACCGACTTGTGCGACGACTTTTCATCATGAACCATGGCCCTTTGTTTTGGCATACTTCATCTGGATTGGGATATGTGGGAGTTGGTTTTTTTGTTTTGGTGGCGGCCGTCACGATAATCTACGGTTGGGGGGGTGGGATCCCCGACGGCATTGCACTGCTGGCTGGCCGTTTGATGGTTGCCATGGAACAGTACGACGCGTGTTTTCCGGTGCTGTGTGGTTGCTTGTGAGTTTGGCAAAGACAAGTGCGCAACGCTTGCGAAGAAGAGTGCTGCAGGGTCGTTTGCTGGTGAGCAGGGCACATTTCTGTCGGATGACGAGCTGGATGCCTCCCCTGCCGACACAATAAAGTTGAACTGGGACAACAAGGAGCATGGACCGTTGGGGGCCATGCGGCATTGGAAATGTATGCTCAATGAGTTGTGTTCGACTGTCCCTCCAATTCTGGTTGGGGGAGTGACATGGACTGAGGCAAGACTGACAACTGACTTGTTAGTTCAGTTGGTTCCTTGCCTGTCGTTCTCATCTCATCACTCAGCACTCTTATCAGCAATAAGTACGCCGTCTTTTTCATGCTGCACGTGACGAGTAGACGTACAGGGTGCCAAATCGTCGACATGCTGCAGCCACCGTCGATGCGGCTACTGCGATCGATCCCGCGCCGCCGCCGCCGCCATTCCGCATGATCCCCGCTGCCTCTGCCGGCTGTTTCCAGCGCATCCTCTGGCCTGCAGCGTCCCAGCTGAAGATTGCCTTGTTCTGTGTCCCGGCTGTTCCCGGAGGAGGCTCGTTCGTGATTTGCAGGTTCAACCTCGCCTCGGCGCAGATGTACCGGTCACGGCGGCCACTGTCGTGGCTGAAAGGGGAGTCGGTACGCTTTGCTACGAGTTGCGGGCTTTGAGTCTTTCCCTTTCCAAGGGGCAAGTGACTATCGAGCAGGTTCCTCGGGTCCTTGTTACCGACGAGCACATTTATGCGTTATGCGTGGCACGTGTCCGCGCAGGTCGACAGGTCCAGGTTGCGGACGCAGATCCGAGCCAGGGGCACAGTAGGGCTTGCAGCAGTGTGTTCTGTTGATGAAGAGGTCTCGTGTAAGATTTGCCCGAGGGCCCGGGTGGTCCGTCCAAGTCTCTACAACAGCACAGTAGGGCTTGCAGCAGTGTGTTCCGTTGATGAAGAGGTCTCTTGTAGGATTTGCCCGAGGGCCCGGATGGTCCGCCTAAGTCTCTATAATAGTTATCGACACTATGGGCTGGTCCTTGCATGTGACTACAACTGACCCTTAGTATATTGCCTTTCCTCCCCCTCGATGCTCATAGTCTCTGTCTCTATAACAGTCATCGACACTATGGGCTGGTCCCTCGATGCTCATAGTCTAAGTCTCTATAATAGTTATCAACACTATGGGCTGGTCCTCGCATGCGACTACGACTGACCCTCGGTACATTGCCTTTCCTCCCCCTCGATGCTCATAGTCTCTGGGAAAACACGGTCCCCGTCCTCCTTGGAGCCCGAAGCTGGGCAGTCGTCTTCTGGGGCTTGTCCGTTTGATTCCTCCCGCACTTGTCCATCTGCTTCAAAGTCCTCCGGAACCCGATAAGCCTCGACTGCCGGACAGTCCGGGTCGGATGCGGCGACGCATTCGGCAGTCACGGCCAGAGGCTCAGCTGGAACTTGGGGTTCCTCCGCTGCTGTGCTGCCGGACGTCTGTGCTGGGTGGGCGGCACCTGCGGCCAGCGATTCGACCGCGCTCTCCAAGAGTATCTCGGCGATGGACATGCTGCCGCCGACGCCGGGTCGGAAACCGACCTTTTCAAAGGCCGCTCTGTCTGTGAGCAACGCCCTCGATCGCTTCTTCAGAAAGCGGATGAACCATGTGTCGTTTATGCTCGGGTTCGGATACGCGTCCCTGGCTGCTCTGAAGATGGTAGGCACCGGCACCTGCTTTCCTAGCCTTTTCATCTCGTCTTGGGCTTGCTGGACGAGGGTGTGGAGTCCGTATTTCCGAGCGGCGACGTAGACTTTGATACTGGTCGTCAGCTCCTCGACACGCCTGTCGTGGGCAGACGGTCCGGTCGGCTTGAGACATTGATAGGTGCCTGTGAAGAGGTGGTGGACAAAGACGTGGCCGAGCTCGTGGGGGACGTCGGCGAGGTCGAGGCTGGAGGCGGAAATGCCCCATGCATCTCTGGCGGGCGACAGCTTTGAACGTTGGCCGAGTATAGCTTCGGGGACTGTGAACGCGTCGGCATTCTGGCCGAAATATACGCGGACGGATTTGCTCAGATAGGGGCTATGGATGCGTCAGCGAGAACGCGGCAGGGCGGGTTGGATACCTACTCACGAGGAGGATGGCCGAGAATCACTGTCGTCGACGCCTTCGTCGACTCCGTCTGCGGCCTCTGCCACCAGTTCTGGCAGCTTTACGGACTTCTTCTTCCTCTTCTTGGCCTTGGCCTTGGGCAACTCGAGTGCCCACGACCTTGTGTCATCGGCTTCGGCCACCTCCATGTCGTCGGTGTAACAGGGGCTTGGAGGGCACCGATGGCAGTCGACTGTGTGTTGTCAAAAAGGTCCTTGGCAGAGTCCAAGGCCCCTCGGTCCAAAGGCGTCCTATTTGTACGAGGAGGCGACAAGATGGGATGCCCAAGGCCGCTGCCCGACTCGGGGACTCGCGATGCCCTCTTTGCGTGACCGTCGTTGGCCCAACACGTTGTTGCGGCCCAACCTCATGACAGGCATCAGTGTCCACGGGCCGAGACCGTCTGCAGTCTAGACGTTCAACGGCGTTGGCTGGAGCCAGATACATGCGCCTGTTTGAAATTGCGTCGTCGGGCAGCAATGCACGGGTGCGGATGTACCGCTGCATGACCTCTGGCTGCAATCAGTCTTGCTGTGCGGATTGCTTGTGGTCCTTTCTTGGGCGTCGGCATTCTCGTGAACCAAATTCCTCCCCCGGCAACTGCATCAAGACTGCTCACAGCGCTCCCGCCAGAAGCGGCTGGAATCACCACTGCACCACGAGGAAGCCGAATGCTCCGGGCGCTGACAGGAAGCTAGTCGGTAACGAGCTGGAACTATTGAACACGGTATTGCTGGTGGCCCCAACCACTTGGGCGCCAGAAACTACACAAGACGCAAGTATCTCTGGCAAGATGGGCAGTGCAGAAAGAACAAGAAGCGAGCGACGGAAAAAAAAACGCCATTGGCACCGCCATCGTGGCACGTGTCGTCATAGGAACTCGCATCCATCATAGAAACGTCATGTCTTGGAAATGTGCGGGACGGCCGCGACACGTTTAAAAAGCTGGCCGTTGCATTTGCAGCGCCCGTCTCGGACAAACTCCAACGTCTTGCTGAAACATTCGCCCGCAAGCCAAGCACGATGGCGACATCACAGGCGGCGTATGCCGCAGAAAAGGCCGTCGGCCACGACGACAATGCCATCACGACCCAAGACGTGTCCTCGTACCCGGATGGAGGGCAGGACGACTTGATGAACGCCCTGGTGTGGATGGGCAAGAACAAGGTCGAAATCGGTATGCACAAGAAGACGGCCCGGCCGGGTCCGAGCAAAGGCGTGGCTTCAAAAACGTGTGATTGACGACGTGTGATGCCAGCGCGGGTGCCCAAGCCCAAGATCATCGAGGACGGGGACGTCATCATCAGAGTCACGGGCACGACGGTGTGCGGCTCCGACCTGCATCTCCTGCACGGCGCCGTCATGCAGCTCTCCAAGGGAGACATCCTGGGCCACGAATTCTGCGGCGTGGCCGAGATTGTCGGACGCCAGGTCCGCAAGGTCACGGTCGGCAAGCGGTACGTGGCCTCGTTCCAGATTGCCTGCGGCGACTGCTTCTACTGCGACAAGAAGCTGTCGTCGCAGTGCGAGAAGACGAACGCGAACGCGGCCATGAAGGCCATGTACGGCGGCAGGACGGCGGGCATCTTTGGATACTCGCACCTCACGGGCGGGTTCGCCGGCGGCCAGGCCGAGTATGTGCGCGTGCCGCTGGGAGACGTGAATCTGCTGGAACTCCCCGACGACGTCCCCGACGAGAAGGGTACGCCGGGCCTCCCCCTGCCGCCGCCGAGTCGGAGCTGACCGTGCAAGACAGGCCTCTATCTGTCCGACGTGCTCGCGACGTCGTACCACTGCGTCAAGGACACTGGCGTCGACGAGGGAGACAGCGTCGCCATCTTTGGCGCGGGCCCAGTCGGGCACATGGCCGGCGTCTTTGCCGCGGGCCAGGGCGCAGGCAAGATCATCTTCGTCGACACGGAGCCTCGCCTGTCGTACATCAAGAGGCGCTTCCCGCGGGAGCACATGGCCAAGGTGTCGCTGGTCGACTTCAAAGCCCTGCCGGGCGGCATCACCGGCTCCAAGACAGTCGTCAGCGAGCTCAAGGACGAGTGCAACGGCCGCGGCCCCGACGTGGCGCTCGAGTGCGCGGCCGGCGAGTACGCCAAGGGCTGGATGCACTGGTTGGAGATGGCGGCCGGCGCCGAGACGGACACGAGCGAGATTGTGAACGAGATGATTGAGAGCGTGCATTCGTTTGGGCGCTGCGGCATCACGGGCGTCTACGTCGGATACGTATGCCTCCTCCCCCCCTTGCGCTCTGCTTCAAGACCAGACGTCGGCGGCTGACTACGGCGCGACCACCAGACAAACCACTTCAACATCGGATCGCTGATGCAGCGAGGCGTGCGATTCATCGGCAACGGCCAGGCGCCCGTCCACATGTACTGGGAGCATCTGCTGGCCGCGATCCGCAACAAGAGCCTCGATCCGCTGCAGATGGTGTCTCACCGGGTCCGGCTCGAGCATCTCGACAAGGTCTACCACATGTTTGACAACAAGGAGGACAGCATGCAGAAGGTCTTTGTGGAGACCAGGTTTTCGGCTCCGCCAGCCCCGGGCTGTCCGCCGCTGTCGAACTTTTAAAGCGCGGTCATGTGTGATGCTGTGCGCGGTGTCGACGAGCGTCCCGAGCACACGCCTGGGAGGTTGCGGGGAGTGTGTGCGAGGTAGTAGTAGTTTGTTTGTTTGGCTGCGATTTGAGTCGCGCACCGCTTTCATTCCTTTCCTTTCTTCAACAAGTCCGACACTGGCGGGGTTGAATCGGGACACGGTGTTCACCGTCAGGGAGGTCTCTCACCACCTTTATTCCTTCTTTAATACATCAAAAAGTACCAGCAAGCTCGGGTCGTGACATGTGCCGGGGAGTCCTACACCAGGGCCCAGATTCGGCTCGTACCGTGTGTCCGAGGGTCCGCACCAGGCTGAGCGTAGAACGGAACAAGCCCGAGGTGGATGGTAGATGCCTGCCGGGTGTGGTGGTGTGGTGGTGGACCGTGCACACCAGACTCCGCAACAACCCTAACCCTGTGCGCCACGCGACCAGGGACGATTTGTCGGCTTCACGTCCCCGTTCCGATCCAAAAGCTGCCACTGCAGACTTTTCGCGATAGCTCGCCTCGCTCGCATCAATGGCGACGGCAGAGTCGGCTCTCGAGACCCTCTTCTACCTTTACCCGTTGCTGCTCACCCTCACCTTGATCGGGGCGCAATGTCTTTTGTTCCGCCGCAGTCGGCGTCGAGAGGCGGCGCGCGTCGCCTCTCCCGCCCCGTCCGAGCATGAGCCCGAGCCGCAGCTTGAGCGCGCTCGACGCACCTGCGCGTGGCTGATATGGACACTCCAGCTTTTCCACTCCGCCTTGTCGCTCGCCAGCATCACTTTGACGGTGAAGCAGGCGCTCGCTGACCCGGACCCGGGCGGCGACGCCCCCGGAACGACTGCGTTCCCCTTCAGTGCATACCTGGTGGGTGCTCCGGCTCCGGCTCGGGCTCGGGCTCCCATGTCCGATGTGACATTGACCCGAATCACAGGCCTCCTACGTTGCTGTTCTGCTTTACTTCCTGGCCGGAATGCTTCCCGACCCCGAAGGTCCCTGGAACCCAACCGCGGCGCATTGCTCGGCCTGGATCGCCGGCGCCCTGGTCGAAGCCGTCGTGGCTGCCGTCTTGTCCTCCGCAAAGGCGCATCTGGCTGTGCCGGCGGCCTTTGTTGATGCGCTGACCGCGCTGGGGGCATCCAGGGTCGCAATCCTGGTCCTCATGGCCGCCGTTCTCCTCGCCAGGGAGCGCAAGCTGACGCGGTCCGCGCCCAAATCTCTGCCAGAGGAACGCCGGCCCCTGCTGGGAAACGGCAACGCGCCGCCCGGCAGCTATGCCGCGGTTCAGAACGCCAGGCCCGGGGCAGACGCGGCCGAGAAGTCGCCGCCGCCGCCGGCGGGCATGAGCTGGCTCACCTACGTCGCCAGTTTCCGAGTCCTGTTTCCCTATCTCTGGTGCGCCCCCGTCCCGTCGCCGAGTCGTGCCGACACCTCGGGCTAACTCCAACTCTTCCCCCAGGCCCAAGGACTCCCCGCTCCACCAGGCCGTCGTCGTCGTGTGCGTGGCCTTGCTCATGTGCCAGCGCGTCGTCTACGTCCTGGCCCCGTTGCAGCTGGGGGCTCTCGTCGACGCCCTCGGCAGAGGCCGCATCCCGTACAAGGACATGGTCCTCTTCGTCGCCTACCGCTACCTGCAGGGCAACCAGGGGGCCATCGGCGCCCTGCGGTCCGTCCTCTGGATCCCCGTGTCCCAGTCCCTCTTCCGCAGGCTGTCGGCCGCCGCGTTCGAGCACGTCCTCGGGCTGTCCCTCGAGTTCCACCTCGGCAAGAAGGTCGGCGAGGTCACCAGCGCGCTCAGCCGTGGCGCCGCGACCAACACCTTCCTCGAGCTCTTCTGCTTCCAGGTGCTCCCCATGATCTTCGACATCTTCTTCGCAGGCGTCGTCTTCTTCGCCAAGTACGACGCCTTCTACACCGTCATCGTCTTCTTCATCATGTGGTCCTACATCTTTCTCACCCTCTACCTGGTCAAGTATCGCGGCAGGCAGAGGAGAGACATGACGGCCAAGACGCGCGACATGGAGGCCATCAGGACCGACGCCATCATCGCCTACGAGACGGTGCAGCACAACTGCGCCATCCCCCGCGAGACCCAGAGGTTCAAGGACCACGTGCTCGTCTTCCAACGCGCCGAGCGCCTGGTCCAGTGGTCGCTCAACGGCCTCAACATCGTCCAGAGCTCCATCTTCACCCTCGGCACCGCCCTGCTCGTCGCCGTGTCGGCGTACAAGATCTCCATCGGCGAGCAGACGGTCGGTGAGTTCGTCACCCTGATCAACTATTTCGTCCAGCTCCAGGGGCCGCTCAGCTTCTTCGGCACCTACTACACCATGCTCCAGAACAATCTCATCGAGGCCGAGCGCCTCCTGGACCTGGTGAGCTGGCCCTCTGCCCCCAAGTAACTGCCGCGCGGGCAACTCGACTCCCGGCTGCTGACGTGCCCTAGTTTAAAGAGACGTCGGGCATCGTGGAAAAGCCAGACGCCGTCTCTCTACCCTCCGCAAGAGGAGAGGTTTCCTTTAGAAATGTCACGTTTTCGTATCCGGTCAAGAACCGCGAGCCCGTGCTCGACGGCGTCAGCTTCACCGTTGCACCGGGCACCAAGACCGCCCTCGTTGGAGCGTCTGGTGGTGGCAAGTCAACCTGTCTGAAGCTCCTGTTCCGATTCTACGACGTCACCGGCGGCTCCATCACCGTCGACGGCCACGACCTCCGAGATGTAAAGATTGACTCTCTCCGCAGGAACATTGGTGTCGTGCCGCAGGATACCGTCTTGTTCAACGCGACAATCATGTACAACCTGTTGTACGCCTCTCCCAACGCCACCGAGGCCCATGTCTACGAGGCGTGCAAGGCGGCCAATATCCACGACAGCATCCTCAACTTCCCGGATGGATACGAGACCAAGGTTGGAGAGCGCGGTCTCAAACTGTCTGGCGGAGAGCGGCAGCGCGTGAGATGCCCCTTCCCTGCTCCCCATTTGCACCGCCCGCCTTGTTTCTCGTCGGCTGACGAAGAGAAAAAAATCAAAATCAAAATCACGGCCTTTAGATTGCCATTGCGCGCGCGATCCTCAAAGACGCGCCGATCCTGCTCCTAGACGAGGCCACTGCGTCGCTCGACTCCAATACCGAGAGAGAGATCCAGGATGCTCTCGAGCGCGTCACGTCCGGGCGGACCACAATCACCATTGCGTAAGTCACCTGCGACGCGACTCGTCTGAGACGGCGCTGACTCTTTGCCCTCGGCATCGCAGACATCGCCTTTCCACCATAACCACCTCTGATCAGGTTGTTGTCATCCATGAGGGCAAGGTCGTCGAGCGCGGCACCCACGAGGAGTTGCTGGCGCTCCGGGGAAAGTATCACGCCATGTGGGAGAAGCAGACGACTATAGAAAGGAGGGAGAGGGAGAAGATGGAGCGGCAAGGCGATGCGTCCGACGCAGCGTCCCGCGAATCAAGAAGCTAGTCATGGACCAGCCGTTCCTGTGGGCTGACACGGCTACATGCGACGCCTGTGAGCGCCGTCTCCGATCGACAGGAGGCGACAGTCGTGTACAAACGACTGTCACTGTGCGACGGAAGCCGCCTCGAGTCCAACCAGGGATGACAGCCTCTGTGCGTGTCGGTCGGTCGGTGTAGCGTAGGACCCAGACGCGACGAGGCTTTTGTCGTGAGCAGCAAGGCTGGCGCTCAACGACCCTCCCTCTGTCTTTGGTCATTTGTAGGGTCGCGAGACGGCGCAAAAAGTAAACAAAAAAAAAGAAAGAAATCTCGGCAGCCTTGCACTTTGAACGGCCGTCTTGATGTGCCTGCCGCCCGTCCGTCGTCCGAGTTGTGGTGACAGCTCTCGACGCCTCAGGCACAAAAAGCATCGCGTCACGTGGGGCCTGGCATTGCCGGCCGAAAGCTCCGCCCCCGCCCCCGCCCCCACCTCCGTCTCCGCGTCTCGGCTCCCGCTTCGATCGCAGCCTCGGCTCAACCCGCAGCCTGTGCTCCCGACGTCATTTGAAGTGCACGCAGGGCGTCACCAAGGCCGGCAAGTAGACCAAAATGCCTCGTGAAACCACCACGGCGACCTAGAACACCTACCGCTGGGTCTCTTTCTCTTCCTCCTCTCTTAAACTCCCCCTTTCCCCCGGCCCGCGTCCAATCGACAACATCTCACCATGGCAGAGATAGGACCTCCCCCCCTGGCAGGCATCACGGTCCTCGAGTTCGCCGGCCTGGCGCCCGGCCCCTTCGCGGGCATGCTCCTCGCCGACGCAGGCGCCTCCGTGATCCGCGTCGACCGCGCCTCCCCCGGCCGCTCGCTCCCCGCCCCCGACGCGCTCACCCGCCGCAAGGCCTCGGTCGCGGTCGACCTCAAGTCGCCCCGCGGCACGTCCTTCGTCAAGGAGCTGGTCTCGCGGGGCGCCGACGTCCTCATCGACCCCTTCCGCCCCGGGGTCCTCGAGAGGCTCGGCCTCGGGCCCTCCGTCCTCCTCGGCATCAACCCGCGCCTCGTGTACGCCCGGCTCACGGGGTTCCGCCGCGACGGCCGCTACGCCGCCATGGCCGGCCACGACATCAACTACCTCGCCGTCTCGGGCGCCCTCAGCCTCCTCGGCCGCGCGGCCGACACGCCCCTCCCGCCGACCAACATGCTCGCCGACTTCGCCGGCGGCGGCGCCACCCTCTTCCAGGGCATCCTGCTGGCCCTGCTCGCGCGCCACGCCTCGGGCAGGGGCCAGGTCGTCGAGGCCAACATGGTCGACGGGTCCGCCTACCTCGCCACGTTCCCGCGCCTCGGGCTCACGTCGGGCCTCGGCGCCCGCGGCCGCGGCAGGAACCTCCTCGACGGCGGGTGCCCGTTCTACGACACGTACGAGACCCGCGACGGGAGGCACTACGCCGTCGGCGCCCTCGAGCCGCACTTCTTCCGCCAGCTCCTCGACGGCATGGGGCTCCGCGGCCGGGGGCTCGAGGACAGGCAGCTCGACGTGGACGAGTGGCCGGCCATGCGGGCCCTCTTCGAGCGCACCTTTAGGCAGAAGACGCGCGCGGAGTGGGAGGCCGTCTTCGACGGGACCGACGCCTGCGCCGCCCCCGTCCTCGACTACCACGAGCTGGAGCGCGACCCGGCCAGGGAAGGGGACCAGCGCCCGGCCGTGACGTTGCGCGGCACGCCGTGCCTGGCCATCAAGCAGCGCCCCCCCGGGGGACACTCGGACCCCGTCGTGCACGGCCGCGGCGCCGGCGTCCCCGGGGACGGCTACCACGGCGAGCCGCTGGCCCCGGGCGACGGAGGCGAGCGTGCTCTGGAATCGTGGCTGGGGTGGAAGAAGGGCAGAGAGTACGATGTGCGCGACGGCGCATATGTCCTGACCGTGTCCACCAAAGAGTCGTCCAAGCTGTAGACCTTGGCCAACAGGCGCGCCAAACGCTCCGGCCTGATGAATCCACGTCGATACGGCCGCTTCACTTGATGCCCGCACCGCATCCGCCGGCGTGACGACGGAGCGATTGCGCCCTTGTGCTCAGGGTCCGGGTCGCGCCGCCATGTCCAACACGTGGAATTTGCTATTAATATAGTGGTGGAAATGCTTCGTCTAGTAAATACATCCCTTACACACAGATGCGACGCAAAGCGCCGCGCACAGCATGTACTGACCAAAAACAAACATCTACCTTGTGCGTCCCATCTGCAATGATCAAATTAAACCCCAACAACAACAACATCAAAGAATCATTTTCAGAGACAGAGGGTGGCGGGGACCATGTTCTGCTTCTAGCTCTCAACTGAGGATCCGCGCATCCGCTCCCTGATCTACTCTAAGCCTTGTAAAACCACCTGGTATCGAAAAAAGAGATGGTGACCGTCGAATCGAGGGTTGTCCCTGACATCGAGAAGTAGTCACAATGATTTCTGTTTCGTCACGGTTTCCATGGGCGCCAAGCAATTGCAGTCAACACCAGTATCTGGTCTTTCTGCGGCTGGTGGGCTTTACTGGACCTGGCTGACGATTTCACTGGCCTTGCCTAGAGATTCAACCATCTGCTGGCATTCTTTCCGTCGGCGGATAGTAAAGTCGCTTTCTTTCAGCAAATCATCGAGCGTATCGGTTCGGTACATGTTCTCGAGAAGTTCACGTTGCATTTCATCCTTGGTAAACCTGTGCATTGCTAGTTAGCACCCGTAGCAAGACGGCATGAAATCATCGTGTACATACTGCACTAGGTTGAGCATAATGGCCTTCGGGACCATGTCGATCATGGTGCGCTTGACAATGTTGTAATACGAGGAAATGAGCAGCTCTATTGAGTGACGTTAGTGCATGTCCGGCGTAAAAAAGTACCGAAAGAGCCTTACTGATGACTTCTACTTCGATGTTCTCTCGCTCGGAAAGATTGCCAGAAGCCTTCAATGTCGGCGGAGGCGCTTCCATGGCCGCAGCCTTCTTCTTGTTCTTGGCAGCAAAGAAGCTTCCAAAGAAGCCGGCATTGCCGGGACCGTCTATTTCGGGGATTGTGGGACTGGCAGCCCGGGCAGGTGTGCCAGACTGTAGCAGAGGCTTGCCTGTCTTGGGGTCAACTTGGACGGGTTTGGCGGGGTTGTATCGTTCGTTGACAATCGCCATGGCCTGGAGTTTGTGGTCAGAGACGTGGGCTCTTGCAAAATAACGGGGCTGGTAGACTTACACGGTGGCCGTTCAGGAAATCGGGGTGACCAGTGTTGATGTAGCACGATTCCATGGCAACAAGGTCGCGCACCAGCTTGTTGGTGGGCTCCATGGCCTTCTTGAAGAAGGCAATGACAACACCATGCATCTTCTCCTTGAGCTGAGGATATCGGCGGTACAACTGCTTGCCCAGGAGCTGGGACAAGATTCGAACCAGTTCGTCATAGGCGAGCGAGACACACTTTAAGCTGGGATCTTCGAGGCGCTTGATCTGCTGCTTGACAATGAGCTCAAAGGCAGTTGTCCCGACGAAGAGCGCCGGTGATGAGCCAGAAGAGTTGTACAGAATAGTCCGGATATCGACATCTTTGACGACGTCGAACGGATCCACAGCCTTGACACCGTTCGCGTACAGCTCGTGGAAAACGAAGCTGATACGAGCACCGCCCGAAAGCTCTGTGCTGGAAAGCTCAGTGTTGTTGCCGTCCAAAACTGTCCGCCACTCGTTTGTGAATTCGGTAATGATGTTGAGGACGACGTTGGCACTGTTTCCAAGCATAGAAGGCCCCAGGCTCTCGAGCTCGTTGCTGTACTTTTGTAGTGAGCTCGAAATCCGTGCTTTGATATCGGGCAAAGTTTGTTTGATGTGCATCATGAGAATCATGTTGAGTTTGCGTGCCAGGTAGGGAGTTCCGCAGTAGGAGCTTTTGTTGCGGTAAGCCTTGTGGTTTTCGAAGAATGCTTTTTCGGCGTCAAGAGCAACGTTGATGGCCTTCTTATTGTCGATGTCTCGTTGGCCTCGGTTAACCACGGGGACGTAACCCAGACGCAATGGGATGACACGATTCGAGAGAATATCGATGACGTCGGTTCCGTCGTCCATCAAATCGACCTTGGTCAAGACACCAATGGTACGCTGACCCTCGGGGTCAACTTCGCGGCCAAGCTTGAGACCGTCCGAGTTGGCCAGATCAATGTTGGCCGCGGTGACGGCCAAAATAATAGCATTCGACTTGCCGATATATTTCAAAACCATCTCTCGGATCTGTCGCTCGATATCGCGGGGTTGGTCTCCCACGGGCACCTTGGTCAGACCCGGCAAGTCGACCAGCGTCAGGGTGAGAACGTTGGGAGAGTAGATTCGGAGGTTGATGGGGGCGGGCGAGATGCCAGAGTTCTTCCCAACCTTGGCCTCCGTCTCACGAGCGATCTCCTCTCTGATCTTTCCGAAATCGTGATACTTTTGGCCAGGAATGTGCAGAAACTCTCCCCACTCGTCGGCATTGGCGGCCTTGTCGTTGGCCGTGGACACTTCGTCTCGCTTGACACCGTTCGTTTGGGCGGGTCGGTTGATAAGCTGCAAGACTAATGGACGCCGTGTGACGATGCCAGAGCCTCGGGGCAAGCTGTGATGGAAATGGTTAGTCACTTCTTCACCGGCAGCAAGTCCACGTCGCAAAAGGGGCGACATACAAGTCTCTGCCCACGATATTCTCCAAGACGGAGCTCTTGCCGCTAGACTGACTGCCCACTACGACAATCTGGGGCAAGTCAATGGGATTGTTGACGCCGACAGTGGCGAAGACATCTTGAAGTTTATTGACGAGTCTAGGAACTCAAAGATTAGCAGCCGCATCGTATTGCCTGGGCGGTGAGGGCTCACTGGATGAGGGCGGGATCCGAGATGCCACCCGGGGTCGCGAGATTGCCAGTCATGATGACTACGCTTGCGTCGCCTCACTGCGGCTTGTGACTTCGCGGTATCAGGCTCGAGCGTGTCGCAAGGCGGTGGTGTTGGACGGTGGCAGAAACTGAGGCCGTTGTTGAGGTGGCGGTCCGACGATGGGGGCGGAGGGGGGACGTCACCGCGATGACTCGCACGAGGACGGGAACCAGACGCAATACGATGCCGCTCAGCGTTTCGGTGCCGCAGTACGGGATGCTCGACCAACAGGGCAGGCGGCGCACGAGGCTGGAGGATGACGGCGTGCGAGAAGATCGACGGTGGTTACGACGTTTGATAAGGAGGACTGACTGGCAGGACGATCTGCTTCTCGAGTCGACGGGAGCCTAACAAGAACAAGGGCAGGGGAGAGAACTAGAAAAGCCAAAGTGGTGTGTCGCTGCCCTGGACCGACCCAGCCAAGCCACATGTGGCGGGGCAACGGAACCGCCGCGTTCACAGGAGACGAGTGCCACGTGACAAAAACGCCAAAAGGACGACCCAATCTGTTTGGCAACACGTTTTCCGAAAGTGTCACGGATGGCTGGATGAGGCCGTCTCGTGGTAGATGGCAATTGTGTTGGTGATGCTTGTCCCCCTCCGAGCTCAAGGTACTGACGGGACTAATATATCAGCATTCTGAATGTTCCGAGGCCGTCCGGTCCGGTTTTGCTTCCATTTTGCAACCAGCACTCTTCCAGAAAAAAAGGTCAGACAGATGACCGCGGGAATACGCTTTGACAGAAACGTTTTTATTATTCACCAGCAAGAAGGGATGCCATGGAAACCACGGAGCGAGGCTAGGCAAGGAAAACCTGTGTGCACTGTTCTATCTCGGAGGTGCGACTCCTGCCGTCATGTCGCAGCAAGTGCACCAGTACACAAAACTGGTACGCACACAGCTGCCTCATGCACGACGTGTCGCAGCTCAACGAAGAGATCGAGACGTTGGGCATGTTGTATCGTGGGTACTTGGTGGGCCATGTGCAGAGTGCGATGCGAAGCAACAGAACAGCACGACTTGGAGGCCCGACGTGATCCTTTGCCTCCCAAGTTCCAACTCACAAAAAGAAAGCTCTGCATCATCGTGCCATTCTTTGTTGCCTAACCTTTCATGGCGTGTGTTGCATTTCTTGGCATCCCCTTTCCGCTCGTGGCCGCCGAGGCGTCAGTGAAGCCTTCGTTCACTCGACAAGGCCCTAGGAGCAACCTGGTGAGACTCTGCAAGTCATTGGTCTGTGGATATTTCTACTCTACAAGAGGATTTGAGTTGATCAATGCATTGATCAGTAGAAACTGCCCATCGGCCCCATATCCTCGAAAGATGCCATGCTGGACCTGGTGCGACATCGAGGGGCTTCCGTATATCTGACGGGCCGGGCTGCGGCGATCACGGAAACCAGACGCACAATCGCGTCATGTGAAATGTTGATTGGGCGCCGTTACGATCCCGCGGCCCGTCGCGTTGCGTTGGCGGGAGAGAAGCTCCTAGCGGCAGGAAATCACCGTTGCGCCAGACCAGACTCGACTCCATGTCTAGATGTCAGTCCTCAGTCTGGCCCTCACCGACCTGGACAGGCCTTGGAGAGGACACCTCAAGTGCTGAGGTACTCTCCGCCAGCAGTGACCCGCGTGGGCCCGTGTTGTTGAAGTCGACTTGTCTTATGCTACCAGTTGAAGCTTCCCCAGCTCATCGTTGAAGACTTCCCAGGCGCAGCCATGGGCCAAGATTACGCACTTTCGTTGCTAGCTCACCCGCCTCAATCGATTGCACCGGAGGACATGCGAGAAGCACTGTATCCAAGTCTGACTGCTTGTGTCGAGCGGCTTCTCGGACGCGCAGCATCGAACAAGCCTCTGCTTGACGTTGCCGTTCGCCTGACACGCCTGGTGGATGAGTGTGAAGCACAGGCGGAACTCTTCGCCCGTACCAAGGAGATGGTGGCTGGCGTCTATGGACTGTTGGCTTCCGTCTTGGAGGAGGCCAGGCCCGTCATGGGTCGACATGATGCTCGGGGTCTCGAGGCTCGCGTCACCCTCATTCACGAGGCCAACATTGCCGCAAGCAGATTCCCATTGCCACCCGCAGTGCGCGAATTCCGTGCTTTTGCAGCAAGTGGCAGGCCACGGACTCGTGTGTCCCATGTAGGCAGTCCGCAGGGCGACGACATGTACCGGAAGTTCCGGCTCTTGGCCAAGAACTCGGTTCCGACAGCAACACTTGACCACGCCGATCGCCTTCCCGGAGGCATGCAAATGTTCAACCCCATGGCGGTGGGAAGAGAGCGCATGCCGACTACTATCGGCAACTACAGCCCGCGCGTAATCGTCGGGCTTGAAGGCGGGAGGCTTGGCTTGTCCGACAAGTCGAGACTCACCATGGAACTGATGGCGCTTTCTCCGTCAAACGTGGACGAGCTCACGGACGGGAGAGCCATGCCCAGCTCGTTGCATGTTGTTGTGCGCAGTGGTGAACATGTCCCAGTAGCCGACACGAGGAACTTTCTCCCGGCGGCACCGGAGGACGGGCAATTGTTGAGGCAAAAGCAGGGTGGTTTGCAGCCGGGGCCGAAGACAACGTCTGGGAGAGCGTGCTTTGCGGTGATGTTCGTGTCGTAATGTCAGCCTTGAAACAGGTCCAACTGGAGGACAGGCAAATACCAACGATTGCCATGGTGTCGCCGGATACGATGTGGCTTCTTTCACTGATGCGGAAAATATGCAAGGGCCAGGTTTTTGTTACAGAAATATGCTGCATTCGTCACCATGGTGGAAGTACCAATGGCAGCATGCATGTGTCCAAGACTTGGTCGTCTCGGCGGGTCTTGCTACGCATCGCCGCGCCTTTACCCTTGCACGGCTGAAGCCGCCGGGATCACGTCACCATTTGAGGCTATTCATCATGGCGACGATGCCCCCGTGCAACACCGCAGCACTACAGCGCAGCGCAGCAATAGCAAGTACCGGGTTCTTCGTTGCGACGGCGACTGGGCTTTGGCGCGTCGTCGTCCATCCGCGACGCAGACATCAGCAACGTTTCGAATCCCCCCTGTGCTTGGCATCTGCGGCACACAACCCACGCAACCCTGGCAGGCACCAAAGGGAAATGGGACGTGTGCGGATTGAATGCCATGACGGTGGAACTAATAATTACGTACGCTGTGGGGATAAATGTGGTGCAAACATGCTTTTCCTTAATCTCTACGCAAAACGTACGTATTACCACACTACGTAGTAAGGAGTGCTTATGCAATGATCCGCAGTCGTGCGATACTTGAAAGCTTCCCGGTCTTTGCTGCTTCTTGTCAATGCGAGCCTAGCCAAGCCACGGCATGCCAAACGCGGCGACATGTTCTGGCAACGTGTGTGGAGGAGCCCCTTTCACGATAACTTATAACTCTACTCCGTATATGTTTGAATTGACACCCACTGCGGATGGAATTAATTTAATTTGATGGTAAGAAGAAGAAGAGGAGGAGGAAAACGGCCCTCAAGGTACTGCCTAGGACACGGCAAGAAAAGCAGAACAGTCCATCAGGAATGTACCGTCGACATGACTTTGTAGTTGCGAGGGCCAGAGTGCGCCACGTAGTCGTTGATGCTGCCCGGCGCCATTGCTTCAACAAGTTACAAGACCCGGCCGACGTAAATGCCCCCAGGAAGGGCGGCGCGTTTACACAAGCATAGCTTTGCCTGCGCGAGCATCAGACACCGCTCGAAGACGGGCAGACCAGATGGAGTCTGTAGGCCAGGGACGGCCGTGGCCGTATGCGGACTGGTCACACGAGAGCAGAGGGCATTGAAGCTGGACAGCACGTAGATGGTATGAAAAGCCTCATGTTGAGCTACAAGGAGAGAATTGTGTGCGTTCCTTGAAAAGGAGCGCTCAGCATGCGCTTTGAAATAGGGTTTGGGCTGTTAGTCAGCAGAGCGGACCGCCTCACGGTGTCCCCACTTTAATCATTCTCGGAGGCCGGGCAGGGGGCAACTGTATGTACGTAGGCCTTACGGAGTACGGAGTACGCCACCAGCAAACACTGTGGGCCTCTGGTCTCGAGAGCACCAGCCTCAATCCTGAACCTCCGTCCACGTCAAGTGCTAGTGCTGGTGCTGCTTCTCCAGATGCTCGGACCCTCTTTTGACTTCACTCCTCCACGACCGTCTTCTCATGCCACAATTCGACAAAGCTGGCGCCATCAACCTCGTCCAGCGTTGCTCAGCTCGCCCTCTCGCACGGCGACCCGGCTCCACCGATATTCCACCTTTCACTTGACCATCATCGACGCCAGCCCCATGTCGTAAACCGCTGCCCTCCAGTGCCCGATACGCCTCGTCACATGCCCGGCGACGATTGAGGTGTTGCTGTCCTTCGCGGCGTCCCAGCAAAACGACAAGACAACACGCTTGGACAGTCATCGTCGATCGACCACCCGAATAATCCTGCGGTCCTCCAAACCTCCAGTCGGCTCGACTGTGCTGGAGCTGACTCCCTTCCCAAAAAAATTAAATTAAAAATTAAAAAAACACAACAAACAGAAACGTCCACGTCCATCGCATACCAGCCTTCATCACCTCACGATACGCATACGAACCTGGTCTGGTCCCAGATCCAGCTTGGCCGGTTCGCCATTGCTTCTTCGCCCTCTCGTCTCGACTGTTTCGGCTTAAAACAAAATCGACTGCAACGGTCACCGCGGCTTTGCCCGCGGAACGGTCGACGTGGACCAACCCTCCGACTCTCGTTCCCTCCACCCTATCGTCCCCTCCGACGACCCATCATCCACTCCGCTTCCCTCTCGACATTCTGCCAGCGCCGTCCTCTCGGCACCCAACCCCCTCTCGCCGCTTGATCTCCCTGTTCCGTTTCCCCAACCAGCTCCGGCTTCGACTGTGAACATAGAATCTTCCACTCCAAGACCGGATCTGCCTTCCGGCTCGGCATCGCAGGTCCTGGGTAGGCGACGACGCCTGTCCCTCTCTTCCCCAACACAAGATTCCACCGACTCTTCTTCTGCTGACGACGGGGTTCCTCTGGCCGCCACATCCTCATTACCTAGTCGGCGTCGTCCTAAAAGAAGGCGGCGATTGGGCATAGACATGGCCTCAGATGGCGACTCCGTCTCACAGTACAATGGAGGTGGCGTCGCTCGCTCGAATGGATCTACTGATGTCGTTTCGCAGAGCGCTGTCTTGCCTAGTGGCGTGACGAACGGGACGCACAAGACAGCATCTTTAGCCGACAACGGCTCAGCGAATGGAGATAAAGCCCCGGCGTCGTCCATCCAGCCGCCGTCATATTTCGGACACGACAGAGAGGAGGTGACTCGCATTTTAATCCAAGCATTATCAGACATGGGTTATCAAGCGGCGGCCGAGAGTGTGAGCGAGGAGAGCGGGTTCAAACTGGAAAATCCTACCGTGGCAGCCTTCCGGTCAGCCGTGCTGGATGGCTCGTGGGCTGAAGCGGAGGAGCTGCTGACAGGAGCTACCACGGCAGGGCAGGGTGGCGAGGATGGGAATGGACTTGTGCTCGCTCCAGGCTCAGACAGAAATGTTATGCGATTCGGCATGCGCCAGCAAAAGTTTCTGGAGCTCCTAGAAACCAGAGACACAACTCGTGCACTTCAGGTTCTGCGGACGGAGTTGACGCCGCTGGAACACGATACATCCAAAGTGCATTTTCTTTCCAGCCTCTTAATGTGTCTTTCAGCAGACGACCTGATGGCCAAGGCGAATTGGGATGGAGCACGGGGTCAGTCCCGCAAGAGGCTGCTGTCCGATCTATCGAGTGAGTAGCGAAATCTCGCAAGCCTTGCCGAATTTTTGATGTGTTGGAGTTAACCAGCCTTGCTAGGGTGCATCTCGCCATCTGTCATGCTCCCCGAGAATCGTCTAGCCGTCCTCCTTCATCAGGTCAAGCAAAGCCAGATCAACTCGTGCCTCTTCCACACTGCAGCTTCGTCTCCTTCGCTGTACTCGGATCATCTCTGTGACAGGCGATTCTTTCCCAGGGATATCGTCCTAGAGCTCCCTGAAATGAGAGGAGAGGTGTGGGAAGTGCAGTTCTCTCACGACGGATCGCACCTTGCTGCCTGCGGATCTGGCGATAGCGTGTTCATATGGGAAACGAGGTCATTCACAGTTGTGCATGCCCTGAGCATACAGGTTCACAAAGATCACCACTCTGGCGTGGCAAGCATTGCATGGAGTCCGGATGACTCCATGCTGGTGACCTGCTCACAGGACAATTTTGCCCGATTATGGGATACCAAGGCAAGAACCTGCTCCCCAATGCCCATTCTAAACAGCAAACTAACCAGACGCATAGAGCGGCTTATTGATAAAGAAACTGAAGAGGTTCGACGAACCTGTCAGTGGGTGTGTCTGGGCAAGTGACAGCGCGACGTTTGTCCTCGGCACTCTAGACAACAAGCGTAGCATTTGTACGTTCAACAACGAGGGCGAAGAGGTGGTCCAGTGGAACAAGAAGCATCGTGTGCAAGCCCTGGCCGGCTCCCGGGACGGACGTTGGCTGGTAGCGGCGGATAACTTTACCAACATGTACGTCTACAACGGGGCAACACGAGAGCTGGAGTATGAACTAGATTTGGGCGCCCGGCCGATATCCCTGTCCATCAGCCTGGACTCTCGGCAGCTGCTTGTCAATAAGGAGGACAGCGAAGCACAGCTCGTCGACTTGATCACGAGAACTACAGTGCAGAAGTTTCTGGGCCACATGACGGACAACTGCGTCATCCGGGCCTCTTTTGGCGGGGCCAACGAAAGCTTTGCCATGAGCGGCAGCGAGGACGGCAAGGTGGTCATTTGGCACAAGAACATAGGAGCTGCCGTGGAGAGGCTGTCCAGCTTCTCCGGCAAGCGATGCAACTGTGTGGTTTGGAACCCGGTCGATCCGTACATGCTCGCGTCGTGTAATGATGACGGAAAAGTGCGAATGTAAGTTGTCAAAGTCCTACCTCGCCACGTACATGGCGCGAGGAAAGCTGACGCCAAGTCGTAGATGGGCCAACCGCAAAAGAGGGCTGGAAATCAGGTCCAGGATACCCGGACTGACCGGGTGGAAACACTATCAGAACGAATCGGCGCCGTACGCCTAGGCGGGACGCTGCAGACGGCGCTCCTTGACATGACCCTTTCCAACGGCCCCCCCACCGCGATACGCTACGAGTTGTGCTTCGGTCATATATTTCTCTTACACTGTTGCTCCACGTTCTTCTTGGTTTAGATGCAACGCCAATGACGGCAATAGAACAATGCACACGGGACGGCAGGGGGTCACCCATTGTTCACCCCCATTTTTGGTCGGTTTATTGAAACTGTGGTTATCGTGGCCCAGCCTGGATCAGTGTATTAATTTTTTTTTATTGGCCATTTGATATCCGATGAAGGGACTGGTTTTCATGGGCCCTTTGTTTCTTCATCGCCGTCGTCGTCGTTATCATCATCATCATCATCATTACCGTCATCATCATCGTCATCGTCATCGCCATCCGTCATCGCCATCCGTCATCATCATCATCATCATCATTGTCATGTTTGTGACTATTCACTCGTTTAGTCTTTGTTGGCTTTGGTTCGCTTCCATCTTTCCAGCGTTGTAGCGTTGGCGAGGCCTGCGGAGGAAGAGCAGAGCCGTCCGGTGCGTCTGATGGGCCGGAGCGAGTAGGAGCGCAGTACTGAAGGACCGGATTGCCGGGATGTCGGGATGCCGGCACGGGGTTGTTGATTTGTGCAATGTTACATGTAGACTGGGACAGGAGGCCCTCGACTTGATAGTACATACTGCTGCCTGTCCGCTTCTGCAACAAGGAAAGCAGATGAATAAATAAATAAGCGTTTCTACATATGGCGAGGCGCACAGAGCGCTTGTGATGCTTGCGAAGGGCGGGGTCAGGTGCCATTGGTGATGTGATGTGGGAGTGACGGAAGATACTCCGTATATATAACACTAGGTGGCCTGCACAATCTGAATCAGACTTGTTCCCAGGTGGCGTCGGTGAAGAAGCGAGGCGAGGTGCTGTTCCTGACGGGCAGCGAGTCTTGCCCGTCGAGCTGCGGTGAGGCTCGTCCGCCAAACCTGCCCTGCTGGCCAAGGGCGGCCGTTCATGGTTGTGGTACCTGCGTGGAAGCGAAGCAACCGCGACGTCTCGAATCATCATCTGACCAATAAAGCTGCCAAGCTGCGTGCGCTCCCACGCAGCCGGTCAATTCCTGTCGCCGGACGTCTTGTCCCCATCGACGCTCCAACTAGGAGGCGGTGATGGCAGCGGCCGGAAAATAAAAGCCTCCACCTCGCCGTCAACTTGCTTCGAGGTGCCCATCAGATACGGAGTAAGTGACTACTTCGTACACACAAGGCTGCTGGCTTGGCGCGTCAACCTAGCTGCCTAGATACTACGTACTTGAGTAAGTAGCGAGCCATCAGGTCCCCTGTACGGAATACAGATGGTCAGATGGTCCAGAGAGTGTGCGTGCAGCAGACCGCCGACCCTTGCCTTGCTTTCAGCCTCAGGAACTAGACGGGTTTCGACCATCGAGGAAAGCCAAGCCAAGCCCAGTTGAGCTTGACAGCAAAGTGCGGTCTGGGCAGTTGTACACAGAGCACCATACTACTCCGTGCTCCGTACGGAGTACAGGCATTTTAATTGCGAGCTGTGGGCTCCAGCCCCCCGTGGTTCGTGTAACGACGCCCCAGTTCGCGAGTTCCATACATGCCAAGAGGCTCCTCCATCCTGTTTTTGTCCGAGTGAGGCCAAGAAGAACCGTCTGGGGCAAGTCTGGGAAGAGACATGGGGGTGTTGTCGCTTGTCTGCTGTACTAGTAGTTACTACGTACGTATTCCGTACGAGTACGTACTCCGTAACAACTAACATCTCCACCAAGTCTCGCCATGTATCCCGGCGCGCACTCAACACGGAGCACTCACCGCCCAGTTGGAAATGCAGGCGATTATGAATGACGTGACTAGCGGACACGTGCTCCCTGTTCTTCCAGAACCCCCTGGGTGGCCTCTACAGTGCACCGGGGGACAGGGAGGCGGCGTAGGGAGCAGCACGCGCTTCCAGACCAGCAGCGCGGCTCGTCAATCGCCACAGCTCTAGCAAAAGGAGTCCAAGCTGAATCCAAGGTTGAAATATCGACAATGCTCTGTCAATGAAAAGTTTGCAGCTTCAGAGCATATTGGTATACGTGCATGTGCGATAAGTCGTGGGTCGTACTAGCAGTGTGAGTAGCAGTCGTTGTTGTTGTTGAAGGGTCTATTAATAGCCCCAGTGGCCGCAATGGTTAGGAATGCCGTGATAGAGTTCCGCCGGCGACGACTGCATTCGGGCAAGGCGTTGTGTGTTCCTAGCCGTTTGGGTTCCATAGACGGTTTGACAGCATCCTCGTTCTGACCGCTGGCGACGTTCGGTAACCCTGGCGTTGTCACATAGTTTCTGCAGTAGAGAGTTCATTGCCGGGATATTCCTGTTAAAGTAAAGGCATCAATCATGTCGTCTGCCAGTAGTCGCCACCTTTCCATAGTGCTGCTCATCTCTGCCAGCCGGTTTGGACTAAATATCAACTGCGCTGCTAACACGAGCACAGCGTCCAGGCCTTTGCAGCAGCCGACCAGCCCGGTCCCTGCCCCGGATCCGAAGCCACCCATACTGTCGAACAAGGGACTGCATGCAAGAATGGGAGGGCCGAGGCAGAAGCTCGTGGGTCGCATGAACTCGGAGTATATGCCCAGTCGAAAAGGAGAACTGAGCTAGCTAACCATACACATCCCCGAGACCTTCTCGCTATCCACTGATGTGCGCGCGGTCGTGGTCATGTCCTTGTAGCAAAGAAAGTAGTACATGGTTAGCATTCGAAGCTGACAGGGAGTTTCCATCCAGCTTTGACCCCTAGCGATTCAGGTGCCAGAAATACAATAGAGCCGCGAAATCTTCAGGATTCAACAATATGACTCGGTACCGCAGATGGAGAGTTGTGCATTGGCTTGTCAACATGTGAACGGCCATCCATCCCATCGTACTCCCTCTGTCTCGCTCGCAGAGACGCTGCTCGAGTACTTGGAGCAGTGCTAAAATGGCGGGCATGACGGCGCCATGTCTCAGGATACGCTCGCGTTCCGCACTGGGTCCACCGAGTATTGCCAGTTCTTCGCTGCTCAGCGCTTGCAACAACACACAACCCAACGCCAGACATATTAAGCCCTGGCTTGAGCCACAGTTGTCGGCTGCGTTGTCACCATCAGGCGAGGTAGATGCCATTCCAACGACTTGCTCGACAGGAGAAGTCCGGAATAAGAAGACGGGCGTATCCGGTCAGGTGGGCGGCAGTCTGACGAGCGCAGAGTATAGTAAGTAGTTAGTATTGGCATTACCCAACTGATGCAGGAATGACGATTTGGAAATCGAGACAAAAACTCGAACAGACATACGGAAGCCAGTGGATTTGGCACCAACATTCCAGAACATTGAGCAAGACGCCATGCAGTAAATGCCGTAACCCGACAATGTGTGTTGCACCACTGCTTGAGGCTTGATGGTTCTGGCCATTGCCCTACCTTGTCGCGAGACACTAAAGGAAGAACATCGAGGGCATTGTCCAGCTTGTGACCAACTCCCTGGTAGGTAGTCGGTACGGAGTACAATGATGCGACTTGAACCTGAGCAAGGCGGTCTGTGTGTCACCTTGACGGGTCTGTTGCCTTGAAGAGCCATATCAGGCGAGTTACTCCGTATCATTGAGTTGATTAGGATCCGCACAACGATGAAGAGTATTGGGCCAGTGACTCAGCGACAGCACCTCAACCGGTTATACTGAGATAAAGTTCACACTGTCCCTAGCGTAAAAATGTGGTGTGTCCAGTACAACCTACTTAAGCCAACTGCAGGGATCTTTGTTGTTGGCAGTTGCAATCCTAAGGCTGATGCCCCGTGCTGTGGACCCTGGCCATGGACGGCCCTCTACTTGACAACACAGACTCCGTCTGCTTTACAACTAAATGCATCTTCGAAACTTCAGAGTATCGGGCTTGACAAGCTGGTTGTTGGCTAGCACAAGCTTGCACATCGGCGCCCGTAAGACGGCACCCACGGCTCGACAGATATGCTGGTTACTTGTTAGTATGCCCGCTGTCCGGCGCCATTAGTGTGAGCATTACGACAGCAGGAGACTCTAGACGGGCTCGTCAAAAGGGGAAGCACGGTGTCATCAGATCACGCCCTGAGTCGTCGTCCTCATTTGTTGATTCTGTGACCAAGGACAGATGAACTTCGTTAGCAAGAAAGGCCAGTTGTTGTAAGGGGATGTATAGATCTCGCCCGTCCTTACGACCGACGTCGTCCGCCAATAACAAAGAATAACGTTTAGACGACAACACACTTGACGGGTTCCGCTGAAAAGTGCAGCGTCGCTTTGGCTGTTCCTTTTATGGATATCGAAGTGACTTTGCTGGCCAGTCGCCATGGTCAGTGCAGGGGCCACAGCAATAAATGCCGGGCAGTCCAGCTTAGATGAGGATCGTGGACTGACTTGTTCTCTGCTAATCATAGGGAGCATCAACATAGCATTACGCGAAGGCGGAAGTGGCTATCGTTGCATTTCGGGCGAGAACTCGATTTCTCCTAGTCTTGTACGACAATGCCCACGGGGAACGGATACACGTGCATGGCAGTTGCCATGTTGGTAGACATGCAGGCGGTTCCAAATGAATATGCCGTCCGTGCATTCATATGCCGCTTATCAAGAGCCGAGAGTTGTCCTGTTTCGATTCTCTTCCCACGCGGCTTGACGGCCTCGCAACCTGTATCACGATCCGAAACATGCGGCCAGAGGCAAGTGCCTTGGCGATTACATGTCTGAGACCTTGAATCCTCGACTTGACTTCAATACGACAGGGTGGCGGATTGGACAATTAGCTGCAGATGCGATGCAGCTTTAGATGGTGCGTATTCTAACCTGTTGAGGTCTGGTGCATGTGCAGAGTTGTGTCAAGAAAATTGAGGCTGGCGTCGATATATTTTGACCTTGCTCTTAGGAGATTGAATCCCCGCAGCCAGGTTGAGTTTGCTCGGCAGTTACGACAGCTTGACGCGGAGCAAGCCACAACTTTAGTCGCGCCTTCCTCCCGTAGACCCAGATTCAACATTCAACACGTACCTGGTCAGAAGTGCCTGCATCGGTCACGGAACGCAAGCTGCAAATTGCGAGGTCCCTCGACCAGACATGTCCCACACAACCTGGGGTTGGTGGGATGCAACATCGAACCTCGAATCTCGGACGGACGGACGGGCGCGCAGAATAATAAACCCAGCCAGGATACTCATTCCCCCGGGCTGCATGGTGGGACTGGGGCTGCACGACACAAACACTGGATGGCGACAGCACTGTGCGGACGACTCGGAGGGCTGATGTAGATCGCTGGCATTGAAACGGGCTGGCGGATGCAATGACAAGGATGTGAGGCCTTTGCCACGCTTGAACACCATTGTGTTCCTGTCTGGTTTGATGTTTAATTTGGCCTGGGCATTCCAAGGTATGTACCTTTCTCTACCGGGACGTGGACCACAGACGACGGCCCATTCCCCTCAACTCCCCAACCCGGAGCGGAGGCGCAACGGGGCATGGGGCATGGCCCTTGAGATTGCTGGGACCGGGCGTGGACCTGGGCATCTGGGCATCTGGCACTAACCCATGCCACATCCCGGTTTCGCCCACGTCAAGTCCCATCAAAAAGTTGCTTCCAAGTGCAAAATCATGTTCCACACCTCATCATCCGTCACCCACCGGCCGGAAAGCCCAATGCGGGATCGCCCTTGGTCCAAGGCGATGTTTACTGCCGTTACAAGGCCAAGCAAAAGTGATGAGTGACTAGCGACAAGCCGTCGACTTGGTTAAACACACAATCATACTCCGTGCCAGACTTCAGGACCCATAATAGGCCATGGGATCCGTTTACCTGCTTCTCTGGTTTCCGCTGTTCCTTTACTTATTCCTTTTTTGTCCACCTTTGCGCAGTCTCGGCGGCGAACTAGTGTGTTGCGCGTAAACAATACCTGTTCCCCTTTATTTTCATGTCCCTTCTAGCATCTCCGGGCACCTCTCTCTTCTTCAGTTTGGGTCCTTTATCCAGTCAAGTATGTTATAGCTGAGTGAGATTCCTCTTGTTGCCCGTCGGATACTCGGCAAGGAGCAAGTACTCAACCATTGCCCAGCAAAGGAGTCAACATCACTTGATTACGTTCAGAAAGGACGGCGCAGAGCAAACAGTCGTGTGAGGAGGCTCTCTATCTGCCGCGGTCCCAACATCCACGCTTTCAGGATGCCATCTTGACCTGCAATCAACCATCGGCAACTGTTTTTACATGTCTGTTTCTGGCCGGCAACTTTGTATCTCGCCGGCCATGGATAGCCTCGCCGGCCACCTCCAGGTGCCTCCGGACCGGAGCCAGATCCTAGGCAGGCAATCATGGAAGGTGAGCAATATGAGACAATGGCGCTCGAGTCTGTACTTGAATTGGTCCCATTCGATTTGGGAGCAGCACTCTTTTCTCTCCCAGCCCTTCTCGCCCGGCACAGCCAATTAATGCTCTGTTATGTAGCCGAGATATGTTGCTGTTGGCTCTCGCCAGTCTACTGGCAGAAATCGGCAAGACAGTTGTGGCTCCAGGCAAAATGGCGCCGTAGGCCGCGTCAACGACGTTGTTCCGATGTCCGTGCAACAGAATCCTGGCGACGAACCGTGTATTTTCGTCTATAAGACAAAGGTAAAGCTCCATGTTCCTCAGAATAGCCGCGACCATGTCGTAAAGCATGCCGCTGACAGCGTCCGCGTTGAGGGGGATTCGGAGCCGATCCAGCAATGGCGGCTTAGCTGCGTCTCCGATTGTCAAGTTCAACTCGTCTCCCATCGCAAGCAGGCACCGGCGTTACCAACACTGGTGGTTACGGTTTCTGACAAGCAACGAAAGAGGCGATCAAGTCGAGCTGCAAGTTTAATTTCCTCGAGTAAAGATACGGCACCGACGACCTTGTGGTTTCGCGCACCTCCCGACGACGACCATCCCAGTCTTCACGAATGGTGTCGATTCATCATGTCCCAGAAGAGCTCACTCAGCACGACGGAAAGCCCTCTGTCACCGGTTTTTACATCGCCATTCCAAGCACGACCCCACAATAACTCGGATTGCTTCCCCCGATCAGGCAGTGGCAACCGCGGTCTTCAACACAAAAGCTCTACAGCCACCTATTCCACCGGGCCTTTGGATCGTCCGACTACCTTCAGCTCCGATTCGCCCAGCCTACGATCGAAACGAAGCGATATTTCATCGCCTTCGAGTAACAACCACCCATCTCCGAGGGTGCAGTATACCATTCCTGAACAACATTATACGACCATCAGGCCCGGCGACATTGTCACATGCGGTCCACACGGAGAGTACAGGGGTCAGTTCGTTGAAGGACGGACATGTTCCCAGGGAAGATCATCTGTCATGAGCTCTCCCTCCCGAGGCAGGCATAGCCTGAGCTCACAAAGCCAACAGCCCTCCATACTCGACGAAGCGTCGCCGCCTTGCCCTGGAGAGACCATCCTGGACAGAGCCTTCCAGCTAGGACACATTCCTGGAGCCGAATCCTACGTTCCCGGACAGGAAAAGCTCAGCTCCATTGCGAGGTTCGATGCCCTGATGCGCCATGCCGAAGAGAAGCGACGCAAGCGCGACAATGTCCAGCAGGCTACGCAAACCATGACAAGTGGCCTTGGCCAGGACGACACCTCGGATGACAACGGCACAGATGCCGCCTCGAACGATTCCGACTCCGACGCTAACAGCCACGCTCGCGGTCAGAACCTGGGCGAGCAACCCGGCCCACCTCTCATGTCGCCCGCCGCTCAGCGGGCCCTGGCGTACATCTCGGGCCGTCACGATGGCGAGAGTCAGAGCCCAACGTCTCTTCGGCCTGGTGTGTCGAGAAACCACGTCAGCTTTCACGCAGACTGCGCGCGCACGTCCACCATCAGCCTTCCGCCCTCACGTCCACACACGGCCCACGCCAAGAGTAGGCCCAAAGCCTCCCGAGCACAATCCACAGCCCAAACCATGCCCACAGCCACGACGGCACCGGCGCCGCCCTCGTCCGGGAAGGGCCACGACAGCGGACAACCTCGTTGTAGCACCAAGGCAGAGAAGCGACACTCCAACTCGAGTGTCAAGAGGTTGAGTTTCACCGAGCTTGCCAAGAGGCTTTCCAGCACCAGCAGCCTGCTGCTAGTCCAGACGAACGCGAGTGGAGGGAGCAGCCATATCAGCAGCGACGTCGACAGCCAGCCATGCTCGTCCGCACCGCGCGCAAACCTGGCTCTCCGCGGGACCGCACCACCGCCAACGCGACCCAGGGACCGCGAGGACCATGACAGAGACGGCAGACGGCGAGGCAGCGTTGGTGTGGTAGGTCCCGAAGAGGGCTCAAGCTTTCTCTCCAGCCCGATGCCAGGCCCGGCCACGCGCCTCGTACTCCAGGCCACCAACTACCCGCCATCTTCTTCTGCGTAACCACTTCAGTGCTGGGCACCTTACCCGGGCACCTCCCTCCTCTACTTAGCGGGTACCTAGGCACCTACCCTGTAGCCAGGCATCTGTCCTCGGCAGCAACAGCAAGTACACGACACTCTGCATGCCGAACCAGCATTCGCACTCATCACGCACGACCCCGACGACGGCAATGATTCACGTCCATCCATGCAACGACCAGGCATCATCCCTATTGCGCACCTCGTTTCAGCGCCAGGCATATATATTAAAAACCCCACCAAACCCCGGCCTCGACTCAAGCGCACCCGTTGTTCCTCTCCCTCCCCCCCGAACGAAACCGGCGCCCCCTCCGACAGCGCGGCACGAATGATTTAGCGAAACTTGACGATACCATGTGCATTTATTTACTCTTCATCCTGGGCTGTGTCATTTTCTTTCTTTTCTGTCTTTGTGGTTCCTGTACATAAATTTGTCACGCGTAACGGCAGAGGTACAAAAACGATAGACGTGCACCCTTTATCCTTATTGTTGGTCGGCCAGTAGTTACGGAGTAATTTGCCTGTGAACACCGCGCTTGCTACCATCCCAGGGACAGTTGAACCGTCTTGTTGACGACGTCAATGCAGCGCCTCGCTTGCACTTGCGGCGCTGCAACTCCCTGCCACTCACTGATTTGCACGACGCTCTGCGCACAAAGCGAACTGGCACTCCGTACTTGCGACACCGTCATTTCCGAGAGTGCAGCGCATGGGGATTGCGTGCTCGCGCACTGGGCGCAAGCGGCACGGTCAAACGTAACGATGTGAGATGCAATGTCCAGCATCTGATGTGCGCGCCGACTCGGCCATGTTTTTTTTTTTTTTTTTGTTATATTGCTCATTTCTACCTGACCGTGTCCCTGGGCTCGTTTTGGTCAAAGTTGCCTCCACCCATCCATCCCACAGGATATGCATACTACTTGCGTCATGAGCGCATCCCTTGAATGCTCATTGCTCGAGTACCCGAGCTCGGTCGACGTACCACCCTTTTTCTGACCACTCTTACTCTGTACTGTTTCATCTATATTCCTCTCTTCTCCTGGGGCCTCATCCAACAAGTCGTCGCCTCCCCCCCATGGACCACTCAGCGAATGTACCGGGCAATGGCCTCCTGCTGCTCTGGGGGGAGTCTGCCGGCAATGAAACCTTGGACAGCCCCACCGTGTCGCTGGTCGGCCCCAGCCATGTACTGCTTGACCCATGTCGTCACATCCTGAACATCCGGAAAGTCGTCACGAGCCAGGGGCCGACACGTGTTGAGAGCAGTGTAGGTCATGCCGAAACCAATGTCGTCGACTGAAGTTTCGGTGATCATCTCGTCGCCCTGGCCAGCGGCGACGGTGGGCGGATTTGCAAGCAGCGACAACAGAATGCGACAGCTGTTGGCCCAGCCCTTCATAAACTTCTGCGCAAACACTTGCGAGTCGCAGAGCGTCTTGGTCAGTGACACAACCGCTATTTTGCGGTCGACAGGCCTGGCGAGCTTCTCCGTCTCAGCAAGCACAAACGGCGGATATACTTGGGCGAATACACGCTCATCCAACTGATTCGATTGCTTGATGAAGAAGTCCGCGCCATAGCCGGCTTCGAGCCTGGCACTGACCAAATGATAGAACCGGGCGAACCGGATCTTGAACGAGTCTGCAGGAGATCCCTGCAGCTTGGTGTATAGGAGCTGCAGGATCGTACCAAAGTACTTGTCTAGGGCAGAGCTATGATGCCGAGTTAGCTACTACCTCGCACTCGACCGCACGATCTTCTGGGACAGCACTTACGGCTCAAACGAGTTGACAATGGCGTCCAGGATGTCAAAGGCTTGGACTTCGGACTTCTTGGATGCAAGCAGTTTTTGAAAAATCCCGAGGACAGCTTCCAGCTGATTGTTCTGAATAATCAAGCTCGCTGCCTTGGGAATGACGGCCGATAAAAGTCGAACGCAGGCGGGAACGTTACCGCGGGTCTCCCACAAGGGTGCAGCCAAAAGAGGTCCCAGAATATTCTTGAAGTTCTCGGAAACCGCGTCCGCGGGACTTGACTCAAGGAGCTGAGCAAGTATTTGGAAAATATAAGGAATAAACTCTGTGACATCTTCGCTCAGAATCAGATTAAAAGGCTCCCATAGCTTCTGGTTGAAAACTGCGGTATTGGTTCCAGCGCAGTATCGCACCAAGGCCCCCATGGCCTCAAAATGGTAATAGTAGAACCTGGGGTTGCTGGGATTGTGCTTCATGACATTTGTTATGAGAACAAGATGCGTCAAGACGCTATCTAGTATTGGCGCGGCGCCATCCTTGATGACAATGAGAATTCTCATGACGCAGCGCATCAGGAATTCGTTTTCTTGCAATTTCGCGGCATTGGTCTCGCGCTCAATCAACTTGAACAAGTGGTTGAGGAGGTCCTTTGCAAATGGCTCGATATCCGCTCGAGGGAACATTTGATTGCCTGTGTCATCGGCCAGGTACAAGACGCGTTCAACGGCAATTGCGGCGTATGTGTATACAACGTAGTTGGATGAGTTCATGTTTTGGATCAACGGCGGTAAAGCGAGCTTCCACTGTTCCTTGGACAGCTGACTGCGGAATGTGTAGAGGTACTTAATGGCATCGACCTTTGAGATGGGCTCAACTCCCTCGCTTGCCATGAGATCTGACGCGATATGCTGTTCAAAGAACTCAACAACATTGACCAGTGGGTTCACAGTCTTGACGCCCTGGGCAGCCGTGACGGCGCCCTTGGAGGCAACAGACAAAAACAAGTAGACGGCCGTGTCCTTGGCCTTCCAGTTTGTCTTGCCCTGCTCCAGATAGTGGGTAATATACTTGGACACTGCGGTAGTGACGGAAATCTCAAACTTCTCTTGCAATTTTCGCAAGAAATCCGTCGAGGACCGGCGTCTTGAGTCCGTATCGGAGCCCTCCAGATCTCGTCGAATAAACTCGATGGGTTCGTCCTCGAACATCTCAACATCTGATTCTCTGAGCGCCACATTTGGCAAAATGACTTTTTCGACAATCTGAGACAGGACGTTCTCGTCATTGAATACGTTGGCGTGCTCGGCTGTTCCGGCGACCGCGGTCAAGAAGTGCAAGCTCTTGCTCACCAGGTTGTCATACTTGGTTTGAGGTCCAACTGTCGACAGTAGATTCCACGCACTAGTAATAAACGGGGAGCAGTATTTGGAGAAGTCCTCGTCGTACTTGATAGTGTAAAGCTCCAGCAGCTCACAGATTCCAGACTTGACCGTATCGACTATGCTCGCCTCATCATCGTCGGCGGTCTCGAGCAGTGGGTTGTTGTAGGTCAGGTACTTGTGTAGGAGCTCAGAGATGCTTGCGAGGTTTTCTTCGAAAATCGGGGGAAGATCGTGGCATGACATATCATACAAGATCTTGATCTGCACGTCGAGGGTCTCAAACCAGCCCTTGAGGGCATCTTTGTTGTTGGCATTGGCAGCAATTTTGCTGTCGGTAGTCTAGGCAAGGTGTCAGCATTTCCCGGCTCAAAGACCGTGCTACTCGAACCACTTACGACAAGCAAGTGAACAAAAGGCTGACCAAACGTGGTTATGACGTGGTTGATTTCAATGTACAGCTCGTTGGATTGGTTCAGAGGACGCCATCGGTTAAAAATCGAATGAGCGACTTCGAGGACGCCGACATTGATCTTGGGATCCGTGGAAGAAAACCGACTAACCAGTTCCTAATACCCAGCTCAGCAAAAGCCCCCAGGAGATGGCGGCACGGACGGGGAACCTACTTGGGTCAGCGTGTCCCACCGCCTCCAAAAATCGGAGTCGGCGATGACGCTGATAGCTTCTCCCAGCTGCTTCTGGACATTAGGCGGGCTTGAAATCATCAAACCAATGAGTCGCTCCTTTATTACTTGGACTTCATCCTGCGGGATTTTGTAGTTGCCTTCCTCGTCCTAGAAATATGTATGGCTTTAGTATTCGGATCGACGTCGAACGCGGGGCCGTACGGGCACGCACCACGTAGTTGGAACGAATGAAGTTCTTGAAGGCCAAGGAAGCAGCGAGCCGGGTATTGAGAGGAAGCGTGTCGGAATTGACAATGTTGAGCAATGTGAGCGAGTATTGCAGCTTGGTGGCCTCTTGCTTGAGGGCTTGCTCGGCTGCAGACTCATTATGTTTATCAGAACGAAGGGGCGGGCGACAGCAAAAAAGAGGTGAGGACGAGAGGGAAGTCTGGCGTACCTTTACGGTGCTGAGAGGGATCAAGGGTCGCATTCAGCAGCTGAGAAATTTGGCCAATATCGGCGGCCATGGTGACACCTCGTGGAAGGGAGCTGCACCGTGGTGTGGTTATGATGCTTGGAGGTGGAGTGAGATGGTGGCGTTTGTTCGTGGTCGAAATTTGATGTGGAGGTTTGTTGACGCTCGCGCAGCTGCTCGCCTTTCAGCTACTTGGTAGGGTCAACCAGATGGATTATGTGGGGAGCTCGAACAAGGTCAAACTGGCTGGTACGAGCTTGGGTGTGCCGAAAGGAAGCTTCTCCTGGCGCTGGCGGTGCCTGTGCCGTCTCTCAAATGGAAATCCGTCATCGGATAGCTTCTCTAGAGAGCTTGTGGCAGCATTTTGTTTCCAAAGCTCGTACGAGAAGTTCAGTCTTGAGATGGTGCAAATGAGCCTCTTACAAGTCTCGGCGACTATGCCAAGACAAGACACATGATGAACAGAGAACAACTGACAACCGACCACAACATCAAACAGTCAGCTGCCTCGCAAGATGAACACGAGCTCGGAAACAGGACCTCAACGCTGGTCGGTGCCGCCACAGGCAGAGAGAACATCTCGGTGCTAAAGGGCTTGAAACTTCCAACCGCTGGCTCGCTCCATACTCTACGTTATATAAGTTACTTAGGTAACTAGTTACCTAGGTACTTACTTCAGTACTTGGATACTTTAAGTAGTTTACAAGTTGACGGCATGGGGCTGCAGGACCAACACCCCAAGCTCAATACCCCCTGACTGGCACCTACATTCAGCGGCGCGGCTTTCAATTTCGATCCTGCAGACCCTTTGCTACTGTCCGAGACGTCAACTGGCCAAGTTTGATGCCTCAAGTGCTACCTTTAGGCGCGCGGCCCCTGTTTCCAAGGACAGCAGAACCATCAAAAAAAATCATGACATGGTTGAAAATCTGATGAGCTGTCTGCGAGCGATTACCAGATGCGGCGCATTGACAGCATAGCGGCATTCGACTCAGGCACAGAAATCTCTGCTAAACTTCAGCGCAGCAGCCACCCTACGGCTCCGATTCTAGCACCTGTCCTCATCTTCGTCGGGCATGCATGCACGACAGCTAATCACAATCTTCCACCAGCACATAAATAATTTTTTACCTGTCTAAAGTTGTGATGAGTGCCAGTCCCCTCCTCGGGAACAAGGGCGCCGGGCGTAGGTACCTACCTACCTAGGTAGGTACTTAACTTACCTAAGTACTTAAGTACTGAGTACCTTGTACCCAGCAATTTGCCCACCCAATGTCCCCTGCCTGCCTGCCCAAGCCACAGCAGGTACCGTTCCTGCCGGTCCACCCGTCCACCGTTCACAATCGTAGGTATCGGTACCTCGCTACATACAACCTGCCAACCGGAGTGCCGAGCTCCTCGCTTCAAACTGGGTGGAGCTCTACCTGCACTCCAAAAAACAACCGCATCAAATCATCACCACTTCCGGAATCCGGACTCATCGGCAGTACCTGGCCTCCATGTTGTTCTGTTCCTCGTGCATCCTCGCCAATCCTTGTCTCGGAATCGAAAAATTTCTTCTTCGGCTAGAGGCGGGTTTCCTGTCCCTCGCGAAACAGCTCTCGTCAACCTAGGCGGCTTCATCTTCCTCCTGGTCCAGCCCTCAGCCTGCCGCAGTTCCTGCTGCCTCCTTCTGTGCTCCTTACGGCTCGCGGCTCGCGGCTCGCTACGCCGCTGTCAATCGCCCCTTAAGTTGCGAGTCAAGTTTTATGTTGAAAAACAATCTGGACTGATTTTCAGGTGTGTGATACCCTCTCCCGGTGGACTCTGCCCCTGCCGGCCGCATTTAGTTTTCTGCCCCAGCTTGTTGAAGCATGAACTTGTCTGAACTTGTCGCAACTTCCAACTTGTCTGCCTATCACAAAAGTAACAAAGACAAAAAGCGCCATGCGGGGCATTTGTGTATACCTTGCTAACCTGTGATACAGTCCCCAATTTTCGGCCACCTTTTACTCTCGGCAGACGAGCACATGTCCCCGCAGCCAGAAGATGATCCTACTTCTTCAGACTCGACTCGCCAGGGCAGCCTGGTCACCGTATTTCGCAGCTTGACAAGCCCCAAGTCAATCAAAGCCCCGACTCCGCCTTCCAATCCGTCGGCTGCCTTGCCTCGAGCCGACCTCATCAACCCCGTCTCAACAAGCTCCGGGGGGCTGTCTACCAACCACATGGATGCATTCGAGCAGCTCAAGAACGGCAGCCCCAGCGAGCGAGTATCTGCTGCGAATACCTTGAAGTACGCGATTACTGAATACCCGCTCAACCCGATCCTGGATATCTGGTATGCCGCAAAGGACCTCATCGACCCAAGCAACCCAGCTTCCACGAGAGCTGCCGGCTGGGAGTTATTGACGGAATGTGCGAAGCATGCATCTTCGACCGACTTGGAGAGGAAAGAGTACTTTCAAACTCTGTCTGCCGCTGCCAACCCCGAAGATTTTCATCTGCAACTGGCAGCTCTGGTAGACCTGACAAGCCATGGCCGTGTGCTCGCTGGTTTTGACTACGATCTACTCCCCCTTCTGACAATTTGGCTTCAAGAGGCGTATAGGGAAGCGCGCATCGCCAGGAAAAACTCGCATCCAGGCCGAGGTGCCAGCAGTTCTGCCAGGGGCAAGACTGCTGCATCGGGCGAAGACAAGAATTTTGCACAGTTGTTCTTGTTTCTCCTCGATGTCATCAAGTTTAGCTTCAACAATGCGGACGAACCGGCCGTTGTCGATTTGATCGAGACCATCCTCACTATCTGCATGAACACTAGCCAGGAGGATGATTTGCGCTCTTGTATCAACGTTCTAGATGCTATCGTGACCTTTGGCTCTATCCCGCAGAGCAAGCTGAAGGATTGTGTTCAAGTTCTCAGCTCAATCTACTGCTTGGTCCCTAACTTGCAAAAGAACTCGTGGCACACCATTGCTAATTTGTGCAAGTCACATAACGGCCAAGCCACGATTCGAATTATGCTTGACATACTAAGAAACCTGCAACCTGGCGTCACTGACAAAGACTGGAGCAGAGAAATTCGGGGGAGCTTGGCAGTACTCCAGAAGCTGCTGTCCAAGACGACGGAAAAGGGCTACCCACAAGTTCCGTACGCATTATTAATCGACGGACTGTCGAATACGCTCAAGGCCACGAAATCTTTCCGAGTCTATGCTGCGACTCTGCAACTCATCAACTCCCTTTTCGACGACGGACTCGGCAACATCCACCGTCTCATTGTGGATGAAGATTGGTCGATATCCCTTGACGTTGCGGCTGAATGTTACCGACGTGTTCATGAAGGTGCTGACAGACGGCAGGGCATTCAGGCCAATGACGAATCCCCAGAAGCTATGGTTGACCGCGAACTCCTGACACTCATCCGACGCCTGGACACTGTTGTCAAGGGGAAAACTGGCGACTTTGTGCCCCGACAAACGATTGTGAAATTTTTCGCAGACGTTCATAACCTACTCCCAGACGAGACAGCCAAGACGGTCCTTGATTACTTCCAGGAATTTCGATGCTGTTCTCCATCAGATTTGAGGTGGGAAGAAAATCTGAATCTGGTATTGGAAGCCTTCTTCAGCAACCGCAGCCGAAGCTCCGACACGCGACTGAGGGCTCTGCAGGCCATGATGGACGCATACGAGATTGTCGACCTCGTGGGTGATGGCGCCGAGCAGAACTTCATTCCAAGGCTGGCCAAGAGCCTTCTGCAGAACATTGCCGAAGAAGGTGACGTTCTGGTGTTGGATGCCGCCATGTCACTTATGGTTTCTGTTGTCGTGTCGTGCGACATGGAGCTCTTTGACTTTATTATCGACGCATTGAGAGCTATAGTCGTTGGCGATCGACTCAACTTTCCTGCCTCGCCTCCTGATCTGTCATCTACGATTTCTCCAACAACGATGGACACACCTGCAGCCGGGCTCGGACAACCACAGTCTCCTTCAAATGTTGTTACAAGGGGGTACGTCAGAATGTTTCTGCGAACCATGAATTCCCATCCCAACAAGAGTGTCAAGTTGTACACTACTCTGATTGGGATTGTGAAAACGAATCAATGCGAAACTGATGCCAGGCTCACGGCGATGAAGCTTTTGTTTCGGCTGCGCGCTGATTGGGCCAACAGAGTCTTTGTTACTGACGATCTTGACAATGCGTCTCTGGCAACTGCCATGTATCGTACAGATGAATCATTCGCAAAGAAGCAGGCAGAAGAAGCAGCTCAGTCTTTTCGCCTGTCAAGAAGCGACCACGGCAACCAGTCCCGATCGTCGCGAGGTGTCTCTCTAAGCCAGTCACAGCATCAAGAGCGAAGTCATCCAGTACGAACTCCTAGTGGCGCCAAGAGCATTGCTGCTAGGTACCACCCGCTTTGGAAATGCCCAGATCCTGATGCCCAGACTGAACAAATCCCTAGCCTCATCAGTCCCGTGCTCGTGTCCCACTCGACGGCGACTGAGTCTGCAGACGAGAGTGAAGATTCAGATGGGCCCACGTCGAGTGTCGAGCAACGCAAACCATCAGTGCTTAACATGACATATTGGCTTGACGCTGTTCTCGATATATTACAAGACAGTGAATGGGAGATTTATAGTTTCGCCCTCGTCCATCTGCCATCACAGCTCAGCAACCATGCCATATTCAGGGATGCAATTGAGCAGATTCAAGAACTGCGTCGAGTCATTTGCGATCAAATTCGAACAAATGGCTTCCAGGAGCCCCCGTTCGTATCTGGTTTGCGACGGGCCGATGTCGCCATATGCCTCTACCACAGCCTTACAATGATTCTCAGCTACCACGAACACTTTGGCAAAGGCGACGAGGATGAGATTGTCATGACATTTGTTCTTGGCATCGGTACCTGGGAACGCGCCGCAAAATACTGCATTCACGCCTTGTCCATATGCTGCCATGAGCTTCCCCTCTCCACTGGCAGGTCTCTTGTTCAAATGCTTAACCATATGGCGGCGAGCATCACGCAGCCTCATGTTTCAGTCCATATTCTGGAATTCCTGGCATGTCTCAGCCGGCTACACGATGTATACGTCAACTTTAGAGACGCAGAGTACAAAATGATTTTCGGAATCTGCCTCCGCTATCTGGAGTATGCAAGGGAGAAACGACAGTCCCATCGCAGTAGCCACAGCGTTGAGCCTAATACATCTGGTATGTCTGGTGCGGCTACGGTAGAGCCTGCGCAGACCGGTCCCCCCTCCGAGGAGCTTCCCCAATACGTTCATGCTTTGGCGTACCATGTGATTTTATTCTGGTTTCTGGCCCTGAAACTTCCAGATCGTGCTACGCATGTCGCATTGATCATAAAGAAGCTATTTTCTGATCCCGAAAGCTCTGGACCGAATGCTGATGAACAAGCTCTTACGTCGATCGACTTCATGCAGAGAGTCACATACGCCGATGTGGATGAGTCATGCGAAGACCCATACTTTACCGAGGATCGATTCGGGCCCATTTTAAAAAAACAATGGCTTATTGGAAACAGTATTGTGACAGTGAAGCAGGCGACAATATCCGGGTGGGCACAAATCATCAAGCGACAACCTTCTGGGACGTCGGCGTATACGATCCGAGAGACTTACACGGCACCACCCCCACACCAGGTCGAGAACCAAGTTGACGTGAGCCGAGAAGGTCAGGCAACGAGTAACTCCATCCTCCCCAGTCATGTACTGGTTCAGCTTATGTCGCCAGTGCCTCAGAGCTTTGAGTCCGCACGTCCTATTCCTTTGCCGGATGATGATGCCGTTGACCGTGCAATCAGGGTGTTTGACCGAAGCTCCAGCGTGGACAGCCACAAGGTCGGCGTAATATACATTGGGGAGGGGCAGAAGAGGGAGGCAGATATTCTTGCCAACGTCTCTGGCAGCAGCGACTACACGGACTTCTTGAACAACCTCGGAACTCTCACTAGGCTGAAAGGAGCAACTTTTAACACGCAGGGATTGGATCGGGAATATGACTCGGATGGCCAGTACACGTTTTGCTGGCGTGACAGGGTGACGGAAATTGTTTTCCACGTTACAACTCAAATGCCTACAGACCTAGAACGTGACCCAAGTGCACTCTCAAGAAACGACATATCGGGAACGACTTTGTCAGTATCATATTCAACGATTCAGGCGCACCATTCATGTTTGATACATTCCCGAGCCAATTCAATTATGTCAACATCGTTATAACACCGGCGTCGCGGGCGTCTTTTATTGCAACTCGAACGGCGGACAGGCGTGGGGCCACGTCTGGACAACCATTCTACAGAGTTCAGGTTCTGAGCAAGCCTGGCTTTCCGGAAATATCGCCGGCATCGGAGACAAAGATGGTATCTTTAAATGCGCTGCCCGGTTTCATCCGCCTTCTTGCCCTCAACGCTTCGGTGTTCTCCCATGTCTGGAACGCCAGAGAGGGCGGCGAGCACATCAGCTCTTGGAGTGGTCGGCTCAGAGAGATTAAGCGTCTTCGAGAGAGATATGGACCAAAAACAACGGCGACCTTGGTCGCGTCATCACCGCCGATCTCGACGTCACAGACTCAAGCTTCTGAGTCCTCACGCCCAAGCAGTGGCGTACGAGATAGTTTCAGCAGCTTGCGGCGTACCAGCGTGGCCACTTTCTTCACCAGCACCAGCGAACAAACATCCCACCGGTCCTCCATGCTCTCTACCGCCCCTACACATGACACCGAAGTAGGGAATACAAATGGAGTGAACCCATTAGTAGAGTCTCTTGATTTTTCTAAATGGGCTTGATTGAATGACATTTGCCTTTGAACGTGAAACGACTGTCAGAGGCAAATGATGTATGTATGATGAACTATTTTTAATCTTCTTTGTTTCTTAGGCGTCGATCATAGGGAAGGCAGGACTTTTGGGATGCAAAGTTTCGACATTTGTCATTCGCCTAACGAGCTATCAAGTTTTCTTCTTTTTGGCATACCCATTTGAGTATAATTATTTCCCGGGTTCACGAGGGAAGCGGACGAAAAGAGAGGAGGAGCGTTGAACATATGCGAGATAAAAGGGCGGTGGGGATCACCCATATCTTTTCCGAATCGTAGGAATAATCAAACCATTAAGAATTTGACGGACTTGGGTAGTTCTCACGATTGTGGTAGCTTTGGTGAGCATCAATGTATCGATTGAGCTTGGCTTGTTTGCTCCAAAAAGTTGGTTTCTGCTGCGCCACACGTCACGCGCCACAACAGACGCCACCGACCGGGAATTCTTAGAAAAGTGGAGCTGCCCTCGTGCTTGCACCTGGACCTCTTCTCGCGTTATATCCACGACCTCTCCCACCACTGGCTTTATGTGACTACCCAAGTAATCTCATGTCAACTCGCGCAACATAAATGAACTTGGCTCTGCAAAAAGGCGGAAAAGCTGAATCGACTTCTGCGGCGGCTATGTTTAACCATTCTTGGCCTGGAGCATCCTCTCGGTGACGTTACAATGGCAGACGATAACATTGATAATCTCATTGAGGACATCATCAATGGTACGGCAGTTTACCAAATCTTTCACTCCGTCTTGCATAATCTGACCCGAATCTCATGAGTGACCAGCTTCAAAACTTCCCGCAAAAGCTCGTGTCATAAATATCAAGTCCACTGTCGCGTCCTTCTCCTCCCTTGCGTATGAAGAAGGACTTGTTCCTGCAGCCCTCGACCGGCTTATCAACCTGGTCACCATTCCCAATTATCTCGACCAAGCCAGTCTGGCATCCGTGGTTCGGAACCTGTACCCTGCTGAGCGGGTGTCCGCAAATGCCGTGCTCCATGTTGTATCGGCACTGGGACACGGCGCGCTCAAGGCACCGCTTACTCTGCAGGCTGCGCTGCTGAAATGGCTAATCATGGTGTATCATGTGCTGGAGTCGCCGGCGGTGCTGGCGCAAGCGTATTCCGTCTTGTTCAATCTGCTTGATACCGCTGCTATTCGGTGCGTATACTCTGATCCGTCTGATTGTCAGACCGGTAAACTGACTTTACTGACTTTGTCCGTTTGCCTCCCAGCCCGCAGCTTGCACATTTATTGGCCTTGATTACGAGGAGAAAGCACGTGAGACCATTCAGGATCCAAGCTTTGTGAGTAACTGCGGCATATGTGGACGTGTAACGCATGGTTAACACGGCCTAGGTTAAACTTGTCGAGGCAGACCGGCAATGACCCGCCATTGGTCGGGTTATTGAGGGTGTTTAAGGATTATTATCCAGAGATCATTGTGGGCCAGGCCGTTCGAGGCAAGGCCTCTGCTTTCAAGGTATGTTTTTGGATGGGCGAGGAGACGTATGTGCTGATGGCCGCAGCACCCCGATCTACTATGGCGCTCCAGGCTGGGCGAGATTCAAGATGCGCACCGGCAACGCGCTGCAGAGCAGAGACCGACGGGACCCCAGAGCGGATTCAGGGTCAACAGACCTGTGAACCGGGCCCTGAGAAACAAGGCTGTGCCTATCGTGTTAACCTCTCACGCAACCGAGGTAAGACGCCCTGCTCAAACCCTGCGGAACGAACTGCTGTTGACGTGGGCTAGGATTCTGTCACTCTCGAGGAAGTGGAAGACGTTTCCAGCTTCGTCGCTAAAATGGACAAGTTGGAGCTCCCGAACCAACTTGTTGCCGTCCTGGCCGACCCCCTCTTACAAAAACTGCTTATCTTGAGGCCGGACCCCGAATCCTACCAGCGGATTTCGAATTGGCTCGGCGCCGTATTCCAAGAAGTCATGGCAGGAGATGCGGATGAGGCAACGTTGTGGGAGGTGCTCGAGGTAGTGAGGGAGTTTGTTATTCAGACCAAGACGATCCCATCCCTGCTTCTGAGCTTTTTCAGCCAGTTTTTCAATATTTGGGGTGGCGAGGGCAAACGAGACGTATTGTATGACATTCTTAGCTTTACGCCGTTTCACGACTTTGGAGGTATTGTGCCGGCCCTTTGACCCGGCCTCCCTTGAGCTGCACGACTGACGTTGTACAGAACTACATGAACTCATACTTCGGCCTCTCGAGACAGCCGTGCAGTACTTTGCGCCCGATTCGCAGCAGGGTCTTTTGCAAATGTACACAAAGATTCTGAGGCACTGGACGGCCGTCCTGCAGGCAAGCGACACCATACCCGAGCACGCCAGCGCAACCGTAGCCTCCCTCATCCTGCACACCAACACACTTGCTCTCACGCTGCTGCAAACGTCGCCGTCCGTTACAACCGATGCCTCCATTCTCGACTTCTACGAGCAAACTGCGCGCGTCTTCACCGACGCAAAGCTCAAGCGCTACATGCGCATCGAGCTGCCGCCGCCGCCCCTAATATACACCTTCCTCTTCAGCAACTCCCTCGCCACCGTCTCCCGTATCTGCTTCATCCTCGCCTGCTACAAGAAAGGCATCGAAACGGCCGTGGCCACTCGGCCCAGGGCCCTGCCCACGGACACGGACGCGGCGGCCCGGATCGACTCGCACACATACGACCGGCCCTACGTCAACCTCTTCAACGGCTACATCATGGACATATGCAACCTGTTCTGGAGGAACCGGGCCTTCAACGACAGCGATACCAATGCGCGGGCGTGCACTCTCTCCGTCGCCACGGTCAACGCTCTGGCGGCGTACGCCCTGTCCGTGGACCGCACGCTGCCGCTGAATGCCTTGTTTTCGCTGTCGCACTCGCCCGTGCTGTGTTACCAGAGCATAGAACGCCTCAGGGACCTGGAGGACGACGCGATGGAGCACGACAGCGGAATACGAGTGCGGCACGGCGGGCCTGTAACGCAGGGCAGCTTGACGAGGCTGGCCAACGCGGGCGGCATGAAGCTCAGCTGGCAGGACTACAGGATCGAGGTCCTCAAGAACTTGGCGGACAGTGGATTCCCAGGCATCGCGGAGCTATTAAAGAATGCCATGACGGTGCTTAAGAGGTCCATCGATGGCAGGCTGAGCATTCAGGGGACGCCTATACCGTCGTGACATTTTCGTTAGAGGACAAGACGCACTGAACGACCCCCCGGCCTTTGGTATAGCATCTGCGGGGGAAAAAAGGGTGCTTGTGTACTAGCCTCCTGATGGGGCTGGACACGACGTACATGCTTGGTTTTGGCAAAATTTGGGTATCGATACGTGATGTGTCAACTACGAAAAGATGTAAGACGTTGTGCGTCCCGCAGAGTTGTTGACTCGTGCCATCCCCCCCGGGGTCTCCCATCCAAACGCCGCTCGCTGTTGAAAATGCGTGAGACTATATTCACCACGGGTAGTTTTAGTCGATGCGCCAATGACGATGCAGCTGAGTGCTTTCCTGTCCTCCTTTTTTTCCATCTTGGAATCCCTTCTCAAAATGCGCGTTTCCTGCGGAACCGTGTAAAAACAGCTGCTGACGGTTCAAGTGTTGCGCGCTTTGCGGGCACCGCATGCGCCGTCTGGTCGAGTAGATCTCACTTCTTCGAGAGAATAATACAGAAAAAAAAAACGACAGACATAGGAGAGCCTACGTCTCCTTCTGCTTGGACTCGTCGCCGTAGCCGCCAATTTTGACGCCGCCGAATCCGTACGTCTTGCCCTCTGACCCGAGGTGGAGGTCGCTCCGCGGCCCTCTGGCCTCGAGATCGTCCTTGAGCCAGCGGAGGACCAGCTCGCCAAGGCGGCTGTTGCCGGAGCGGGCGACGGTGGCGCCGATGCCGTCGAGGATGCGGTCGGCGTCGTCGCACTGCTTGACGGCGCCGAGGTGCATGTGCACCAGGTGGGTGGGCCAGCCGGCGAGGTTGTCGAGGATGTGGGTGGCGTAGACGATGGTGCACTCGCGCTGGGCGGTTTCGCGCTTCAGCCAGGCGAGGAAGTCGGCGCGGCTGAGGACGTCGAGGTCGACGGTGATCTCATCGAGCAGGAGGACGGTCCAGGGCCGCACGAGGCCCATGGCGAGCTGGACGCGGCGGCGCTCGCCGTCCGACACGGCATGCATGCGCCAGTGGGTGTCGATGTCGAGCAGGGAGACGAGCTCGTCCCGGCGCTGGGGGTAGGCGTCGCCGCCGACGGAGCGCAGGAGCTCGACGACGCCAATGTCGTTGCGGACAATGGGGTTGAGGACCCATTCGAGGCCGAGGTACGTCACGCCCTCGAGGGACTCCTTGAAGGGGTCGACGCCGCAGATGGCGATGGTGTTGGAGGGCGAGAGGCGCTTGCCGGCGAGGAGGCGGAGGAGCGTCGTCTTGCCCGCGCCGTTGGCCCCGATGAGGAGCGTGCGGGAGCGCGGCGGCAGGTCGAGCGTGATGTCGCGCACACCGGTTGAGTAGTCGGGGAATGTGTAGGAGAGGTTGTTGACTTGGATGCGCGGCGGGTTGGGCATTTCGGCGGCCATGCGTGGTGGTGAGTTTGGATGTATGGGATGTGCGGCGGTGAGGAGAGGAGGGGCGCTGGGCTGGGAGTTGGTCGTGGTTGACGTCGATGCATGTGGCCTATTGCTATTGCGTTGGACTCGACTGGTCTCTGGCGGCAATCTTGCGTCTGGTCGGCGCGTCGATGCATACGTCTGCGATGCGGCGGAGAGGTTGCGTGCATCCCGGACATGACAGACAGGTCACATGACGGGCAGCCGCGATTGGTTGGTGCAAGTTCGCCAAAACATAACCATCACACGTCGGCATTTGCGCATGATGCTGGGTGATTTTTCACATGTTTCTCCGTCATGCCACCACTGCTACTGGACCGCTGGATGTGAGCCTGAGAAGACGGCCGTGATCACACTTGCATTCCATCACGATGCGCTTCAATCATGGGCCCGTCGACAATGGATGCTGACCAACTCCAGTTGTGGATGTCGGCGGCAGGCATGATATCAGGGAGCTTTGCGCCAGGACTTTGACCGAACAAGGCTGTCAATCGCATGCGAAATCGCGCAGAGTTCAAGTCTCGAACACTTGGAACAGGAAAATCAAGACCCATCAAGACCCGCCTCCCCGGAGTCGAGACGCCAGCGCCCAATTTCGACAAGGCGTTTGAAGGGTGAACTCTAACCTCTGTAGCTCCCTCTCAACCTCGCGATGGGCTAGGGTGTGGCGGTTTCGTACGTTAGCAATCTGGTGGCTTTTGGATACGGCTTGTGTCTTTGTTTGACAATGGTGCTGCTGCGTCTCTTGCAGCTGGAGGAATTGTTGGAACCAGTGATTCCGTCTCGGACGGGCTGCTGAACATCAATCTCGCATGCCGTTGTCGACGGCGTTCGCCTTGATCTCTGGACGAGAGCCATTTACGCTCCGAGGTGGCCTGGGTATCTACAGTGGCTGCTATTCAGCCATCAACGTCGTGCTGTACAGGCACATGCATCTCCCACCGGAATCCAGCCTACCACCAGTTCGTTGGGTGCCGAAGAACTGCATCTCCTTCTCCGCTATTCGAGACAATATGATCAAGGGCAAGCTCGTCGTTTGAGCCATTCATCTCGGTTCGGCAGTAGGCTCGGAGGGGCCGTTCCGGGAACTGGTCAAGGTTGTCAGGACTCAGGACTCAGAGCACGGCGGCTGTTTCATTCCACCTCCAACGGCTCAAATTGAAACGTCAAAGCCCAGCAGGGCGTCCAGCAAGTTGGCGTGTACCCGACTTGGCCTCACATCTCGGCGCTCTGTTGTGAGTGACCATCGTTTTTAAAGGAAGCAGACCACCCCAAACCTTTTGCCTTCCATCAGCATCTATCTCACCATGGACGGTATCCGACCACCTGAGACGTACCTGTCAGCCGTCCTTTCTGACCGATGTAAACATATATATTTCATCATAAAGTCTTTTGAATTCTATGCAAGCGTCTCCATCCTTGAAGTAACTAGCAAACGGAGCTGGTTCTCCCTCGTCTTATCAAAATGAATGCCATTACGCCCCCTGGCACGATTCTGTTGACAGGTACGAAGAAGAAAAATGAAGATGAAAAAAAAAATAATAAACACGAACAAAAACGATTTGCGCTGCTAACAACCGCCAGGTCCGGACGGGAAAATTATCCTGCACCCAAAACCGACCAACGACCACGATGATCCCTTGGTGTGTTATTCTGCGCCCGAGAGTCGAGACATGGCAAGGCAGCGTCATCTAGAACTGACATTCCAAACCAGAACTGGTCGACACGTCGCAAAGCTCTACACTTTGGCATCGTCATCTGGTACACCTCTGTCACGTTTCTCCTGCTCGAAGCATCCCATGTCAGCTACCCCGGTCTCCAGGACCACCTCGACATGACTGACGATGAAATCTATTTCGAGCGGTCTCTCAACTTCGGCGGCCTCGGCCTGGCTGGCATCGTCCTGATTCCCTTGGCCTACCGGTATGGCCGGCGCCCACTGTATCTCATGAGCTCTCTGGGGCAGGTTCTGGCGGCCCTGTGGATTGCAAACGCAAGCACCAAGTACGAATACTTCCTGAGCAGTATACTCTCCGGCGCCACCGCGTCGGTCAGCCAGACGCTCGTGCCCATGACCGTCAGCGACTTGTTCTTCGTCCACCAGTTCGCCACTATGAACGGCCTGTTCCTCTTCGCCCAGGGCGCCGGTGCTTTCCTGGCGCCGGTCGCGGTTGGCTTCATAGTCGACTCGCAAGGGTGGCGACAGTCGTTTCAGTGGACGGCCGCGGTTCTCGCCTTCACGTTCCTCCTCATTCTCGTGCTTCTGGAGGAGTCGACCTTTGTCCCCGCGCCCCCCCGTGAGCAGGAGGACCCCAGCGAAGACAACTTGGGCCCCAGCGAAGACTACTTTTTCAACAGACCCGTCTCTTGGGGAAGCACCGCCGATCCCGTGGACCTCGTTGATTTGAACCGCACCATGACGGTGCCCACTCCCAACGTCGAATGGCTTCCCCCGCCGCCAAAGACGTGGAGGAAGCGGTTGGCGCTGATTACAAGAACGGGCAGACCGATCAAGGCGCGTTTCGTCTCCCCATTTGTCATTGTCGCCAGCTTCCCTGCCATCACCTTTGCCGCCGTTACGTACGGCGCCGTCATGGCCTGGCTGATGGTATACCAACATATCACGGCCATCAAGCTGTTCGAGAAACCGTACAACTTTGATTCCTTTGACATAGGGCTGTTTGGGCTGGCCCCTTTTGCCGGCCATACCATTGGCAGCGTCGTCGTGGCGGCACTCAGCGATCGTTGGATGGTTCATCTGGCGCGCAGAAACGGCGGAACCTACCACCCCGAGATGCGCCTGTGGCTCGCGATACCCGGGGCCATTCTGACTTGTGCTGGAATTCTCGTCTTTGGAATTGCCATTGCCAAGGTAAGTGGGGGACTTGTGTGTGTGTGTGTGTGTGTGTGTGTGTGTTTTGTCTTTCTTTCTGCCATTGTTTCTTCTCCATCCTTTTTTTTTTCTACGACAACACATGCTGACAATGCCTTGTTGCAGGTCGGTTCTCTTTTCACCATCGGACTTGGTTCCGCGCTATTCGGCCTCGGTTTCAGCATCAGTCTAGACGTGGCTCTCGCGTACATTACTGACTGCTACCACAACGTACGTCCGTCCCCGGCTGTGCCATGTCCCGAGAAAAAAATGGCCTAACCAAGCACACAGATGATTGGCGATGCCCTCGTCGGGATCGTGCTTGTCCGCAACTTGCTTGCTCTCGTGGTTGGAATGACACTTGTCATGGTCCCCTGGATCCGCGACATGGGCATTCTCAAGACCTTTATCGGGATTGCGGCCAGCGTTGTGGTTGTGTCCATGCTTCCCGTGTCCATGATGATCTGGGGAAAGAAGGCCAGGGCGAGGACGGCCGTCAAGTACAAGCACTACTCGCTGGCTGCCATACCCCCGGCCTCGCTCAAGAAGTTGATGAAGGCGGGGCTATAGGCGGCAGAGAGAGAGAGAGTGCTTGCAGGGGGGAGTGGGGGAGGATTCAGGACTGCCGTTTGCGCCACGACACTTTCTTGTCACGGCAGCTTGGCGAGTCTGTGCGGATGGTTGGAAGCAAACGTGTCAGGTGGTGCTCGATGTCACCGTGGAGGCAGAGATCAAGGGCTGCTCTGCTCCGTACCAGCATTCGATACGATAATCCTTGAAAGTAGATGGAAAAAACTTGGAAATACTACATGGCAGACACAAAAAAGAACAGTACTTATTACATTGCCACGACGGGAGCGCGGACCGGATGACACGTCATCCCTTTTGAATCCCGCAACAGGAGAAACAGCAACATGTACTTTGTTCTAGCCCCCTCGCGTCCCCACTACGACCGTGTATTCGGAGACGGTCGAGATGACAAACTCGGTGCTCACTGTTCACGGGTGCCCGATGCCAGGGACTGGCGCGCGATAATGCAGGGTTAGGGTTCAAAGTGAACTGCCCGAGGCAGCGAAAAGGGACATGTTTCCACTCACTTGCGCTGGTTTGGACTCAGTCTCAAGGTTGCATGGTTGCAAACACGTTTGTTATTCATGTGACTTGTTTCTGTTAAAGCGGAGAAGGTATAGTTTTAATCCACAACCCTCAGATGGGGGATATCATCAGTATAAATGCATTTTCGGCCCTTGTGTAGTTCTCCCCAACGCTATCCACTCGTAACGTTAATTACTCGCTTGTTCCAACAGTTTCCCCCGTACATGGGCTCAATGTGCGTTGACGTGCCGCAGCCCTGAAACGAAAAAGGGGCCAAGCGCACAGGTACGTCTGAAACGTCAGAGCAATGCACAGACGAGGTTATTTTCAGCACGCAACGGCCGGGTGAGGACCCAGGCGAGCACGGCATCCGTCTCCGTTTCCTGGCACGCCTCGTGTGCTCGGGATATCGGATTGGCGAGAGCCAAGGGCGGGAGACGGGGCTGGCAGCGAAAGAGGGACTTGAGGGTATCGAGAGCTGACGCTGGATGACACTAAGCCGTGGCCATGCATTACAGAACCCTCCAAGGGCATTGTCGTTGTTCCAAGATTCTGCCCTGCGCGGTGCCTGTATTTACTTCCAAACGGTCGTGGTGCTCGGTTGAGAAGAGGAGTCTTTGTAACCACGTGCTCTGCCAGAACACATGATTCCCAACGCTTTTAATTACTGGTTGCCTTGATAACGTCTGTGGTTTTCGCCATTGTTCAAATTTGGGAATCAGCATTCAAACTTCAGTCAGATTTCCAGTCGACGTCGACGTCCATCAGAACCCCGATTGGGAATTGGTTCGGCACCCGCCAATGCGACCAAAATCCCCGCATCGCGGCATCGCGTCGGTCCGACGGGCGCAGACAGAACCCCTCAGTTTGGGTCAGACAAAGAACTTCATCTCCTGCTCCCCCCACGCTGCCACACGGCCTACTTGGAAACATCAAGAACAGAGAACAGTACACGCCACGGCACAGGTGTGCATCACCCGCCATGACGCTCCTCACCGTGCCCGCCGAGGCGCCAAAGCCCCAAGATGACCTCAAGACCGTCGTGGGGACTCGGACCAGGGAGTGGCACTTTCATATCTACTTCCTGCTGCAGTCTGCGACCGAAACGGCCGCAGCGCTCGCGCTTCGTGATGCCGTTCTCAGGCTGCGTCGCGACGGTGAGTGAGAACTGAAACGCGGCGCCGTCTCCACTCTTGGCCAACCGTCACGATAGGCGCCTTTGTGGCCGTTCCGCTGCGCACCGTCAACAAATCTCCCGTGGGACCGCATCCTGCTGGGTCGTACGAGAGTAGGTGCGGACGATGCGCAACTTGTTTTTGAGCCGTCGAGGCTGACCCTTGGTCCAAGTCTGGGTTCCGGACTCTTCCTTCTCCCAAGTCTTCTTCTACCTGGCTACGAACCGAGGAAACCTGAGGCAAGTCTCTCTCTGCCTTCACCATGGGAAGGCCTTGGATGCCTCTGGCTCACGTCGCTCGTTCAACGTACACACAAGGGAACAAAACGCACCATGCCTGTATGCTGATCAATCTCGCAGCGTGCTCGTACATCCGCTGACGTCGCAACAACGGCGGGATCACGAGAGTCGCAACGGATGGCTGGGCAAACCGTGGCCCATCTACCTGGACGGCCTGCCGCGCGATGGCGACGAGCCTCCGCTCCAGTATCCCGAACTCCGTCTAGGTTGGTCTGCCCCGCCTGAAGAGGACATGTCCCTGGACGAGAGGCGCAGGAGAGGGGCGAAGCTTGAGGAATTGCTGGCCAACGATCCCGAAGCGGCTCCTGCTCCCGTCGACTGATGAGAGACTTGTGCTTTATCAGCCCTGGGGTCCCCCGTGACAGCTGAAACAACCGAAGGATCGACAGTACGACGACGGTATAGCGATTCGCGGGCCCGCTGACGAGAGAATGATTGTGGTGGAAATAAATGGGACCACGGCAAGGAAGTCGAGTAACACCGGGCCTTGGCTCAATGGCCCTGACATCCGTCTTGCAAGTTGCACCTTGTTGGCTCTCGAGGTCGCGAGTCGTGACGGAAGGTAGGAGCAGGAAGATGATTGACACTGCACGTAGTAAACGTTCACGCAGCAGAGACACAGGATTAGCCACGGCAGCGCCACAGCAAGTAGAACTATGGGAAACGCATAGCTTTGAGCGATGACGGCCGGAACTAAAAAGAGACTAACGAGAAAATCGAAAAAAGCAAAAGAGAACCCGGACTGCCAAGACTGGGGTTCGAACCCAGGAATCTCTCGATAATGGAAATCAAGCACGTGACTTAAGCCCATCGCCATAACCACTCGGCCATCTTGGCGGGTAAATTTTTCCCCAGAGTCGCATACTATCAAGAGATTTGTTACACCAAGGAAAATTTCACTGCCTGTCTTTACTGTCTGAATCTTCCCAAGCCAATATTGGCGTCGAACAAGGCACGACAAGACGAGTGTACCCATCTCGTCTGCCGGCCACGACGTACTGCGACCCGGCGCTGTATGTACTCCTTCGCTACCCGGGCCATGATGTCGTGCCAATCTTGACCTTGCCACAACTAGTCTCACGCCCATGCACATAGAGCTGGAGGGCAGCGGATGCTTGTTCCGACGAGGTTTCCATCGAATTTTACATACGCAGGTGCCTAGATTCTGCGCGGCTTCTTGTCTGCGAATACATTGTCGCCCGGCGTGATGAGATCGTGGATCCGACTCGTCGGGGCAAAGACATGCCGCGCAGTGACAATGCTTCGAGATGACAGCTTCAAGCGTCAGCGTCACCATGTTGTTTGCTCCCAAACAGCTGTACAGCACGCGAGGAAAGTCAGGCTCGTGTGATGGCAAGTTGACTTGCACGTGAGTTGCTCGGTCCGCGCTTGCGCTACGATGGGCGCCTAGCCAGCCGGGCTCAATAGCGGTGGCTTCATCCCCTTTATGTAAGACTAGCAAGTTACCAGAATGAACCATTTGCTAATGTCGAGTGCCATCTGCATCTAGCAACACCGCTGGCTGCTCGTGATGATTCATTGCTCCAACTCGAATGCGCCGTCAGACGTGCCATGCTCGGAGCAAAGCTACGTCAGACGTGTTCGATTGCAAATCTACTTTGCAACACGTGGTGCGAATTATTTGACGCCTTTTCTTTCCCCTCGGATGCATGTCCGTTGGGAAAGCAGAATCATCTGCTGTCCGCCCCTCATCACGCTTCTTTCACCAACAGCACCAGCTACTCTGTTCCGCCAAGTCTCGAAGCACTGTTCAGGATGAGGTCAAGAATTCTCGCCACGCTTTGCTTGCTTGTTCTGCTCGCCCCTGCCGCTGCAGTAAGTACGCTCTCACGTGCGAATGTCCTGCCCAGACTGACGTTTTGCCCAAGGCCAGAGCCCTCGACTCGCCCCCGCCCGCCTTCAGGGTGAAAGACAAGGAACGGGAGACGGGAATCAAGCCCGGCGGACCAACTGCCCATGTCAAAGGGACCACCGAGGAGGCAGTCTCACAGCTGCGCACCATCATCCCGGCCTTTGGTCACGGCCGCAACCTGACTGGCGTGGCTACTGGCGGAGATGCGCCCGGCGACGACATCAAAGTCGGCCCCGACCCACGACCGGATGACCTTGCTCTGCATTGCTTCGGACCCTCGTGGCCCACCTCGAACTGGGCGGTCCACATCAACTATGAATACGTGAAGCAACTCCGGGGTCGACCGAAGAGCCCCCTTGGGCCCGCAGAGTGCCGCCGAGTGAGCTGCCTCTGGGACACGGCCGTCTTCTGGTGCAACGAGGTGAGCCCGCGCCTCGTCGGACGAACCCTTGCCTGGGAGTCCACTGTGTGTTTCCTAACAGTCCTTGGCCTGCAGACGACCGAGCTCAAACGGATATACTCGTACAACAGTATCACCGCCGCGCTTCTTAGAATCATGAGGGGCTGCATCAAACCGACGGATGATTTTCGCTTCTACGCCAACTGGGGGAAAGCCTCACACCCCGACGGCTGGCACGTCAAGGTCGGAGCGGGCTGGTGCTAGAGGTGGACGTGGATGGATGGGAAGAGCCGCAGCGGTCGAGCATCTCGCGCCCGTCGTCGACAAGCGCGCCCGGCATGGGCATGGGCATGGGCATGGGCATGGGCCGGCGTACGCAGCTTGAGAACGGGGATGCACTTTGCGCGTATGTACACTGGTCGGCTGCGGCGTGAAGTTGACAATCGAAGGACTTTATCACTTTATCACCTTGCCCCGTCTCCTGGCGTGGCGTCGGGATTGCCAATTTCAAAACCGTAGCCAGAGTAAGATGATGCCACGCCCTTCCGGATCGCGCTCCTGCCATCCCATCCGCCACGGCTGCAGTAGTTGGGCAGATGATTGCTGTCGTTGGCGAGGCTGCGGAACTGCCGTGGCAAAAAGACGCTGGCAGAAGACGCTGAAATCGCTTCCAAAAGTGATGGATTGCTCCTCCGACACAAGTTACGCGTCAAGTCCAACAGTTGGATTTTGTTGCACTAATCTCGCGCCATATTTGTCCAACTTCCATCACGACGGGGAGCAACTACAGATGCTGGCCCGTGCAAAACGCGCCAGGTATGATGGAGGCGTCTAGTAGCTTCTGATGAGATGCGGACCTCGTCCTGCACGCAAAGCTCAAATCTTCAGCCAGCAGGTCTGGCAGGATCTGCGCCCTCGTCCGCGCCCTCCTCTGCCCGGATCGGATACGTCCTCGAAAAGAACGGCGCGTTTCGGCAGATGTGACCGCTCACAGTGGTCTCCTGATATGAACGTGGCAGCAGTGGATTCTTCGCCTTTACCCGCTGACCGTGGTTTTCGTCGTCCTCGACGCGTGGCGGCATCCCCTCCGAGCCTACAGGTTCATGATGAAGTCTGCGGCCTCGACCGCGGGACTGAAAAGCGTCGCGTCGTCTCTGTCCAGGGCTGAGATCCGCGAGGGCGGCCGGCATCTGTACCACATCACGGACGACGGGACCTCTGTCTACGTCGGCTTCGACGACCCCCTTCACGAAGCTGCCGGTCTGGTGGTTTCCCAAGATTGCCCTGGGCTCCGTTGTCCTCGCCGTGGTCATCGTGACGACGGTCTGTGATTCGCACGCCTCGTTGAGCGTCCATTCCGGGCCACCGGGCGGGTTTCCACCCGGACGATTCCCCTCGTTCCCTGTATTCACTTACGTGATATGCAAAGCTTGGCAGACGTGGCTGGAATGGGTTGGAAAAAAGGTTGAAAAATTCAAGCAGCCATCGTGAAGTCGGTGGGCAGTTGTGCCGCTTGTGTCTTTCCTGATTGAGACTAGCTCAATGGCCTTTGCCGCAAGTTGCGTTGTACGTTGCTCCATCGCCATTGGACAGGACAAGGACAGGCCCAGGGTTCGAAGCCGCGGCCGGAGCCAACCGCCGACGCCGCGTCCGGCTCGGACCCGGTCGAGGCACGACCGGGCGGCGGATGGGCAAAGACATCGCAGCGCGACAGACGATCTTGAGAGGCCAGAGCCCTTTCGGCGCCGCTCTGTTTCCGGTCCCACTTGGACAAGCCAACGGGGGCTACGGAGTACATGCGCAAGAAGATGCCTGTGTGTAACCTCGGGACCTTGACGGCCGGGTCACCGGGGCATCTTGCGCTTCCTCGGCAAGTCATATTCACTTGAGGCTTTTGCTGACCGCCCGGATCCCTGCATGTTCCCTGGCGTTTGCGCAACAGGCGGTGAGTTGGCATATTTTTCCGGTCTACCACCTACAGGCTTGCTCATGCATTTCATAGGGTTGCCAAGCAGTGAGTGGTGCTGCCGTGCCTCAGAAGGGGGATACAGCTGCTTACTTGACGTAGAATAAGAGCATTGGTGGCCCCGGCCGTCCTCGTGAATGCAGAGACATGGCGGATCGACGCCCGGCAAGGTAGAGCCACTTCGCCGTATTTCTAGGTTGAATATTCGCCGATACTTGACGGAACAAAGCGGAACAGGCGTACTTTATCGTACAATGCCTCGGCGCATCGCCCAGTTTGAAGGCTCTGGCGGAGGCAGGCTGAAGAAACAACGAGAAAGCCGGGTGTACTCGTCCGATCACGGCCCGTGGACGGGCGGGTATCGAGCGCGGTGGCTGTTCCTGTACTGCTGCCCAGCAAGCAGCAGTTACTGTGCAAGTATTTTATGTACTGTTCCACTCGTTTGCGTGGCACATATATCAGGGCCGTCGAGTTGATTTATTCACTCGCGCACCATCGGACGAGCCCCGGCCCAGCAGTGAAGCATCTTGTGACGTTGCCAGAGCACGCCGCGACGACTTGCGAAGATGCCTGCGTGTGTAATCCAACTCGGGCACCTGCTTTGAAGACAATCGTGGCTTGGAAAGGGTCTCTTTTGTGCGTCGAAGCTGATACTACATGAGAATTGCATCAAACCCCGACAGTACATTATCCCAGCCCATGGCCTTCAAATCGAAATCCGCATCGAGCATCTGCCACCGCTGGGCCATGTCCATCATCTCAGTGCCCATCTCTCCGCCCCGTCCCGCGGGATACGCCTGCTCAAAATCCTGTGGCGGCCCGGGAACACGCCGTGTCGTGTCCAAGTGCGTGGGCCGCCGGGCCGCCAGATCCGCCACAATCGCCTTGGAGACACCGTACTTGCTGAACATCTGGCTCGCAAACTCGAAAAATTGCTCGTTGTGATTGGAGTCCTCCTGCTGGTCGCTCATCAGCTCCCACGCGTCGAGCATATCCGACCTTTCGCTCTTAAAGTCCCGAATCTCGGTGCCCGAGCAAACGTCCAGCAGGAACACTGCGCTTGCCATGACGAGGCATTTTAGAAAATTGGTCGCTTTAAGGCGTGGTATGATCCACGAGTACTGGGACTTGATCTGCCGGTGCAAACGGACAATGTCGCTGGCGCAGGCGAGACACGCTGTGCGAGACGGCGTGTACCTGGCACCAATGCTGGAGAGGGGTAGGTATTGCAGGTGGAGGAAGCAGCGCAGGATATAGACTACGCAGTGTAAATGGATGCGGTGGATGACAATCGTTGGATCCTCGTGCGACGGAGGGGTAGAGAACCTGTCGATGGAGAAGAATGGCGGCAGTTCTCGCTGGTATTGCTTGAGGCGGGCGTCGTGCCGTACCACTTCCTGGTAATAGTCGGCCTTGGTCTTGGTCTTGGAGAGAGGGCAGACATCGACATGCTGACGGCTTATCTCCGCAAGGCGAATACGCTCCAGGAAACAGGACAGGTCACTTTGCTCATCCCGTTCTTCAGGGGAAGCTGCGCCGTGGTTGTCGCCTCTGACGATTCTGGGTTTGTTGACGGCCATGTGTTGAGGGTGGATGGCATACATGCCCGCGTGCGAGCCTGGGAGAAAGGCGAGTAACCTGCATATATTGCCCGTGTGTTAGTTCCTGGCTGTGAAGGCGTCAAGGGTTGCGGGATCCGACTTACCAATCTATGGAAGCAAGATCCCACCATAGCCGCCGCCCAATCTCAATGTCCATTTCCAAGTCCAAGCCAAGACTGCTCGGTTTCTTGCCAGGGCCATCTATGCGATGGAGCCCCAGGTCGCGGGCCATGGCTATGGACGTGGAGATCAAGCTCCGGGTTCGTATGGAACTTGCCTCCATGTAGGCTGAGACTTTGTACAGAATGTTTTGCCCTTGGAGACAAATCATGCTTGCCTGGCCACGCTCCTTGATCTCGTCGGATAGCGCATACGAGGCTGCTACCCAGGATGCGCATTGGGCATTTGCTTCCAAGTGACTTGCGAAAAATTGGCAGACGTCACTTTCGGACGAAGAGGCGTATGTTACCGAAGCGATGATGGCCAGGAATAGGAGTAGATGCGACGTGTCTGCGGGCATTCGTTGCCGTGCGCTGGTGTATACGCTTTGCATAGACTGAAGTGCATAGGGGACATGGAACATGGGGCACAATATGGCACGCTCGTCGATAAAGGTGCGCAAGATGATGCAGGCTTCTCGGTACAAAGGCAGCGTGAGACAGATCACCCGACCACTCGTTGCAAGCGATCCAAGTGCCGAGGTGGCATCGTGTATAACGGAGTATGGTTTCTTGATGAGTCTGATGGGCGAAAGCTGATATGTTACACATGCATCTAACAAACTTGTTTCCTAGGATTTTCTCAGCTCAAAGTCTATGAATAATTGTCGTGACAAGAAGAGAGGGAGAGTGGGGGGAAAGGTCGTGTTCTTACAGGTGGAATGCACGTGGCCGTCTTGTAGAGAAAGTTGCCACCAAACCACAAGGCATCCGCGGACAAATGCTGTACGGTAGAGGAAGACGGCGGGGAGAGCAGTTCGGCATGCGGCGAGAACGATGCTGATGCTGATGCTGATGCTGATGAGTGGGGAGCATCATCGGGCTTCGCCACGGAGGGCGTCAGGCGCAGATCGGGATTATGGATACCGGTAATCCAAGTCTCCAACCTGTCCAGCCGAGCCCGAATGTCGGCATCGGTGGCATTGGGGGGCTTTGGCTCGTTATTTGCCTTGACCTCTGGCACCAGACCAAGAGGCTCGTAGAACTGCAAGCACTGTACCCCCCTAGAGGTGCAGTTGGAGCATGGAAACTGGCGAGAGCATCGAATCTTGCGGCGGCGGCACGACCGACATGCAATCGGGCGCTGGCGCCACTGCCGTCCCATGTCTCGTGTTTTCACGACGCCACTCTGTGGAACAGAAGAAGATGATGCACATAACGTTCGGATGCAAGCGTATGCAAGATTGGATGGAGATGGGAATACCCTGCGGTGAATGAGATGACGGACTCTGAGGTTGCCGAGTCCGCGCACTTTTGACCGGAAACGGGGCCGACAGGTCCGAGGCCCCGTCGGGTGCTCCATGCCGATTGCGTCATAAGTACGGAGTACAGAGTACATGTACTTGTATGTATTATGTAATGCCGAGGGCCCGGATCGCAGGGCTGCGTGCCTGGGAGACCAAGTTGGCAAAAGTGTCTAGGTGGGCAAGCACGGTGCCCTAGGCAGAATTAATTAATTGCATGCGTGTGATGGACGGAGCTCGACCGCCAAGAAGGTTGGCAACGATTCTCGGTGCATTGACGGGCATGTTGACTCGTGGGCGAGAAGGACCGTGATACCGTATACGTAACTGCTCCTCTGTCAAACGATTCGGTATTTTCTTCCAGACCACTGGGAAGAACTGCTCGTCCGTGGCGTTGCGTTTTGGGGTTGGGGTTGGGGTTGGGGTTGCTCAAACGGCGTGTTGGAGAATGTGAGCGGCTCAGGCCCGGAAGCATCTTGGCAGGCAAGGAGAAGACACCGGCTGGTTGATATCTAGAAACAGTCCTCAATTTAGCAGCAACTCTCAAGGAGTACAGAGTGTCTGTTGCAGGGATCCAGACCTGACTAGGGTGACGATTGGCCGCGACAAGGCGCACAGGTGCAGGCGCAGGGCAGGCATTGGAGCACAGCACACGCCGAGGCCTGTTGCTTGCTTGTTGTGTCTGATGTTGACAGGCTACAGCAAACTCTGCCTCTGCCTCCGCCTCTGCGCTTCATGCAACGTCAAGTCGAAACTTAGATTGCCTGGTGGTCCTTGGTCCTTGACTCCTTGGCTGGTCAGGCTGCCGAGTTTTCTTTCTGGGAGAGCCTGGTTGCCTTGCCCTTGCCTTGTCGTACGCGCCTTCCGCCTTCCCAACAGTCAGTCAGTCGTTGCTCCCCGCCCATTGGCCACCAAGCTCCACGTGCCCTGCCTTGCACCTTGCACCTTGCACGCACCACGCACCCTTCTCCATCTCTCCTTCACTCTTCACTCCACCAAGTCGTTGTCGACGCAGGAGAGCACGGTAACGTGTCTCTTTTCTCCATGCCGTCTTGAATTCGTTGTCGATGCCCACCCGGCCGTTCTTTGTGCTTCTACCACTGCACCGACTCGTCAACTCATGACGGCACCTTCGAGCTCCAGGGAGCCGCAGTGTATCCCGTCGTAAATCACCATCACCGCCGCCGTCTCCGTCTCTGTCTACGTCTCGAGACGTCTCCCTCACCAGAGTCACCACCCTGACCGCCTGACCGCCGACCCGCCCAGTACGGTCCGTGGTGCAGGAGAAACCTTGAGAGGACATCTGTCGACAATGGCCTCGCCATATGCTTTGCCCTCCTCCGCGCTCCCTCACGCGCATCAGCAGCATATTCATTCCCACGCGCACACTCAGGCGCATCCCCAGTCCCAATCGTCCCTACATGCCTGGCGATCATCAATGTCGACCGGATCCCTCCACCCGTCCCTCGCCGACCACGACAACGAACACGACCGGCCACATTCCACCTCGAAGCAGCCATCGCATGCTTGTCGAGAATCCCACGCCTCCAACATGAGTGCATCGTTGCATCGAGACAAGCGCCCGCCGGCCTGCCCGCCGGCCTCATTGGATCCCCTGGGCGGTTGGACAGAGGAGACGACAGCCGGCGGCAAGAGTATTCTGACTCTCGGGCCTGGCGCAGCAACTGCACCATACTCGCCTCCAATTAGCCACGATCACAGTCATAGAAATCACTCGCTCGACCACGGCCACGACCACGAACACAACCATGGCCTCATGTACAACAACGCCCATGACGACGGACATAGACATCACCACCATGCTCACGCTGACGGGCATCGAACCGACGCTGGCAAGGCGCCGAGGTCTCTATTCACGAGGACATTGCTAACATATACCGCTCGGGTCCCGGTTCTGCATGCGATTCTTGTTGAGAAGGACTCGCGACGAATCTTTTACTTCATGGTGTGAGTGATTGTCCTCGTACCAGTACGCAAGAGGTCACGCTAACACCCTAGCCCAGCTTGAATTTTGGCTTCATGACTGTTCAGGCTTTTTACGGCTACGTCACCGATTCGCTGGGACTTTTGAGCGACAGCATACACATGTTCTTCGACTGCGTGGCACTCTTGGTAGGGTTGCTAGCAGCCGTCATGAGCAAATGGCCTCCGAGTCAAAAATTTCCATATGGGTTTGGCAAGATGGAGACTCTGTCAGGTTTTGCCAACGGTATTCTTTTGATGTAAACAAGGCTTGTTGGCCCTTTTGCTCGGTTGCGGATTACTGACATGCGTACTCAGGCTTTTGAGCGTCGAGATTGCTTTCGAGGCGTTTGAACGATTATGGGATGGCACCAAGACCAAGCGACTTGGTGAATTATTTATTGTGAGCACCCTGGGTCTTGCAGTAAACTTGATCGGAATGATGGCTTTCGGTCACCATCATCACGGCCACAGTCACGGTCACGGTCACTCCCACGATCACAGCCACTCCCACGATCACAGTCACTCCCACGATCTCAGTCACTCCCACGATCACGATAGCCACAAACACAACCACTCGCATGGCTGCGACGGCAACCATGGTCATGGCCATTCGCATGACAATGAAAACATGCATGGCATCTACCTACATATTCTGGCCGACACACTGGGCAGCGTCTCGGTCATTGTCTCGACAGCACTGACGAGCGTATGGGGATGGGCGGGCTGGGACCCTTTGGCCTCATGCTTCATCGCCGTTCTCATCTTCTTGTCCTCGAAGCCGCTCGTGATCTCCTCGGCCAAGCGCCTGCTTCTTAGTGTCCCCGAGGTTACTGAGTATAACCTGCGAAACACGCTCGGCGGAATCCTAGACCAGCGCGGCGTGGCGAATTACTGCGCCCCCAAGTTCTGGTTGGATGACCGAACCGGGAGCGAGGATGGCGAGAAGCTTGTCGGCGTCGTGCATATTGTTGTGGCACATGGGTACGGCATGGACGAAGTGCGAGATCGAGTCCGCGTCTATTTGAAGAGCCAGGGAGTTGAGGCAGTGGTGCAAGCGGAACGAGAAGGCGACAATGCCTGCTGGTGCACCAGGAGTCGTGGCGCCCTAGCATTGCCATCTGCTCCGAAAATGCTTTAGAGAGGGCACAGGCATAGTAGTTGGACATGTGCTGGGGCGTCTGTTGTCGACTCTAGACAGCGCGTGCCCCTGTTGGCTTCTCTACGAACTGGGCCAAGCAGGCCTCCCCTCCATCCCCTGGCAGACAATGTCTAAAGGATTCTAGCAGTGTCTGCTTTCGCGGTTGTTTTATTTTGCTCTCTCTTGCTGCGTACGATTACGGCATAGAACTGGCCTTGGTCGGTCGTGTTGGGTACGAGACGGCGGCTCGCATGGATAGAGAGCATGCATGGTACGAGTGAGGCTGGCGCCGGGGCGTTTTTGTCGATTGGTTCTTTGACAGATGGACCTCTGTATATTGTCTTTCGAGTTGGACGCGCGGTCTTGCAAAGCTGTATTAGACCTGGCATGTACATTACATATCGGCCGGCAATATATGTGAGATGGCGGCGAAGTATTTTTTCGAACCTCCAGCGGCATTTGCCGGTGAGAAAACGCACGGAGGCATGTGGCCCAGCTATTCTGACGCATGTATTGCCGCATGTTTATTCTAAGGCCGGGCGGACATGGAGTAGGTGTCTTGGGCAAGGCGTCACATGTGAACCTCTTTCCAGCGGGAGCGGTCTTTTAGAAAAGCAGAAGGTCATTGCGCCAAGGCCCAGGGGACCAAAAAAAGGGTGCAGCCACAAATGTATACTCAGTTTGCGCTCCGATTGGACGCCGACGAGAAACATGGGTAGCCCGCAGCCTGCGGAACCTTGAACGGACCACGGAGTACCCGGGACTCGAGGAGCAGTAGTAGCGAGCACGGAGTGCGGAGTAGAGTACCTCGAGTCCCCACTCGCACACAGCCGAGGCCGATCATGGCGGACGGAGATGCCGCGGGAGAAGGTGTCGTGCAACGTGCCAATGCGCCAGCAATTCGCCCCTGGTCGTGGCTTCCCTCCAAGCGGGCGATCCAAAGACTCGCCTCCCACTGTAGCATCCACTGATCCGTCAGTGTCACACACGTCTTGGCCCGGCCGCCGGTTGCGTTTGAAGTTCCCCTCCACCGAAGCGCCCAGCTTACAGCGACCCCGCCCGCTGGAACAGGTCACAGTGACCACCAGACGCCGGGCCGAAGTCGACGCAACCGCAAATCACCTTACCCAGCCAGCCAGACAGACGTCTTTCTTTTTTCCCACCCACCAGCGCACCGCTTCTCTTCTTCCCTCCCTCCTTTCTCCCTTCCACCGCTCGACGCGCCGTCCTTCCCTCCTACCCGTCAGACAGAATGCCCTCCGCCGCCGAGAACCTGCCCGCACCCGTGGCCGACAAGCTCCCGCGCCTGCCAGAGACCAAGGACGAGCTTCGAGAAACCAAGGCGGCCGCCAAGTCGGGCCTGCTGTCGCAGCTGCGCGCCCTGGCCGCCGGCGGCTTCGGCGGCATCTGCGCCGTCGTCGTCGGCCACCCCTTTGACCTGGTCAAGGTCCGGCTGCAGACCGCCGAGCGCGGCGTGTACTCGTCGGCCGTCGACGTCGTGAGGAAGAGCGTCGCGCGGGACGGCCTGCGGAGGGGGCTGTACGCCGGCGTGAGCGCGCCCCTCGTAGGCGTCACGCCCATGTGTAAGTCTCCCCGTGTCCCGCCCGTCCGTCCCGGGTCCCGAAACCCGCGGCGGCACCGAGACAGCGAGCCCGCCGACTGACCCCCCGCGTCCCCCCCCAACAGTCGCCGTCTCCTTTTGGGGCTACGACCTCGGCAAGCAAATCGTCTCGGCCGCGGGCCCCGCCGGCCCCGACGGCCTCCTGTCCATCGGCCAAGTCTCGACGGCGGGCTTCCTGTCCGCCATCCCCATGACGGCCATCACGGCGCCCTTTGAGCGCGTCAAGGTCATCCTCCAGGTCCAGGGCCAGAGGCGGCTCGCGCCCGGCCAGAAGCCCAAGTACACGGGCGGCCTCGACGTCGCGCGCCAGCTCTACCGCGACGGCGGGCTGCGCAGCGTCTTCCGCGGCAGCGCCGCCACCCTCGCCCGCGACGGCCCCGGGTCCGCCGCCTACTTCGCCGCCTACGAGTACATCAAGCGCGCGCTGAGCCCTGTCGACGCCGCGACCGGCCGGCCCACCGGCGAGCTGAGCCTCACGGCCGTCACTTGCGCCGGCGCCGCCGCCGGCGTGGCCATGTGGATTCCCGTCTTCCCCGTCGACACCGTCAAGTCCCGGCTGCAGACGGCCGAGGGCAACGTCACCCTCGGCAGCGTCGTCCGCGAGCTCCACGCCAGGGGCGGCCTGAAGGCCTTCTTCCCCGGCTTCGGCCCTGCTCTGGCCCGCGCCGTGCCCGCCAACGCCGCCACTTTTCTGGGCGTCGAGCTGGCTCACCAGGCCATGAGGAGGGCCTTCGACTAGGCGCCGCCCCCGGCGCTGACACCACGTCCTTCGCCGTCCCTTTTCCTGGCAGACGCCCCGGACGGGAGGAGGCTGCCTTCTGGCTGGCCTGGGGATCGGGTGGGGGGTTAGGGTTACGCATTTACTTGCGCTACCACGGGGCGACACGAAATCTTGCCCGCGGCGCCTTGCTGCGTATTCATGTTGCGGAGAAGAGAACCGCACCAGATACTTGCTTGCTTGCTTGCTTGCTTGCTCGTCTGCCGCACCAGTCGGTGCTTGTGTAACGGCACCCCGTTGGATCGAGGGTCATACATGTCCCGTGAGTCCTTGACGTTGGAGCATGAGCGTACTCGTAGAGCATACACCGTCGCACGGGCTGTAGGGCGCCGTGGGGACTGCGACTGTATATATAGACTGCATAGACGCGTAAATGGACTTTTTTTTAGAATAATGGACCTTGTCGCTTCTCACCCTACTTTGTCGGTGTCGCAGGCCTTGCGGCCATGGTGCTGGCATGGACAATACGTCAATCGGTGGTGCATCGCCTCTCGGGCACGTAGCAGGCCGATTTTGCCATGCTTCTTCCCGTGGTCCATTGCGACATTCTACCCCTGCCTTGCACGTCACAGCCAAATACAACGGCTCGACGCACGACACACGACAACCAGACTCATTTTAATGCCTTGATTACATGGCACGCTAGTGCCCCTTTGCGCCTACGCCATGCAAAGTTCAATGCCACAACTCCCGCTCCGTCGTCATGCCAAACCCCCTGGGCTGTGACCCTGTCCACCCTGGGGTCTAATACGTTACGCAAAGAAGAGTACATCGAGATAGCAAAATTCGTTGGGCGCCTCAGCCTAGGCTCGTTCATTAACCGTCCATCGGCGCTTAGTGTGGCTCATGTCCCGGAACCGCTCCGCCTCGTCCGGTGGAGGAGGAATACCCCAGAGACCACCGAGCCCTGCCCCAAGCTGCGTTACTTTTACCTCCTCTATAGGTTTGTCGCTTCCGAGGTTCGTATGGAGTCTGATGGGATTGGCGAACATGGTTGGTGTTGAAGCGTCTCGGACCTTGTCTGCCTCGGGTGGTGGAAACTCGGCGGTCATGGGCGCATCGTTCACGCCTGATGATGAAGTCGGCCTCGCTGCCAGATCTAGTTGCTTTTCCTCCTTTGGAGGAGGGTTTATCTTGAATCGCTTTTGGTCAAAGTCTGGCAGTATGGAGCTGAAGTCATCTGCATCGTCGTTTCCGTCGTCCATAAGTCGTAGTGACGAAGGCCCAGCTGATGGCGGGCCAGCGGACCACAGGCCGAATCCTGATGACGTTGCAGGCGGCGATCTACTACCCATGTTGGAAGACGCAACTGTGCTGCCAAATCCTACCGAGGCCAGCGCGGGACCCCTCGGCAAAGGCCGCTGAGGAGCCGAGTCCTGTCGAACTATGGGTGGTAGAGAGGCGCTGGCTGAGGTGCTGCGACTGCCGGTGGAGGAGAAGGGATCCGAATATGTAAATGGGCTCATGACTGGGCTGCCTATGCTTGACAGAGTTGAGGTCCGGCCCCGCGAGCCATTGTTTGTGTTCCAGACGTTGGTGATGAAATTTGATCTCGCGGAAGTCGGAGTTGAGGCGCTGGACCGTCGCAAGTGATCCGTGCTTGCCGACAACCGCATGTCATACATCTTGTCGACTGCTACCAGGGGCTTTTCGGAGGGATCGGATGGTGCAGGCGTCGATGCCAACAGATCCTTGTAATCAAGGTTTGGCTTCCGAGAAGCCATGGTGATGGACGCGATGCCAATGTCCATCAGCACTGGCTGGTGAGTAATTGCACCGATCAGGGCATTGCATCCAGCACCATGAGAAACCACGACTACAACCGTCCCCACCTCTTCATCGTCGAATTCGTGCTCTGCGCAGCCACCATTGTCCTTGGCGGGCTTCATGACCAGGTCCCCGGCAGAATCCGTCGAAGCATACCAATTGACCAATTTTCTAATGCCTCCCCGGAACCGTTTGTGCATGGATGCCCACTCTTCCCCAAGGCTGCCTCCATCGCCGAAGTCAAGAGGTGCCCTCATTGAATCCCACTGGTAGTCTACGGTCACGGCGGCATCTCTGGCGTGAGCAACAAACCCATCTGGAATACTTCCGGAACTTGAGGCAGCATAGATAGGCCGTGGAGGAATGTATCCTCTTTTGACATCGGATCGTGTAGGAAGAGAAGATCTGAGCGCCGACACATTCATCGACCCCTCGCTATCTGTTGAAGGCGATGTCGGGGCCTGTGCGGGACTTGACGTTGGTGATTGCCAGAGAGAGCCCGACGAAGGCCGTGGGACCTCGGGTTCAGCAACGTGGTCGTAAATGCTGTAATCTTCTCGCCTCAGCAGCTCAGCCTTTGCGCCACCTAGCATGAGAGCTGGGCCAGGCGGGGGTGTGATCATCTCAAAGTATTCTGGCGACAGCCATTCTCCCAGAAAAGAATCTAGACGCAAGAGGGCGGACTTGAACTGAAATTGCGGCTCGGCCTGTGGTACAGCTCGCGGGAGAATCAAGTCGGCCGGATTGTACGTGGAATCGGGCAAGGATTGGGCAAGACCTGAACTGATGCCAATAGAGGTTTGAACGCATCGTAGAAAGGGAGAACTGTGGATGACAACCTTGAAGCGCTTCCGCTTTTTGAAGCGGCCTGACGTAGTTTGTGTTTCATCTTCAGACTTGACTTGCCCCAGTATGTTTGCTATTTGGTTGCCAACTCGTCTGGCTTGGAGGAAACCGCCGTACGTCAGAGGGGGGTCGTATGGGGTCGGCGACGTTGAAAGCCATGACTTGTCGGCAGTGTCTAGTCGGCTTCCATGCCTGGATAGCATTCACACGTTAGCAGGAATGTACCTGCGTGTTGATGCGTTTGGGATGGAGGGTTAGGGTTGTCAGCTCACCTCACAACGAACAAGTATTCTGGAGGAGAATTGCTCATGCTGACAGGGACTGGGAATGGCATGGCCAGAAACAATGCGCCATGTGCCAACGCAGCTCCCTCCAAAAGAAAAAAAAAAGTGAAATGAAGAGCTTGCGTTTTCAATGGGTAATCTCCTTTTATTCGAGGCTTGCGGAGCTCTCGATACACTGGAGGAAAGAGCTCGTGCGCTACAATATCGTACGATCCGAACCAGCAGGTCGCACCGGTATTTATTTTCCCTTGCACGCGCAGTGCTCCCCGCAGCTACCCGCGACGGCCAAGCACAAAGGCGAAGAAGCGAGGCTGACTTTGGCTCGCCTTGGCGGAAATATTGAAATATGCGCTATGGGGCGAGATGCCTTGTAAACGGCAACAAAAGTGTGAAAAATCCCCGCGGGTGAGGAGTATGGCGGCGGGAAGACGTCGTGGTGGTCCAAGTGAGGGAAATGCTGATGAGGCACGAGGCGTTGAGCGGCCCAGGACAATCGGATCCCAGGCAGCCAGGGTAAGGATCAGTGTCGGTACATAGGAGGAGGCCACGATGCGATGTACGTTTGACACATCAGGCCGCAGCTGTGGTGGCCCTGTGGGTTAGGGCAAACGCATCAGGCAAGAGAGAGGTCTGGCCGACGGATGCGCGAAGCCACGAAGCAACGTCACAGCTCAGGAGCTGCAAAGGACCAGTCAGTGGTGAAGGCCGAGGCGAGGAGCCTGGCGAATAAACTCTGGACACTTGGTGTATCGTCGGAATGGAGGGCGGGCAGCACATGGGCACATGGCACACCCTATGCCAGCCGGGCTCTGAATCTCAATGGAGCCACGATGGCACGGTGGGCAGGATAAAGAGAGGCGGAGGAGAGGCAAGCTTGTGTGGTGTGAGCTATAAAAAGCCTGCTGCCTCTAGCGTCCGGTACCTCCCCCGTACTTCAAAGTACTTAAGAAGTACTTAGTTGACCAGACTGTAACAGGGGCCAAGGCCCCCACCAACGCTGTACGATTGATGGTGGTGCTTACTCATCAGTGCAAGACAGGGCCGATCGCACTTTCCATCCTTTCAACCGCATCAATCATCGTCTTTCATCTGTATGACCAAAGAACTGAACCGGCCGCACTCATAGAGGACTCAATCAACCCGTCACCACGCCATGTAACGCGACTCGTTTTTGTTTTTTTCGGCCCATTCCCACTCACTGTCCCACCTTACACCTGAGCTCCATAGTGGGGAACGCGGAATCCAGGGTCCAGGCCTAGCACGTCAGGCCATGACGACGACGAGCCAAATTTCTCAGTTTATTGCTCGGTTGGCGTTCACAATGCTAGAACTCTTTGCGGGTTATTAATGAATGACTCTGGCAGTCCTTCCGAAATGACTCATGAAAGAGGACCAGACCTGACGTGCTCGGTATTCCAATATTGGAGACGAACGTCGGACATTCATTCACGTAATGGTCCGGGTGCCATCTGCTGACCTTTTTCTTTCAAGGTTGAGACCTCGTGGCCGCAGCAGAATGGCCCCTTAGCAGAGACCTGAAGCGCTTGGAGCTGTCTCTCGGCCCATCAAATTATTTCAACCTTCACAGGCTGTTGATTCGAAACACCCGGCGCACGATTGGATAGCTACCTCACTCGTGGTTCTACTGCTCCCTCATCTGCGCGATGCCGTCGGCCAGGTCCTCCAACGAGACGCTTGGAGCTATTGGCAGCATGTGGAGTGCAAATCTGTCAAGTGTCATGCTTCCGGTGATCTATGGCAGCAATACGCTGCCTGTGCCCTCATCACGACCAATTGCACCATATCTCCAATATCTGCTGACGCACATGTAGGCCGAATATTCACTAGCATTAGAGCTATTGTGCAGTGCTAATAAAGTTTAGACCGAGTCCCCGCCCCACCGAGGTTCTGGGGTCGTTCCTCCACGGCCTCCACAGTTGATTGATAAGACGCAGAGCATCGCGACGACTCCAGGATCCCGAGGGAAATGGCTTGCGACTGAGAAAGGACGTCATCGGATTGATCGCCTTTGGGTTTAGTCTGTACAATGAGCTTATTCCGACATGTCTTGCAAGGATCCCGTCAATCTACTGAGCCTGGTTGTCGAAATCGGGTTTACACTTTTGCAGTGTTCATTCGCTCCCTGTTGAGTGTTTTCCTGCAACTCTGTGGGCTAATAATACGTAGTACGTCGGTTTACCCTGCTTGAGACCTGGTACCAGCTTATTGATGCCGCTTTCTCAGTATAGTTGCGCCTTTTTTTCCCCCTCGTCATTCCTTTTTTTTTTTTTTTTCCCGAGGGGGCCGCCAAACCTGGGTCCGCGATTGCTTTGCAGTACCATTGACGTTCGTGACGTATATCCCCCTTTGCTGAGCATTGCGCCGCCTTTATTAACCCAAGACAATATCGTGTGAGTCCCTGACGTCTCCGTACTATTTGTATGTGTCACGAGCGACCAATTCACAGCCACGTTGTCTCACAACATTTGATCCGACACCTCTAGGAACTTGTCAGCGTCTAAGCCCCTGGTGCGACCTCGCGGGATGCCTCAATACCGTAGCATTGCGCAGGAGGTGCATTACTCAGCTCGAGCAAGCAGTCGGACGGATTGCGACGACTATTGGCCGCCCTGATCAGCCGCGAATGAAGCTAATGCGGCTGAAGCCGCCTCTCATCGCCTCCCGTCTCACCATCCTGAGAGAGCCGGTGCTTGGGAATTGGTCCTGCAGCAAACCAACCTGAGGGGGGCTTCGCGCCGGTTTCCGCCTTGGAAGCAATCAACTCTGAATTAACCCGGTCTCGTGAACTATCCATCACCTCGCCTTTGCCGCTGTTGTAGAACCGCGCCCGCTGTGTACAACTGATGGCTCAACATAGTTGGGTGGGATGCTTTCTTCAGGACTCGTGCATGCAGACTGTGGGCTGCGTGCCGCGCGCCAATTCATGTCCTGAATCCAGCGTCATTTTCCGCTGTTCTACTTTATTATCGTGCCGTGCTCAAGCTTGAAACGGCTGGTAATCTTGCTCGAGTCTTTGGGGCCGTCACAAACACCAATTCTTGGAATTTGTCTTGCACATATCCATCGGGTCGCTGACGAATCGTAACATGGCAATCACCTGTTCTCACTCTTCCACGGTGGAAATACTGCAACTACATGAAGGTACCTTGCATCCTGACCTAAAATTGATTAAAAAAAAAAGACGCACAAGTCTAATTGAGTAGGCGACAATGAGGTAGCTAGGCTTCAAACATGCCTCGACGGCATCGAGAAATCCTCCACCACGAACTCTGGAGCGACGTATTATAGACCTGGGGAGAAGCGCGGAGTGACAATCATGTGCGTGCGCCAAGGAGGATGAGGCATTCCCTTCTCCCATCTAATCTTGATGCAGCGTCGCCAAAGCAAACATCATCCGGGATTGCGATCAGTGTCGCGCCTCGATTTCGTCATGCTTTCTGATGCCCATGGTCTGGTGGGAAGAATGCTGCAGAAACGCCAACGGCTACTTTGGCGTCGAGGAATTGGCGGAATCGCCAAACCCCGCAGCGGAAAAGCTGTCCGGCTTGAGTAAGTACAATGTTCCTGGCGATGCTCCCTGTGGCGCCATTGAAGCTGAGCATGAGAAAGCTGACAGTTCCAGATTCATGGGCTCGTTTTCAGGTCAAGGCAGTGTGGCAAGACGACGAGACGGACGGGAAATCAAAGAGCAGAGAAATCCTGTACGATTGGGACAAATTGAACGTGTTTTCCCGGTGGCACGGAGCCACCCACCACATGGCGTTGGTCATATTCGACCCGCGCAGCGATGAGTTGAAGAACAGCTTCACGTCGGCCGTCTTGGAGCCTCGACCAACGCCGGGGGAGCTCAGGGACCCATTCTGGATCTACCCGCGGCTGATCCAGAAGATGGTCGATCTGGAGGAGACGTCCATCTGGGCAACCCGCAAACTCATCCGGGACGTGGAGAAGAAGAGGGACAAGCAGGAGAAGAAGAGGCAGTCTCTGGATCCCGAGTACTCGTGGTTGCATGAAATCTCGCGCCATGCAGCCCACGTCTCAGAAACACTCCGGGTCGGTGCCGTGTCCGTGGAGAGCATCCAAAAGCACCATGAGCAGTTTCTCGAACTTCATGGCAAGTCGGACAGTGGGCAAATTTCGATGGCTTCCCGCAACATCCGCAACCGCCTGGCGTTTTGTCACCACATGTTCAAGAGCGGTGCACACCGGGCGGAGGCGAACAACGCTCGGCTGCAGAGCGAGGTCACTCTGGCGTTTAACAAGGTGTCGCAGGAGGATTCGAACGTGTCTGTTCAAATCGCCCACTACACCAGGAACGACAGCGCGGCCATGCGCACCATCGCGGCGGTAACCATGCTGTTCCTGCCCGCGACATTCATCTCAGCCATCTTCAGCACGTCATTCTTCAATAGCGACGGTGGGGTTTGGAAAGTCTCGGGCAAGTTCTGGATATTCTGGGTTGTTGCGGGCGTGGTCACTCTCCTCTCATTTGTTGTCTGGGCAATCCTTCAGCCGTACTTTCGGCCGAAGCCAATCAATCCTACTGACCGTGGTTACCGGGAGTCAACGCTGGAGTGAGAGGCCCATGGCGGCGAGAAGAGGATTGCTGGACGGTTATTGCGGCGTCGTGGCAGCCGGCCGAATGAGAACAGGAGGCAATGTGCCGTCGCGGGACGGGTTTACATGTATAGATTGGTGGACGGTAGCAAGCTGGGATTTTCCGCGGAGATGATTCGAGGCAACATGCAAAGAATGTGCTTACTGGATAGTCGCGAGATTGTTTGCCACAAGCGCAGATTGGTAACAACTTGACGTAGAACTGTGTTTGGTGATGCCTCATCTTCGTGGCAGCGGGTCAATGCAACGTGGGAGGAATCGGCGATTCCGCGGAGTAAGGGGGGTGCAGGAATACGCTAGCCTTCAAGAGATTTATGGACAGAAGATGGAATTTTCGACTCACTTGTTCTGTAAAGATTAAACAATGGTGTTCTGCGCGAGTCAAGTTTCTATGGGAATAGACATGGCGAGCCAGCTGGCACGACTCGAGGCATTGGGGAATCTGAAACGACGTCGCCGAAACGTGGCTAGAAGACGACGCCCCGACTATTTACCTGATTATTTATAGAGATGTATTCGTCGTTCATATTGAAAAATGGCAAGGATAACAGTAACAGGTCCCTGATGAATGGAGGCGCGGAAAAGATGTGACGACCCTAACCCCAGGCTTTTGCGCCGTCGGTGCCCGCGGCTGTGGTGGGCAGAAACACGACTAGTCACATGGTCGCATGACGATCAACAGCACGAAAGGGTTCCGCTGGTTGGGCGCCCCCGACACGGCATTATAGAAGAACAAAAAGAAAAAAAAGAATTGTTTGCAGGAGGCAAGCCTGCAACCTGCGGCGCGCGCGCGAGCATGTGAAGCCCGTCGGGCTCACGGTGTGCCCAATCAGGCCTAGTGCCCTCCGCACCTGCCGCCATTGACCCCTCCGCACCCGCCTGAGCTTGTTCAGCCGAGGCTCTGGAGTTTTGACTGGCGATTTGCTGCCGAAGGCGAAGAAGCATCCGCCGTTGCTTGCATCTCCACGCCGAGCTGCGCCAGTTGCAGGCTTGCCGCCATAACGTCACCCGCTCTGGTTCTCCCGGCCTCCGTTCTTCTTGGCCTCCTCTTCACTTTTATTTCCCCATCATCCCCTCCCCCATCTTCTCCCCCCAGCATCTTCATCGTCGTACGCTTTCCGTCTCTCTCCCTGTCTCCCTCTCCCTTTGCTTTGCCCGTTTGCCGTGGCTGAAGCGTCTCGACTCCGCGGTCGAACCACTCCACAAAGAGAGAGTGCCATCTCCACATCACATTACATCGTACAATGGCCGAACAATTGAGATTCGACGGCCAGGTCGTCGTCGTAACCGGCGCGGGCGGTGGTCTTGGCAAGGCCTACGCTCTCTTCTTCGCCTCGCGAGGCGCCAGCGTCGTCGTCAACGACTTGGGAGGTTCATTCCAAGGCGAGGGTAATTCAACAAAGGTGAGGTTCTGGATCCTGCGCTTCCCGCCGCGGCGGTCGGATTCGGCACCCGGGCCGCAAGCTAACCATCGCGTCCGATTCCCTGCAGGCTGCCGATGTCGTCGTCGAGGAGATCAAGAAGGCCGGCGGCAAAGCGGCCGCCAACTACAACAGTGTCGAGGATGGCGACAAGATCATCGAGACAGCCATCCAGGCCTTTGGCCGCGTCGATGTCGTCATCAACAACGCCGGTATTCTCCGAGACGTCAGCTTCAAGAATATGACGGACCAGGACTGGGATCTCATCATGAAGGTCCACGTCAAGGGCGCCTACAAGGTCTCTCGCGCCGCCTGGCCTCATTTCAGAAAACAAAAGTATGGCCGTGTCATCAACACTGCCTCTGCCGCCGGTCTTTTCGGCAACTTTGGCCAGACCAACTACTCGGCTGCCAAGCTGGCCATGGTCGGTTTCACCGAGACTCTCGCCAAGGAGGGAGCCAAGTACAACATCATGAGCAACGTCATTGCTCCTATCGGTAAGCGGCGGCGACGCTCACTTCTTGGAGAATGAAGGGGGCTGCCCGAAGCAAGCTGACGCAGGTGCCCTCCAGCTGCCAGTCGAATGACCTCCACCGTCATGCCCCCAGATGTGCTCGAGCAGCTCAAGCCTGAGTGGGTTGTTCCCCTCGTTGCCGTTCTCGTCCACTCCGGCAACACCACCGAGAACGGCGGCATCTTCGAAGTTGGCGGTGGTCACGTCGCCAAGATGAGATGGGAGAGATCCAACGGCCTGCTGCTCAAGGCCGACGGCTCCTATACTCCGAGCGCCATTCTCAAGAAGTGGGACCAGGTTGTCGACTTCTCCAACAAGCCCCAGTATCCCTCTGGCCCCAACGACTTCATGACTCTGCTTGAGGATTCCATGAAGATGGGTCCCAGCGAGCAGGGCGACAAGGTCGACTTGACTGGCAAGGTTGCTCTGGTCACTGGTGGCGGTGCCGGCATCGGCCGTGCTTACTGCTTGGCCTTTGCCAAGTACGGCGCCACCGTCGTTGTCAACGATCTCGCGAACCCTGACGACGTCGTCAGTGAGATCAAGAAGGCTGGTGGCAAGGCTGCCGGTGTGAAGGCTTCTGCCGAGGATGGCGACACCGTTGTCAAGGCCGCCATTGATAACTTTGGACGCATTGACATTATCGTCAACAACGCCGGTATCCTCCGTGACAAGGCCTTTGCCAACATGGATGATTCCCTCTGGGACCCCGTCTTCAACGTGCACCTGCGCGGTACCTACAAGGTCACCAAGGCTGCCTGGCCCTACTTCCTCAAGCAGAAGTATGGTCGTGTCATCAACACCACATCTACCAGCGGCATCTACGGCAACTTTGGCCAGGCCAATTACGCTGCTGCCGTAGGTTCCCCCGGCTTGTTCACTCTGCCTTTGTTCCGTTTTCGTTGCTAACCTAGCCTCTCAGAAATGCGGTATCCTTGGTTTCTCCCGAGCTCTTGCCATTGAAGGCCAGAAGTACAACATCTACGTCAACACCATCGCCCCCAACGCCGGTACCGCCATGACCGCTACCGTCATGCCCCCCGAGATGGTTCAGGCCTTCAAGCCTGACTACATTGCCCCCCTCGTTCTCGCTCTCTGCAGCGACAGCTGCCCTGACCCCACTGGTGGGCTGTACGAGGTCGGCAGCGGCTGGTGCGGAAAGACTCGCTGGCAGCGAACCGGCGGTCACGGATTCCCCGTCAACGTCAAGCTTGTCCCCGAGGAGGTGGCCAAGCACTGGAAGGAGATTGCCGACTTTGACGACGGCCGCGCGGATCACCCCGAGAAGACTCAGGATTCCATGATGAAGATCATGGCCAACATGGGAAACGTTGCTGAGAAGGTATGAGAGCTCTCTTTTCTTATTCGTCACGTTGACCTTTGACGATATTCCTGTGCCAAAAGAATGGGAAGGAAAGAAATTGGAAATAGATGAGACTAGGCCTGTAAAATGAGAATCAAGACAAAACAAGACGAGACAAAATTCAAAATCTACCACCAACGATCTATCTGCTGATTTGTGAATCTCTTGCGAAAAAGGTTGACGAGCCCTCGGCCAGCAACGAGTACCTCGACGCCATCAAGGCCGCCGTCGGCAAGGAGGGCCCCCCCGTCGAATTCAAGTTTGAGGAGCGAGACGCGATCCTGTACAACTTGGGTCTCGGTGCCAAGCACACCGAGCTGAAATACGTCTTGTAGGTTGCGTCTCGTCCACGCCCCAGCCGTAAAGAGCTGCCGGTATGCTGACTCGCCGACGTACAGCGAGGGCGCCGAGGACTTCCAGGTGCTCCCGACGTACGGCGTCATCCCCACCTTCAGCGCCGAGATGCCCTTCGACTTTGGCAGCATCATCCCCAACTTCTCGCCCATGATGCTCCTCCACGGCGAGCAGTACCTCGAGATCCGCAAGTTCCCCCTCCCCACGAGCGGCACCCTCGAGTCGCGCGGCAAGCTCGTCGAGGTCGTGGACAAGGGCAACGCGGCCGTCGTCAAATCCGCCCTCACCACCGTCAACAAGGAGACGGGCGAGGACGTCTTCTACAGCGAAATGACGGCCTTTGTCCGCGGCAGCGGAGGCTTCGACGGCCCCAAGAAGGGCCAGGACCGCGGCGCCGCCACCGCCGCCCACGCCGTTCCCAGACGTGCCCCTGACACCGTCGTCGAGTCCAGGACGGCCGAGAACCAGGCTGCCATTTACCGCCTCAGCGGCGACTACAAGTATGTCCTTTTCCCCTTCTCTCTCTCTCTCTCTGTCTCCCCTTCCTCTCTGGCCACGGCCTCGCCGGAAAGGCCCACTGCTGAGGCGCAGTAAACAGTCCCCTGCACATCGATCCCTCGTTTGCCAAGATGGGCGGCTTCAAGCGCCCCATCCTCCACGGTCTCTGCTCCATGGGCGTCGCCGCCAAGGCCATCTACGAGGCCTTTGGCCCCTTCAAGAGCATCAAGGTCCGCTTCGCCGGCACCGTCGAGCCCGGCCAGACCCTCGTCACCGAGATGTGGCGCGAGGGCAACAAGGTCATCTTCCAGACCAAGGTCAAGGAGACTGGCAAGCTGGCCATTGGAGGCGCGGGCGTAGAGCTGCTCGACGCCAGCGGCAGCAGCAAGATTTGACCATGACGTGTATCAACAACCGAGGAAGTCGGACGGGTGGAGACGGGCGCACCGGGTGGAAGCCATGTACTGTACAAAGAAATAAATTGTTCTGCATTGGAAACCGTCCACTCGGATCCATGGTGGCCTGTCCGCTTGACTGCGCCCTGGGATCGCATCGTGTCCGAGTATCGAATCTCGTGTGCGTCGCAGCATCGAGCACCGCTGCGGATGCCGACCTGAATACCTACCTACGTAGCTAGCGGTGTAGGCACATGTGTGTGCGTGAGATTCCGAGCTTGCCCGATCCAACCGCCGATATACATACATCCTCTGCCGGGCCCGTCGAGAAAAACGCCATCCATTGTATGCCCCGAAAGGTGATTGATTCCGCCCTGACAAAAGAAAGGGGGGGGGAAACAGAAACAGACAAGAAAAAAAGGGCCCCGGTAATGCAAGCCCAGCAGCGCCTCGTGTCAAAAGTAAATGGCCTCGACGAGAAGATCGAGAAAATCAGACAGCGTGGGCAGGGCCCCCATGGTGAGCAGCTGATCGAGCGTCGTGTTGGCGCCTCGCGATGCGACGCCCGTCTCGAGGTAGGCGACGTCGACGCCGGACAGGTCGCGCTTCTCCGAGTCCCGCCACTTCTTCTCGGCCACCTCGCGGGCTTGGCGGAGCACGGCGTCGACGTCCTCCGACTCCCAGAGGTTGCACCTGTCGCACTGCGTGCAGGCGCGCGGGTCGCCGTCCGGGCGGAAGTGGTCGCAGAAGTGCCGGTATCCCTCGTCGCCCAGGTCCGCGCGGCACACGTAGCACATCTTGTACCCGCACGGGCAGGTGAGCTTGTTGCAGCCCGCGTTCTTGACAAAGGACGTGCTGCAGCGCGGGCACACGCGCTTGACGGCCATGCTCATGGCCTGCTCGACCTGCGTTCGGAGCGCGACGAGGGACGACTCGTGGCAGACGTGGATGTCGGCCCATGCCTTGTGGCACGACAGGCACGACGCCCTGCCGCACCCCGGGTTCTGGCACGAGAATCGAAGGCCGCGGCGCCGTCGGCAGTGCCTGTGGACGGCCTTGTTCCACTCGCCGCCAATGTCTCGCCGCACGTTGAGCCCCACGCTGACGGTGAGGCATATCAGCGCTGCTGCGAGCGCGAACGGGTACGCGACCATCGAGACGCCCGTGATGACGGAGATGACTGCCAGGTTGAGGATGCTTCTTGTATTGAAGCGCGGCCGTCCTTGGCGCGAGGGCAGGTAGATGTCGTCGACCTCGGCGTAGCTGCAAAAGGGGCAGTGTATCAGCGGAACCTTGGATGCCGCGAGGCTGAGCTCCGCCAGCCGCTGGTCCAGCTTGTGGAGGATTTCTGCGCCAGTCTTTTCTTGCATGAATGCCCGGTGGATGTGGTCGGATGAGATGTGGCCCAGACACCCGCCGCCGCTGTCGACCGCCAGGCACCTCAGGGTGCCGGTGTCGGCGTTGATGTTGCTCAGCCATCCCTGGCCGAACAGAGCTTCCTTGATGGAGTTTTGGACGCAGTTGTGACAAATCATGTGCCCGTGTGTGCTGCAGCTCGTAAACTCCTCAAAGCTGTAGTCGACGAAGCAGCAGGCGCATTCATGCGTGGCGGATGCAGCTTCTGCCTCTTCCTGGTTGAGCAAGACGGCCAAGACTCGGTCCTTGACCTCTCGGTCATCCTTCATCTTTTGCTTCAGAGGCCGTACGAGTGCGTCGTACAGTTCGCGGTCCAGCTCGGCATTTTCCGTCGTCCTGATGGTGGGCGTGATGGAACCCTGCCCGGTCGATCGCCACACCACCAGTGGATGATTCTCCGCCTCCCCTCTCGCCAGGGGTTTGCGTCGCAGGAGGAGCGACTGTATCGTGAAGCGCCACGACTTCGAAGACAACGCCACCAGGGTCCGTCGGGCGTCGAGGTAGGAGTGGTTGGACTCTGCCAGCACGGCGTTGACGGTGGACCTGGACAGCCCGCGGAACTCGTGTGCGGCCAGCGTCCTTGCGGCCTGTATGTATTCCTGGCTTCGGAACATGTCGCTCTTGGGCAACGCCGCCGCGGCAGCCTGCTGCTTGTCCGCGACCTTCCATCGGCCCTTGACGCAGTCGACTCGGTTCTTGAGCAGAGCATTGGCCACCAGGGCCAGCCTCGACTCGCCGTCAAAGTTGGACAGCAACTCCCTAAAGACCTCGATTTGGATGTCCGGGAACACGGCGGCAAGCGCCTCAAGACTCGTGTTTAACTCCCGCAGGTTTGGCCGTTCTGGAGGTACGCACGGGAGCTGGGCCTCGTCAATGATGTATTCTGGCAGCAACTCGGTCTCCTGCGGCCTCGGCCGGTCGGCCGAGGCCTTGTCGGAGGAGAGGAGGCCGATAAACACCATGGCGACGTCTCATACTGGTGACGACAGCATGTTGGTATGGCGGCAGACGGCGTTCGGATAGTCTATCGCGAGGACGGGCGGCGGGCGCGATTGTGAAGGGGAGGGATTTTGCCAGTCATCACGTCGTCAGTCCGACGAAGCGACTTCGCTGATTGGCGTGGGGCCAACTGCGCGTCGGCCTGTCAGGTGTCTCGTCTCGGCAGGACAACAACCAGACTTTAGGAGCTCTCGTCGTCGGCTAGATTGAAGATTGGAGGCACACAACCACAACAACTGGGACATGTCAATATGCAAAAGATGGACCAGATTGACGCGCCGTGATTCGATTTATGAAAAGGCCGCATGCATCCCCAGGCGTCTGTCGCGGCTGTTGCGGACCAGGGGTTGGTTGGCGTTGCCACAACGAGGGAAGGAGCTCCTTCCTTTCCTGCCTTGCGCAGATTCACGCCACGCCACGCCACGCCAACCTCCAATTACAGAAAGTGGACACAAAACGTTGTTAATCGGCGTTGAGATAACCAAAATTAGCATCATGCCCATACCGATGCACTCTTAGCTCTCGCCTGACGTTGTGTTGGGTCGGTCATTCGACGGAGCATTAATACCGGCACTGTCGTAATGACGACGACCAAAAATGAGTCCTTGCGGCACTCCCACCCATCCCATTGCACAAATTTCACGAGTCAATCATAAACAGACATCTGCCGCATCAGTTTGCACAAACACCATAGTTACGATGACGACAAAAATATGGGTCTGGCCGGGGATTGAACCCGGGACCTCCTCTATACACGTTCTACGGAACGGGGGCCACATCCCGAAAGAGGAATCATACCACTAGACCACCAGACCACCAAGCCACGTTGCGCAGAGCAACGCTATTCGTCATTATAACCCAAAAAGGATATTTGCCGCCTCAGCAACTGCATCGAATGCTCGAGACAGCATCCATTTTTGGTCAAGGTGGCATGTCACGACGCAATGTTGGACGCATCGCAACGCTCGTCATTTTTGTCATGAATTCAAGCGGGCACATGTGGCGGAATAACGGATGGCTCAAACGGAATCAGCAAGCTTACCGGGGGTCGGTGAACATTGGTCAAGTTCTAATCCAGGCCTTGAACCCCTTGAACGCAAAGTTTTACAAAGCAGCGTGGGCATACTCATTCGCGTCTAGCAATGTACAAGTGCGTATCGACTGTCTTCTGTAAGTCATTACCGCTGCGTGCTGGTTTCTTCCAAGAGCCCATTCTGGTAGGGAAGTTCCATCAATTTAGCCACATGCAGCATGGTGTTTGAAAGCCGGTGTGTTGTGTGTGGATAACAAGGCGTCGTGAAGTATGCGAATCACGGGAATACCGGGCTTCGGCCTCATATACCAGCTAGTACAAGACAAAACACGGATGGTAATGGGGGCATTTTGCACCTTATTGTTGCAGCGTTGGCGGAAGTCAGGCGAGCAGAGAAGCTGTATGGCCCAGCAGCCTCGTGCCGGCTCGACCGAGATACCCGACGGCCGGTGGTGCTATATTGTCACAGGATGTAAAGAGTATCAGTGGTCCGTTGTATATAAACCGAGGGGTGCTCCGCACTCCGCTTTCGGGAGCCAAGAAACGCCTCCAACCGTCTAGCCGCTCCCGTTTACGGCCCCACTTATCCGGACTTGTGGGCGGCGGAAAAGCGGGGGCCGGATGACGACGAGTCGCCCTACAGGACTAACTATTACTACCCCTAATGAGAGATGGCGGGTATACAGTACAGTATATACATAAAGGGCATTTAATTGTGGCGCGGCGTAATTAGACTGAGCACCTTTTTTCTCTCGAGATGTGAATGCTTCCTCGTAATTCTACACAAGCTCCGCTACAGGGTGGCTACGCTGTTACATGTTCTGTCCACCGAGAATAGCCACGGGGGAATTTACTCGCAGCGGCTTCCCCGGCGTCGCCTCCTCAGCCATTGGTAACACACGGCCTCATTATTCAGTTGTTTGAGCGACTCGGGAGTCAGGACCATGCCAGCCCTGCCCCAAGCTCCAGAAGGCCCCGTAAATACAGGGCTTGCAGAATAGCTTGGCGCTTCTCCTCCTCTTCCTGCTCTACCCGAAGCTGGAGCGCTTGTATCCGGGTATCGCGCTGCTGGGCGTCGTGGACCTCTTGTCTTATCTTCACTAGGGCCGCAATGCAGTCCTCCACCGAAAGCTCTTCACTCTCCTCGCCACGAGTGCTCGCAGTGGCGGACGGGGCAGCTCGGGCGGTCGGCGAGTGCTCGGAGGCTCTCATCGGCCGGTCGGGGTCCAGAGCACGCACGAGAGGCTCGCTAAAGTCGAGCAAGTTGTCCATTCTGTCCGCGGGCCGGGGAGGCCTTGCTGGGTCCTGATCCCTGATACTTACCTGATGTGTTGTACTGCAATCCGGACCAGTGCGTCGTTGCTCTTTTCAAAACACCGAACATGTGACCACTGCAGGATCAATCCGCAGTCCACGTCCGTGGCTTGGTGTCCTGGGATACTGACAATCGCATCAGAGGCAATTCGCAGGGTCTGCACGGCAGTGGGGATGCGCACGACGTCGTACCAGTACTCCTTGAGGAGCTTCTGGGGCAGAGAGTCGTGCTCGAGACTTCGCGAGTCGAATGTATCTTCTCGGTGTCGAGCGTGGAAAAACTCCTTCTTGTTGCGCAGCGTGCCGAAGGAAATCCGGAGCCACCCGAGTCCCTCCCTTTGGAGCGTCTGTAGGTCGTCCTTGCTGACGGAGGGAGAGATGTACAGACAAAGGAAGACGAGTATGGCAAAATGCCCCGGCGCAGCGCTGGCTAGGAATCTGGCGTGCGAGTCGTGTCCGTGGAGGTGAGTCACTCGCCAGTCGCTCGTGCCCTGCGATCCGTCGTTGGAATTCTTTGGTACCGTGTGGACGCTCCAGTTTCTTCTTGACCCGTCGGGGGTGTGCTCGGGATTGACGGCATCATTGGGCGGGTTCAGGTCCTCTGGAGAAATAATGTGCGAGTTGAGAATGTGAGTGACTCGGTGGTTGTTCTTGTGCTGCTTGGAGATGCGGTCGAGCTGCCAGCAGTTTATGCACAGGTCGTAGTCGAAGCATTCGCTGCATTCCACGTGAGGCTGAGAGCACCGTACGGAATTCCCACAGGCATCGCATTGAACCACGACTTCTTTCGTGACGTCGTCGTTGGAGGTGTCGGACTGCCCGGCGTCCGCGGCTTGGCCTTCACTTCCAGAGGGTGTGCTAGTGTCTGGACTCGGGACGGCCTTTACGCCTGAGATTGGCGGTTCGCTGCTTGTTTTGCTCCTCTCTGGCAAGAAGGCACGATTCATGGAAAAGTCTTCTCTTGAATGAGCAGAGCTGGCTACAGGATAGGGCCGCCGCCCAGGAGGCCCAGATGAAGCAGACGAAGAGGCGGTACGCTGAGCCACGTCCCGTCGTGGCTCGCTTTGAGGACTAGTTTTCTGCTGCGTATATGTTGCAGAAGATGCTACCGGTGGGAGAGGCGCTAGTGCTTCTACTCGTGCCGTTTTCGACGGTCGTGGTTGGTAAGGCGGATACTGCGGGTTCGGTTGGATGTTTCCGCCATAAGACGTCGTTCCGTCTATCTGCCGAAAGCCGTAAACCCTACGGCGGGCATTTTCATCGTACTCATCGTCAGGATATGGAAGCGTTGACGCCTGCGGCGTGTAATGTGGCCTGGGACGAAACGCATTGCCATCGTCACGCTGAGGTGGCCGAGCCGGGCCGTGAACCGGGAGCTCAGCCACATATGAATGAACATATGACGTGTCTGGCAGATACGACTGGCCGCCCGCGTGGTAGCCTGTTAGAATTGCCCGTTAGATCGCTCGTATTCACGGCGCAGAATCCATGTCTCCATCATACCTGTCGCTCCCTGTCCAGGAGTTTTCACGGCGACAAGATCGAGAATACTGGTAAGGACAGGAAGCCAATTTTGGTCGTCGGCATCTCTGTACTTGCAAAGATCCCTGTGATTTGCCCACAATCCATACACTACTTCTTCGTTCGACATGCTAAGGATAGCGGAATTCTGTTCAACGATCTAGAGGCTACGCGTTAGCCCCTAGAAGGAGCGAGCAGACGAGAAGACAGATATGCCGTACCACCCGGGGCCCCAGCGGCATGGTTTCGTAAAACGAGTGAATGCGCATGTCTGTGCATATATTTGCGAATCGATTACAAGTCTGGAAGAGGGCGTCATTGTCCTTCTCCAGGCCCTTTAACAGGCCGCGATTGAAGACGCGCCATCCGGGCACAGCGGCTCCAGCAACTAAAGCCGCAACCTGCCCCAAGGTGGCGGCTCCGGATCCGCGGTGGGGAGTTCCCAAGAAGATGATGCCTTCGGTCGCCGAATGTATCGTGTTGTAGCGAGACTGGATCGAGGCTTCGACCAGGGCCTGTGCTGGTGAGAACGGCTTGTTTCCAGAACCAGCTGCGCCGTCTGTGAGTGACTCACCGATTTCACCACTATGCCCCCGAGAGAATGGCATATCCATATTATTTTGCGTCCCTGCAGGCTGTTATCATCTTCTCGCTCGTGAAGCTACTGGGAGCCCCGAGAAGCGTCGGTACCTCATAGCCCTTCCTGATACCCTTGACACGGTTCAGCAGAGTCAGAGCATGACCATATATAGTCTCCGTGCTGAAAGAGAAGCTCGCGTTATACCCGTATGTCCATATTCGGGCGTTGCACGGGGTCTCCTGGCTTCTCAGCCGCTGAGGCAGAAGGTCACGAAACCAGATGCAGTTGGTGTCGGGGTGCTGCCATGTCCTTGTTGGTCCGCCATTAAGACCATGAACGATGAAGATGCTAGATAAAAATGTATCAGCCACACGTACCGAAGCCACGGATCGATTTCCAAATATACTCGTGCGTGCAGAGTTCATTGGGATTTCTGGGAGAAACAAGATAGAGCCCAGGCTCAGCTTGCTCTCTGAAGAGGACTTGGGGGTTGGACTTTGAAGTCTTAGCGTCATCTGGATGATTGTCGATCATCGGAAGGAGAATGGGCTTACCGTTGGGTCCATTGCAACGCAGTCCCAGGACCTGATATTGAGAAGTTCCTGCGGATTATGTCGACGCTCTGGTGGGTGAGGAGAGATGTTGTCCGTGGACCCGTTAGAGTAGGGGACACGAGCGACAGCGCTACGGGAGAGAGCGGCATATTCCATTTCTGGCCTCGTCTCATCTGCTCCTATGTTATTGCAGTGCGTGTATGCAGGCTAATTAGTAATAAGCCTCGTACTTGGATGCCCAGCTTATGAAACGGGCTTTCAGATTCCATTGCAGGGGATGCGACTGGCATGCAAAGTCACGCTCGCATGCATCAGGGCCCAATGCGTTTCGCCGCTTATTGTACAAGCTCTCAATATAGCAAACAGTACTCATTTGGGGGCCAATTTATCGTTGTATATTCTCATCCTTTCTGCTAGACGGCTAATCTACGTCGACGTTGGGACGCAGGCACGGGGTTCGGCTTGCTCTTTCTCGACCGCTTTATGATGTATGGAACGGGCGACCTTTGGTCCGAGGTGTTTGGCTTTTCGTGCAAGATTGACTCGACGTTCGTCCATGTTCGTGGCACGACCAAGTATGCAACCTCCTCACATGTATGCCACAGGGGCTTCGCCAGGATCCCCGAGGTCAGCTGCGGGCTTCGGCCTCAGCTCCTGGTTCAGCTCCTAGTTGATCAAGGCCTCGGCTGTACAACCCGTACCGGCCAACGGACGACAAAATTCGCCCCGTATCATCGGACCTGCGGATGAGCTGTGATGACGCGAAGATCCAAGAAGGATGCCAGCAAACGGCGGCTTTCTGGTTTTTGATGCCAAGAGTACTTCGTAGTGCAATTTGGTCCACTTACTGTTGACTCATGGCAAGTTCTGTTGTTTTGTTTGCCAATCATCTCGATGTCGTGGCGTGTACTTCACAGCTCGAGTCCCCAGCTTCCGGCGAATACAACGAGACGCAACATAGACCACGCATCATTGACAGTTCCAAGAGATTGTGGCGGCCATGGCCCCTCACATGCGGCGGGCTTCGCAGGGCTGCAGCCAGGCTGAGCCTGCTCGTAAGGATTGCTGTCGTGTGTTGATGAGGACGAGACACCGTTTCTTTGCAGGTTCCGCGTCCATGTCTGGGTCCCCGCCAAAAGGAAACCGCCACTCCGACTCCGCCGTCTCCAACCTCGAGCCCACCACAGCTCGGCTCGACCCCGTCAACCCAGCACTCGGCTTCATCTCAATATCCGCACCGCGCCGCAACGCAACGCACCGCACCGCACCGCACTCATCCTCCACAACACCGTCCCAGGCTCCGTCCAGTCCTCCAGCCATGGCATCAAGCACCTCCCCAGCCGCTTCCCTCCTCAAGCGCCAGCTCAAGGACATCCAAACGGGCAAAGACCTGCCCGGCATCTCGTGCGGTCTCGCCAACGACTGCAACATGTTCGAGTGGGAGGTGATGCTCATGATCAACGACGACTGCAAGTACTACGGCGGTGCGCCTCTCCTCCCGCCCCTCTGATGACGCCCTCGTGCTGCCTCTGCCCGAATGCCCGCAGCACCCCTCGACCCCCTCGACACCCTCGACATTCTGGCTAACGCCCTCGTTTCTGCAGGAGGCAACTTCCGAGCCCGCATGGTCTTCCCTCTAACATACCCGCACATGCCGCCGTCTCTGACGTTCCAGGCCCCCATCCCCTTCCACCCCAACATCTACGAGAACGGCAACCTCTGCATTTCCATCCTCCATCCTCCCGAGGACGACGAATACGGCTACGAAACCGCCGCCGAGCGATGGAGTCCTGTCCAGTCCCCGGAAACCATCCTCCTCAGCACCATCAGCCTGTTTCATAGCCCCAACGACGAGAGCCCCGCGAACGTGGAGGCCGCGAGGCTGCTGCGCGAGGAGAGGGAAGGGAAGCACAAGGACTTCAGGAAGAGGTGCCGAAAGTGTGTCCGCGAGAGCTTGGGGGAAGATTGAAAAGTGACGAAACGGGTACGATACGGGAGACTTGGGGCGTTTCTTTGTTCGTTTTCTGTTTTCATAGCAGCGGCGTTTTCCATCCGACTCCAGGAGTTGGTTGGTCGGTCGGTATTTGGTGGCTGCCACTTCCCACGAGGGGCGTCGAGTTTCACGGGCGGTGCAAACGGCATGTAGTTATAGTGAGACAACTAGTAAAGCTTGCTCATATTGGGGCGCTGCTTCGCGGCATGTCTCTAGTGCTTGACTTGCTGCGCAGCTGGTGTTTTGCTACCAAAGCCCAGGACGGGGGCCACGACACGGTCCCATTCCTCGTCCCATCGCAGAGAACCCTCCTCGATGGCTGCCTTCCTGAACCGGGCCAGCTCGTCCTGGCCCTGGGCGCTCAACAGCCTCCCCAGGATGTCCGTCAGTTGCGCTGGGGTCTCGAAGCCGCACCCGTTTTGTCCCTCCTTGACGAGCTCGCTGAAGCTTTCAAATGCACTGTAAGCTGCTACGGGCAGACCGGCACCAAACATGTCGACCACCTTCATGGGCAGGTCAACGCCGGAGCTGGACTTGTGCAAAGAAATCCCGAGGTCGGCGCAGCCGAGGAGCGAGGCGTAGTCGCGGTTGGATAGCCAGGCTGTCAGAATTTTGATGCCAGGGAGCCGCCCGTTGTCCTGGATCTGCTTGATCATCTCGAGGTACTTTTCCCTCTCGGGGCCTTTGCCGGTGATGATGGCCAGAATGGGCGAAGGCGGCTCTCTGGAGGCGTCGTCTTCGCTGGGGTTCGCATACAGCACAAGGGCTTCGAGAAGAATGTTAAAGTCCTCGTCTGGAGTCCACGACGTGCTGCTGACAATGAGCCGCATCGTCCCGTCTAGGATGTCCTTGGCGTGTGGTTTCGTCTCGGGCAGCCGCGACAGGAACTCCCGTCTCGCTTTGGCAGAAGTGATTGGTTGGAAGAGGTCAAGAGGGCGGTCATGCAGAGTGTAGACCGGCTTCTTCAAGTTGAATCTCGGTCCTCGAAGCTCACGGGCCATGGCATCCGAGACGGCGAGGTTGGCGTTTCCGAGGACCTTGCCAAGCGCCATCTCGTACCACTTGTAGAATGGGACGAAGATGGAGTACAGGGGTTTCTGGGCAAGAATGGTGTGTCCATAGTTGTGCCAGTCAACGACCACTTTGCTCCCACGGACGAGAGATACGACGAGGGCGACGTGGAAAGTGGGAATCGAGGGGGGGTTCTGGGAGCGTCAACGCCATGCGGTCTTCTTTGCAAGCTCGGATTGCTCATCGTACCTGAATGATGATCCATTTTGCGGCCGGAGTCGCCCACATCATGGTGTGAAACAGAGTCCAGAACTGCTGAATGACCTTGCATGGTATGTTCAGGAAGAAGGGCAGCGTTCCCCATGCAATCCACTCTGGTTGCGGCGCGAGAGCATACATGGACACTCTTTCATTGCCAATGAGGTCTGGGTGTCTGGCTGTTTCTGCGAGGCATCGACGTCAGCGGCATCCCGGTAGAGAACAGAGGAGGAAGACTGTGCCGCGTGCTCACCCTTGTAGGCCACAATGTCAACCTTTCTGCCGTGCTTGGCAACGCTGATCGCGTGATACTGCATGCGCGGACTTCTCCCAATGTCGCCCAGGACTAGAATCTGAACGTGGTCATCGTCGGGTTTCTGTGAAGCTCTATAACGGGTTGGGATGAAGTGGTAAACCGCTGAAGCTAGCCATCCGAGTGCCCGGAGGCCATGTTTCATCAGGAACACAGAGACAACGCCAGCGGCAAGGGACAAGAAAAACGCTGCATCCATGGCCGTGAAGCTGAAAGCTCAGACAACTAGAACCTGAACCGTCTACTTGACTCCGGGCCACTCTTGCTGGCCCGCGTATCCAGGCAGGTTTGAGACGACAGCGCAGTTTGCGGTGTCCTTGACATTGGCTTGCAGCGTTGGCAGGACAATGCAAAGCTGACAAGGCCCAGCTCAGCGTGTAGCGTGTAGCGTGTTGCGTGTTGCGTGTCGGATGTTGGATGTTGGATGCTGGATGTTGGATGTTGGGTGAGGGATGGCTTCGCTCAAACGCAGACGTGGGATTGCTGAAGCCTTGGTGGTCGAGACTGGGCAACGCCGCCGCTTTTTCCCCTCAATGACGCCGCCTAGCCTTGTGTCGTCCTACAGTATGAGACAGCGCCGTCTTGTCTAGGATTCTAGTTGTTGGTGAAGCCAAGGGACGATACTTGTACGCGCTTGATTCGGGGATGGACACGGTGGTGCGTTGGTGTTGGCGTTGGTGGTGTCGAGCGCGTGGGGCAAAATCTGGCGCAGCTTCTTGGTGACATGGCTATGAGTCTATGACTGTCAACGTTCGGCCGAGCCTCACCAAGCTGCGTCTTACAACAGGTCGGTCGAGCAGTATGCGAGAAACATTGAGAGTCCCTTTGGGGGTTTGCAATGGGGTCAGATATAGTACGCTCCTCGTGTGCCTCTTCTTCACTCACGAGCCGCCATCTCCACACGGGTAAAGTCTTGGTCCGACAGTTGCGTCGCCATGGGGTATCAAATGTTTTCATTACGCCTGTCATCTCTGGGAGGGAGAAAAGACTACTACTTCTTGGATGACCCAAATCCAGTAAAGCCCATCTGAGCCATCATGTCATCTTCGTCGTGCTCTCCTTCGACGCGCACATCCTCCCCGTATTCCGTCTTCACCTTGGCGGCGTCCTCCCTTTCTTTCCGCTTCCTCTCCGCTTCCTCTCTTCTCCGGCGCCTTCTTTCCTCGAGTTCCTTTTCCCTCTCCTCCTCTCGCATTTGCAGCCTCTCGTGTAGGCTGGTGGCCTTTTCTTTCTCCAGTTCTTCCTTCTTTCGGATGTAGTAGGAAATGCGCTCGTGAACCTCCTCCACAGTAGCACGTTTGACCTCGGTCGTTTGGCCGGTATTCAGCAGATGCTGCGTGGTGTTCAAATGCTCGACGAATTGCTTATTGTCCTTGAACGTGAGGTCGCACGGCTCGCAGTAGAAGCCGGCGCTTCGACCCCGTTTTCCGACGCCGGCGCCGGCGGGCACGAGCTGCGTCTTGCCGACTTGTGCCGTGAGGTCAATGACATTTCGTCTGGCTGTCGTGTACTTCTCATCGCCGGTCAGTGGCTTGTGGTATTTTTTGCCGGCGAGTTTTGCTTCGTAGCGCGCCTTGGCCTCCTCCTTCTCTTTGGCCTCGCGTTCCCTGGCTTTGGCTGCGTATTCGTCTAGGTCCCACGTCTTTCGAAAATCGGTGTCGCTGGCCGGGGCACCATATGCGCTGCTTTTTTTGGAGTCGGCCATGGTGGCGGCGACGCGGCCGCTTGCTGTTGTATGCGCTGCGTGATGCGTCGTTGAACCCAGTCTGGGCTGATGTTGCTCTCGCGCTCGCGCTGGCGGAAATGTTTCCACTGGGAGCAGGCTGGCTGGGGTGACTGCTAGCGACTAAAGTACTTAAGGTACATGCGCAGGTACTTTGCCCAACAGGTACCCGTACTGGTCTGGTGGCTGAAAGATCACTCGGGACCTGTCTGATAGAGAGCTGTGCCGTGGAGGGGTATTTTTTTTTTTTTTGGTACCTCACAAACGTCAACCACTCTTGGTTCGCTCGTTTTTGTCTTGGGTTCTGTGGCTTTCTTCAGGATGCTGTACCTCGTGGGACTTGGTCTCTCCGACGAGACCGACATCACGGTCAAAGGTCTAGAGGTCGTCAGGAAGGCGTCCAGGGTGTATTTGGAAGCCTACACCAGCATCTTGCTTGTAGACCAATCTGTGCTTGTAAGCCCTCGTCGTGGCTCACGTTGGCATCTTGACTAATGTTCTTTCGCAGGAGGACTACTATGGCCGGTCAATAACAATCGCCGACCGTGAAATGGTCGAATCAAACAGCGACGAGATGCTGCGCAGCGCCCAAAACGAAGACGTCGCCTTCCTTGTCGTCGGCGATCCATTTGGGTGAGCACAGGATGCTAGCGACTGCGCGCAAACGAGGCTGATTAGGACGCAGCGCGACGACACACACCGACCTAGTTATTCGAGCTCGCGAATTGTCTGTCCCTGTGCGGACTGTACCTAACGCGTCCATCTTGTCCGGCATCGGCGCTTGCGGCCTTCAGCTATATAATTTTGGACAAACAGTTTCCATGGTATTCTTTACCGAGTCGTGGAAGCCTGCCTCGTTTTACGACCGCATCAAAGAGAATCGTGCCATTGGTTTACATACGTTGGTCTTGCTGGATATCAAAGTCAAAGAGCAGAGTCTGGAGAACATGGCTAGGGGGAGATTGGTCTATGAACCCCCGAGATACATGACGGTTGGACAATGCGCGAAACAGATGATTGAGATCGAGGACGAGAAGAGGGAGGCTGCATATACCCGCGATAGTTTGGCCGTTGGGGCGGCACGAGTGGGCGGGAAGACAGAACAGTTCGTTGCTGGGACGTTGGAGGAGCTCTGTTCGACTGACGATCTGCTTGGTCCTCCTCTGCATAGTTTGGTTTTGCTGGGAAGGCGAACGCACCATCTGGAACTCGACTACGTCCGTGAATTCGCTGTAGATAAGGAGAAGTGGGATAGGATTTGGAAGGAGGACTACGGAAAACAACTCTGAATGCAGGCCATGACACACCGAAGAATCTATCTAGACGACGAGGGTTGAAGGATTCATTTACGAACTTTCAGGATGAGACAGTGCCTCCTCGGCGACATGACATTTTGTAACTTGTGCCCAGGCTTCCACTGATGGACCGCTCCCATTCATCTGACTATGCGATGCAGTTCTTGGCAGCACGACCAACACGGCAAAGTTTCGGTTTCGACCCCGGGTTCGAGGTTCGCAGTTTGGCAAATAAATGTCCAGGGACGTTCACGTGAACAGGTACCTAGACACGTAATAGCGCGCGGACGGGTGCTCTGAGCACTGTCCTCAGCTTCATCAGCCATTATCGCAAGGCAACTTATTAGACTTTTGACCGGTTCGTGACAATTTGCGACCCGTCTGGTGCGAGCTCCGCCGTTTTTAGAAACAGGGGGCCGCGCGCGTGGGTGCTTTGTCTAGGAGGTTCGGTTTGAAGCTCGATTCGAGCGTCTGACGGGTCGATCATGGCCTGATGCTGATGTCCCGAATCACATCGCCGAGACATGCCGTACGTGTCATGTCATGTCATTGGAAAAAACGTTGGACTATTTGCTCGCGCGCAGGATTTCAGCAACGGTGAAACGTAAAAAGCGCATTCTCGGATTGGTCAATCCCAACTCCAAATGTTGCCATCACAGGATGCGATGAAACGACACGGCTAGCCCAGTGCTTGCATCCTCTTCCGCCTCTGGTGGGTCCCGACGACCTGCTGAAGCGGCCGTGTAACGAGCACGTAGCCACATTGATCAGTCCAATTGTCGGGCAAGTGCGCCGATGACACAATTTATGTTCAACCCCCCCAATGCAAGGTCCTGGTCTCGTCACTATGTCCCAACTTGCAACTCAATCCTGCAACTTCTCCATCTGCATCACCATACTCCGTACTCCGTTCCCCTTCCCCATACAACCCAACTCGCCGGCCTTCTCTGCGGCCTCGTCAGACTGACAGTGTTGTTTGGCTTGGCCACACCCTAATTGCACCCCCACCGCAGCCAGTTGGTGCCGCCTTCCCGGCTTATCGATCCGACATTCGGATTGCTCCAGGCATCGCTCAACATCGTGTCGTGGATCCTGTGTTTTCCTGCCTCGGATTCAGGACGTGGAGTTCAGGAGCCATGTACGGAGTACTCCGTACGACTTCACTGAACTGCTAATTTCCACTCCTTTTTTTCCCCCTTTCATCTCCACAGTGTGCACTCAGAGTCAGTTCACTCATCAGCCATCAACGACCCCACAGGGTTTTGATTACTTCAGTTCTCAGTTCGTGTACGGAGTGTTCTGGGGAGACGTCTTGCGTTCCCAATACAACGGAAAGGAGGCTACCCAGGTAGTCCCCTCCACCAGCAAACCCGACGTCCTGACTTGCATTGTCTCAACCGACCAAAACCGCAGCTTTTGGTCCTGGGAAGCAACTTCCCATTATGGCTGGCCTTTCGACGGTAAGAAAAGCCTCTCCGCCATCTGACATTATTCAGGCAAGAGCGCCGGAGTTTGCTAACCTTCGCGTAGGCGGCCTTTCCTTGGGAATGCCGCGATAAGGAAGACCAAGCACAGGCATCCTTTCACCATCCCATGAGACGTGCAAACCGGATTCTTGTAGAAGAGAACATGCGGTTGAAGAGAATTCTACGGGAAAATGGTATATCCTGGTCACCTCTGGCGCAAGCACATCTGATAAAGCAAAACCCTGCTCCTCGACGACGGACTCGTGCCTCCATGTCCGCATACGAGCTTGGCCGTCCCACTTTGCCGACTGAGGTTATTCTCAGGATTTTGAAATTCGCCTTGAAGAGTCCCTATCCTGTCATCGATCCCTTGTCTAGACTGTGTCATGAGCATCTTTCCGAGAAGGAAAAGACACGCGGCAACCAAGTTGCGATACACTTCCTGGCTACTTGCAGGGTTCTCCATACAGAGGGCACTCGATATTTTTGGGAGTCGAACCGCTTCACCTTCACCACCCCTGAAGCTCTTCGCAACTTTTCTGAATTGAGCCCCCAGTATCGGAATCAGATCACGCACCTAAACTTGCGCATCATCGCCCGCTATTACGACGATCAACGCCGAAAGCACAGACTCGACCGCAGCTACCATGCTGACCTCAAGAAAGATCAACTATTGAAAGTTAGGCTACGGCCAAAGGAGCCACCGCTCATCAGAGGAGGCTTTCGATGTTATACCTGGTCCCAGATTACAGACTTTTTGATGGCGCTTCGTGCGCCGTACGATCCAAACTACAAAGACAAGAATAATAATCCTAGACCTCGACTTCTTCCGGGGCTTTTGTCGCTGCGACTGGATCTCGTCAATTTTTCGGAGACACTTCTCCCCTTTTCCGGCTCTGAACTGCATGAAATCGCGTCCCATGAGCTAGGATGTACACTCAACGAACTCCAAGTAACGGGCATGCCGTTTGACGACGCTGGAATGAAGGCTTCGGCCGAATTGAGCGGCATGCTCAAGGACGAGGGTCTGTTTTTGGATGGATCGCCATCATTCATTGCCCACGCCAAGCATTTGCAGCCATTGTCCGGGAAACGTTGGTGTGCTAGGGTTGTCAGGGCATTCAGGGGTAAAGATGACGAGTCCGATTCGGACGAGCACGACGAGGATGATGAAACGGATGGGTCTGGTATTCACGGACACGCCCACGCGAGAATCGGCACCATGCCGCCTGCTCCAGCAGAAGAAGGCCACCCAACATCATCGCGAGACCCAGAGAAGATAATATGGAAGCGAGTTCCGCTCAACCGTGATGACGACGCGCGGTATTGGGTCCAATTTTCCCGGCGCGGCGGTTATGAGATTATAGATCCTGGGTGGGAGACAGACGAGGAACGAATCTGCCCATGCTGTGGCGAGGGTCACCCCAGCGCATCATCCTTCCTAAGCTTAATGATGGAACATGATGATGATGATGATGACGACGACGACGACGACCTGATGGATCTTGAGTAAAGGAAGGATTAGGCGCTTCGCAAGTTATTGATGTCGACTTTTTTTCCTGAGAATGTTTGGTCGTTTCACCCGGCCAGAGACTAGAACCGTGATAAGATCAATGTACCTGGATGGCCCGACGGAGTGCGCTGACTTAGTTTTGATAACGTCGCTCGATAGATACCCTAGGACTGTGAGAGGGTGATTCCTGACTTGCCGTGTCGATTAGCTTTGCAAGATGGTTTTGGCCGCTAGGCCGCAGGCCGAATACTAATAGAGCAATGAATCCATGGGAGTATCCGTACGTTGTGTAACGAGTCGTTGAGCCGCAACTGAGAAGGGGGGGAACCGCGGAGGCCCCACCAGCCAGCGCTGGACCGGACGGCATTTGTAAGCGCCCCTGGTGACCAAACCACCCACCCCTCGCCTCGCCATCAGTTCATCCATCACCTTCGCGTCAGCCTACTTGTGTAGTACTCGACATCACGACCGTCGCCGGGCGCCCAGCCGTCGAGTCTTGTCGATCCTCAGTCCGCACACGTCACTGCTCTACTGTGCTCTGCGATGGACTTTACAGCTGCCCGGCTGCGGCTTTCAGCCATGGCCGTGGCCGTGGTCGTAGCCGTGGCCATGCTCGCCACCACAGGCCTGTCCGAGCACACAAGCAATTGGGCTGTCCTCGTGTGCACGTCGCGATTCTGGTTCAATTACCGCCACCTGGCAAATGTGTTGTCCATATATAGAACAGTCAAGCGATTAGGCATACCCGACTCGCAAATCATCCTCATGCTTCCGGATGACATGGCTTGCAACCCACGCAATGCATTTCCCGGCACCGTCTATAGTAATTCCGATCGAGCCGTTGACCTGTACGGCGACAATATCGAGGTCGACTATCGCGGCTACGAGGTCACTGTCGAGAACTTTATCCGACTGCTGACGGACCGTGTTGGCGACGAGATGCCTCGCAGCAAACGCTTGCTGACCGACGACCGGAGCAACATTCTGGTGTACATGACAGGGCATGGGGGAAATGAGTTCTTGAAGTTTCAGGACGCCGAGGAAATTGGTTCTTTTGATCTTGCAGATGCTTTCCAGCAAATGTGGGAGAAGAAGAGGTGCGTGACACACCGAGAACTGTACACCGCTGCTGGGTTTCGGCATCAAAGCTAACGAGGCCTTTGACAAGATACCACGAGATTCTTTTCATGATTGACACCTGTCAAGCAAACACCATGTACAGCAGGCTCTATTCGCCAAACATTATCGCCACTGGGTCATCCGAACTCGATCAATCATCATACTCGCACCACGCCGACAATGACATAGGTGTCGCCGTCATCGACCGATACACCTACTACAACCTGGAATTCCTTGAGAGCCAGGTCAAGGATCTGAACAGTCCCCGGACTGTAGGCGAACTGTTCGACAGCTACGACTACGAAAAAATTCACTCCAATGCCGGCGTTCGGTACGATCTGTTCCCTGGTGGCGCTGAAGCTGCGCGCAGCCGCCTCATTACCGACTTCTTCGGCAACATCCAAAACGTGGAGGTTGATCGCGACTCCAGCTCATCCCTCGATGAGAAGCTACTAGCCCTCAGCAAAACCATTTCTCTTCTGCGAGAGAAGGAAGCCGAGGAGATTGCAGCTCTCAGGAACGCGTCCTCTGCGCCGGCCAGTGCTCCTGCCGAGCCAGTCATCAAAGTTCAACGCGCCACAGTCTTGACAGACGATAAGTGGTGGACCAAGAAGGTTGTCGGTGCGACGGCTCTGGCCGGCTGTGGAGTATTGTGGGCAATTGGCTCCTTCTTAGAGATATAAGCGACAGAACAGGATTCTAATAGACATGAACAAGAAACTTTTAGAGAGTGAACGGCCCTGTCGAAGGGTCCTCGGAATACGAGCAAGTCCATCGTGATGCGACTCTGCAGGCGTGGACTTGGGATGGCGTCGATTGAAATGGAGGCGGGCAGGTTTGCTATGCAGAGCCGTGCATTCTTTGCACCGATCTGTACACCATTGTAAATTAGAGACATGAACAGACATCTAGAGTCTTGAGGCAAATCTATTGAGCAAGCTGCTGGCTATATCTCACGACAATTGTCGGTCCAACCTTTCGCCTTGCACTCTGCCACGGGAGGTACGTTATCAAAGACGCCTTAGTCAGCAGAAGGTTGATTGACGACTCATCGCTGGACGGCACCAAGCAAGGGTTTGTCCGAGGACAGGACTCGAATAACCTGGTTCCCGTTTCTTCTCTACGATGTGTAAGGCCGAGTTGCGCCTAGTGCGATAAAATATGCGTCATCTCTTTGGACTCACTAATCTGGGCTTCGTTGCGCTACATAAAAATGGATAGGTCAAAGGTGAGTAGAGTAGAGCAACAGGGAATGCCGTTTAGCACGTTTATCTACTGTGTCAACTCACACAACCATGATGCGTGTTCACGATCAACTCGAGAACTACGACAAGTCCTGCACGCTCGGGCTCAGGTTCACCTCAGAATTTGACATGATGGCTGATGGATAAGCAGGCCCGGCCTCTCGAGCCTCTGGAGTTGAAAGCACGTCCTCTGGCTTACCACGCCATAGCTTGGTCATGCGATGCCGAACTAGCCGTCGCAACAGATGACACAATTCACATTTTCCTGCCCGAGTACCCCAGGGCAGGCCGCAACCCCGAAGACGCCGGTGACGACGACTCCCTCCAACCCCAGTTCTCACTCACGCTCACGGCCTGCGGCATCGTCCGCCCGGACCCTGCCATCAACGGTCCGTTGTGCGGCTTTGCGGGCGTGAGCCTGCCTACGTCCGGACCCGGCGAACCCCTCGTGTTCAGGGGAGTCGGGGGTTCTGAAGCGACCAAGGCTGGTTCAGCCCTGGGGCAGACCATCCGCGTGGAATGGTCTCCCAGTGGCCTGGGGCAAAACTTGCGGCCCATCTTGACAGTCATGACCACCTCGGGAAGCCTCGTTGCGTTGGGCGAGTATATCGATCAGAAGACGGCAATCTCGTCGAGTTCTCGGGCGAGGACATTCAAAAATTGGAAATTGCTCTGGGGCTTGGGTGCGAACTTGCCCATTCCTGACGGTGAGAGCAAGCGTGGATTCAGGAACATGAATGAACGGATTGTGTCGTTTTCTTGGGCCAAGGAAATTACTCCGGGATCGGGGCTGTTGGCGTATTTGAATGACGTCCGCGAGGTCGTCATCGTTGCTGTACAATTTTTCCGCAGGTCTTCCGAGCCGGATGAGTCTTCTCCTGACGTGGCGGGATGGGGGATATTTGAGATTGATCGATTCGACGGGAGAGGTCCGCACGATGTGGGTTGCGTTTCCCGGTTCCTACTTTACAGATTGGCAGAGGCGCCGTTGCGTTTGCTGACAAGTGTAGGCTACTGAGACGGCAGATCCAGAATTCGTCCCTACCGGAGGCCCCTTTTCGTTGAGATGGAGCCCGTGGCACATCACGAGCGAGTACCGTACAGCAACCGTGGCGTACCTGGGAAAGAACCACGTCGGGTTCCGGCGCGTCACCATTCAGGGACGCTGGCACCGAGGCCAAGATCCGAGTGTTCGCGTCGAGGAACTCGACACCACATCGATATGTACCTTCTTATCTGCAGATGCGTTTGTGGAGTGGGAAGACACGGTACTCCCTCGTTTCGAAGGCTTGGCAGGAGCAGAAGCTAACGCTCGGCAGGTCTGGCAGCATAATGATGAGCGAATGGCCCGCGGCATAATAGCCACGCCGTTTGTCGTCAAGCCCTTCCAAGTTGATCTCTGCGCAAACCCAGCCGCATGTCCCGCACACCACTCACCTCGAGACTGCTCAACTTTATATCCTGGACCCGGCGAAACTTGTACAAATCCCATAACAGGTGTGTTTACTTGCATTCCGCTCTCACCTTTTCCCCCCTACTGCATCTCTTTGGTAAGCTGATTCACCAGGCCTCGTCGTCCACCACCCGAGTCCATCCGCGAAACCCCACGAGCCGCTGTACACCCTCGTCCGGCTCTCTGCAACCGCCAACAACCAAGACTGGTACCAGACCAACCTCCCGCCAACAACCCCTCTCCCCCAATGGGCCGAGCGCATCCGACGGTCCGTGGCCCGCGAGGTGTCCCGCGTCGAAGCCCTCGGCGGCATCGACTCCGAATCAGACACCGACTCCGAATTCGACGAACCAGAAGTCCACGACATGGCCCTCGCCTCGGAAGAGGACGTCGCTTCAAAGGTGCACCCTCACCGCTTCCGGCTCTGGGGGCTTGCCTCCTCGCCCGCAGACGGATCCATGGCCGCCCTGGTATCGAAGCACGCCACCCAACATGCTGAGAGACGGCCACGCTCCAGAATCATGTTCTCATGGGACACCGGCGAGCACGCAGACCCCACGGCGCGCCACGTGCCAAAGCTGACCACGGAGGGGACGATATGGGAGTCCATGTACGGGAGAATACTAGACATGCCGAGTTTCCTGCTAGGAACCACGGACCGGTCGCTGGTGCACGAGACGTCCCTGAGGAGGGCCTTCAAGGGCGTCATCCCGCGGCAAGAGTGCGTCTTTTGCGGCACGGGCCTGGTCACGCTCGGCGACGAGTCCGTGTGCGAAAGGGGCCATTCTTTCGGTGAGCCGCGCCGTCCGTCTCGCTTCCCGTCGCGGGGGCCGTTCTCGCTAACCCACACGGCTCAACAGCTACGTGTACTGCCACGGGGCTTGCCATCATGGCGCCGGCCGTGTCCAGGGTGTGCTCGGTATGCGGGCTGCGCTGTCTGAAGCTGTCCGAGCTCGTCCGCACCGCGAGGCGGCACCTGGGGGCGGACGCGGCGGTCGAGTCGGCGGGAGAGCTATGCGGTGGCTGTGGCGGCAAGTTTCTGCTTTGAGCGATGCACGCTTACGATGGTGTTGGCTGGCGAATCCCCCGCGGGAGGAGGACGGCGCAAGGCGTTGCGTCACGTCACGTCACGTCACGGCCGGTTCGACTCTGCGGTGCCCCTCCGGGCACACCAGTTTCCCGTCCCTGTTACCCATGGCCCCCGAGTTCAGAGTCGTGTCCCGCCCACGACCGACCCGTGCACTCGCCTTGAGGCATCGTCTTTCCGAGCTTGCCGGCTCCTGCGAGCCTGGCTTGCCGACTCTTTCCCTCAACGGGCTTCAGAGTCGCTGCTGCGTTGAGCGTATCTGATGAGTGCGTATCTAGGTGCGGCTCAGCTCGCAGCCGTCTGTCTCTCCATGGGTCTGCATTCTCGACTCGGTCTTTGGCATGCAAGGACAGAGTTTCTGCTGACCGTGTAACTAACAGGACCAAGGTGGTTCTGTACACTGAGACTGATAGGATAGTACAGCGTGGTACGTGAACCAGTGCAATGTATCTGCCAACCAGGGTTCTTATTGAAATGCATCAGTCACATTTCTAATCCTGATCCTACCCGCATGACATCCCGACGGTCCTGCGACTGTCAAGCCATCTACCTCAACCTGCTTCCCCAGCAGCCAACCCATCCGGCCAGAGCACGACACCGATGAGGCCATACCATACCCTGCCCGGATTCCCATCAAGCCCGACAGAGACTAAATCTAAATACAAGTCGAGCAGCCCGCGTAAAACCAATGCTCATCTCGAGAAACGAGCCCCAAATTCCGTGCTCGTCATCATACAGTCGACATCATTTGTGCAGGCTAATCTCTCCCATCATCCATTCGCCCGGTATTACCAGACTCCAGAGCTCCCTCCAAGGCACGTCAAGTCGACGCAAAAGAAAACTGAGACAGCTACAACAAGCAGTAGCTGAGAGAGCATGGTAAACCGTCTGGCATATGTGAGCGAAAATATCAACATCAAAAAGAAAGTAACAGAAGTTGAACAACTCAGGTGCCAATATCGGATCGAGAGTAAAACAAGAGAGATGGGTGGGGGAGAGAAATAAAAGTGTAAAAAGAGCAAAATACAGAAAAATCGAGGCCAAAAAAAAAAAAAATGAAAGGACATTGGGGCTTCTGGTTTAGCTCGGTTCCCGGTATTCTTTTCGCCACCGTCCCGTCCCATGTAGAAAAAAAAATGCACATTACTGGGGTAGTTTGATATCCATCCAACTGCCCAGCATCTTGAAACGCCATTCCTTTTTAGTTAATCCGTACTCCTCTTTTGACCCCCAAACCAAGCTTGCAGAATTCGCATTGTTTCAGTTGCCGAATGAGATTGTTTCAGGCTCTGTACCTCAGTAAGCCTGACCCGGCACCGGCTTTCTGCCAATTGGTCTAGTTGGGGGGCCATTGGGAGGACCCGGAGGTGGTGACTGAGCAGGTCTAGGTCCAACAGGTCCCGTCGCTCGGTTCATCCCGCCTGGACTTGCAGAGCTTCCATGACGGGGCCCAGGACTTGGGGGAAGTCCTGCCGGGCTCATAGGTCGAGGGCTCGGGATACCAGGAGCACCCTGGCCCACTCGAGGACGAGCCTGGGGAGTCGTGCCTTGGGGAGTCATCGGTCTGCTGCCCTGGGGAGTCATTGGTCGGGCTTGGGGAGTCATTGGTCGGGCTTGAGGAGTCATCGGTCGGCCATGTGGCGTCATGGGCCTTTGTCCGGGACCTTGGGGCTGGTTGGGGCCTCTTGGGTGCTGTCCGCTTGGGTTGATAGGAGGTCCGAGTCGTTGTTGGCCTTGAGGAGATCGGGGCTTGACGGGCCGCGTTGACAGACACGTTCGCGGAACGACGCCCTGCTGGGACCGATCCAAGCGGATGACAAGAGCCCATCCATCATCGTACTCGTGCAGAAGGCGAACGAGATCACCAGCTCTCAATTCCATCTCGTCGTCCAATGAAGGTTTGAAGTCGAGCTGAACCCTGTGCACATTGGAGTTAGAGGGCCCCCCGGCTGCCGCAATTGCTTCTGCGCCGCTAGACGGAGGCATTGGGGCGCCAGGAGCAACAGAAGTCATACTGAACTCGGTTCCAGCAGGACTCGGTGGCATTGATCCAAGTTTTGGGGGGAGGGTGAGGTCAATATTCCGCTGCGTTTTGTCGCGCATAGAAGCCTTTCTCGTCAGTCCAACAACCCCTGCACCAGTCGCAGCTCCGCCAGCGATTGCAGGGCCATTGGCCGTAAGAGGATCGCTTCGGGAAACAGCGCCATGTTCGTAAATACTTGGTTCCGGGACACGCTCCGCTTGGTTTCCAAAGGGGTTGGCTGGGTGAGTGCTCTGACTAGTGGATGGTCGCTCCCACATGGCATTGTTCTGACTATGCGCTCCAACCGCCGCTGAAGGGTGCCATGCCATCCCAGCATTCTTGCTAGTGCGCTTGTCCAGGCCCCAATTAGGCAGAAATTGAGTGACTGGTCGCAGACTGATGCGAGGAGCGTGAGGATCACTTCGAACAGTCATGGCGTCCAACGTATTGGCATTGGTCTTCGCGTAGGACTTCTCTTCGTGGCCACCGCCTCGTTCAGCAGCCTGTCGACGACGGCGATTGAACAAGAAGAAAGCCGCCAAGCCAACGAGAAACACGCCGCCCAACACTCCAAAGGCAATGCCTGCTTTTGCTGCTGCGCTGGTACCACTATCGCCCCCTGTAGCAACCGCTGCAGAGGTTGTAGCGGTTGGAGGTGTGCTGGAAGCAAAGTTCAACGTTGGCGTTGGCGTCGGCGTTGACGTTGACGTTGACGTTAGCTGGACGCCAGGATCGATCGTCGGTGTCGGGGTGGGAATTCCGGAGGCCTGGATGAGCTCGGTCTCGTCAGCCGAGCCAGTCGAGACAGGCTTGTAAATGACGGAAGGCAGTGAGGCCTTTTCCTTTGGCTTTGGCTCGAGTGTCGTCGATGGTGTGGGCTTGGGGTCTGGTTTGTTGGCAGGGCTCGAGGCTCGAGTTGGCGCTGGATGGGAGTCTTCGGTAATGGTCGAGTAGCCGGCAATCGGTCCTTCGAAGGTTGGCGCCATAGTCTTGTAAATAGTACGAATGAGTGTTGGTCCATTGCCTATAATTCCGTGTCAGCTCCGAAAGCACATTTTTCGCGACATGTATGCAATTGCCTCTTCGCAGCAACAGATACCGCGCCGAAGCACTGCATCAGAGATGGCATTTACCTCCGCCTGTATCTCGTTGGGCATTGCTTTTCTCGTTTTTGTTACGGTTGTCGTCCCCAAACGGGTTACGAAAAAGGTCGTCCATATTGTCCAAGAGGTCACGTCTCTCGTGATGATGCCGATGATGCGAGCAAGGCATCGTGTCAGGAGCAAGTGATGAGACTCAAAAGGTGGCAAGAGATAGTAGCGCGTCTATTCCCAGCCGGGTGCATGTATTTGCTCAGAATAGGGTGGCGGGTGGCTCACTGATGGACTGGAATGCGAGGGCTGCAGGCGTCGAGGGGGACAAAGAATGTACCAGCAAACTATCGGCCCACGAGCGCGTTGAATGCGTGAGCAAGTGGTGCAATGTCTCAGATGGGCCAGGAAAACGGGTGCGGAAACAATAAAAGGAAGGACAACCAGTTGGACCAGTTGCCGAATGATGGACGTAGAATCAATGGATGCTTAGAAGCAGATGCCGTCGCCTGTCGCGGCAAGATCCCGCCGACGTGGCTGTCTGCAGAGAGAGGGTAGATTCGGGGAGCTTTTGTAAGATATTGCGAAGCGAGTGAAAGGGAGGGCCTGGCAGGCAGTAAAGAATGGAACGAGCAGGCCGAAGCTCAACAGCAGCGGTGTTGAAGAAGGAATCGCGGACGAAGTGCAAACGAGGGCAGAGGAGATGAGGAGATGGGCAGATGGGACGAACGACCTGGGAGTACGGAGTAACGTACAGAGCACTCGAGGTCGGTCGGTCGGTCAGTAAAGTTGGTTGGTTGCCGCGGGTCAACGGGCGAACGGGCGCACAGCAGGGCCACACACAGCTGGAGACGTGCTGTCGTCGGACGCCAAGACGATGATTTGCTCGAGGGGGCAGCCCTCAGTGTGATTGATGCCTGCACCGAAGCACCAAGCACGGGTCCGTTTGTCGTGCTTTTTATTAGCGTCCGCTTTGGGTATCGAATCCGTTGCCGTCCTAGTGAGCAGTTGCAATTGCATGTGTACTAGGCTCGGGAGTGGTTTTACTTAGACTGTCCTGTCGGCCGTTTGGATTTGCACTTTGTGCCCGCACAACTCCGCACCTCGTCGAACAAACAGTGGGCCTGACCATGTTTACTGTAATTGCCCACACGTGTTCGTACGGTACGGAGGGCGGAGCACCAGGCATGACATTAATTGATTATGCTACGTACTCTTCACTTGCAAATGCCGTTCCGTGGCGACTCGGCCACAGCTGCGCGTGTCTGAAATCACGTCGAGCAACTGCTCGCAAACATTGTGCAATTTCACAACCCGTGGCCACTGGCGCCGTCAATCCACGTCCAACAAGGTTAGTTAGGGGAGGGCAAACGAGGTCATCACTCACAAGGGTGTGCAGGTACCCACCCGCCCTAATCCCGAGGCGGCCAAGGGCAAGGGGTCGTCATTCGTCATTGGCGAATGCCCCGAAGTCCCTGGCGATTGCCCCAACCGAGAGTGCTAGTCAGGAACGATAATCGCTCTTTCCCGCCCTGCGCGCCGCCAGGCCATTGCCCTGGCCCAAGGGTCCCGCATTCCGCTCTGCGTCCGCTTGCGCCCTTTTTACCGAGTACTACTCCGTACATCTTCCCCTTCTCCCCTCAATTACTGGCCGGAACGGCATGATCCCGTCATGAACCTACGAAGCTGACCAGCGTGCTTTATTTCGTCCTATTCGCGGTACCGAGCACTTCACGTGGGCCTTTGAAGTCGTGCTTCCTAATAAACCACGCGTCGCCCTTCTGTGCAAGCGTCGCTGTGAACGGGCCCTTTGCACGTCTGAGCCAGTGACGACAATAGAGACAACCCTTCCAACGAGCGCCAATTGTTTGCCCCGTCATGGACAGCCCAACACTTTTGATCCTCCCCCTGCCAAGCTCAGCTCGATACATCGTAAGCCACCACCGACTTGCATGGCTGCGACAGGTGGCTCTGCAGACCGAGTGATCACGGACTGGTGGCCAGACGCACCTGGGCCTCGCAGCCATAAGAACCTCGTATCAAGTGAGCCAGGGAAGGGGGGGGAATGGTTTGAAGCACTTCGCATAGGATTGTCGGCCCTTGAAGCGCAGCTTTGTCTGCGTGGCTAACCGCCATCGAAGAATCTCCTGGCCGAGCCAAAACAGTACCCCTCATCGGCCCAATAATCTACCCACGGGGTTGGTTTTCATGATTGAGCCAGGCCTGTCTATTAATCCCCCGACAATATAGCCATACCTCGGTATGTACGGAGTATCTGGGGTCGCTTCCATGATGGAGCATGAGGCACGCCGCTCGAATTCGCTGCGTACCCTCGGACCCCCAGCCACGCCGACGACACTCAGACATCACAGACACACGGCGAAGCTAGGCAGGCCCATGAAACGCCCGCCTTCTGACTGGCGATCATTACCTCTCATAGCTAGCGTTGCACTTACCAAAGCCGATGACCACTTTTACTCCGGGGCAAGCCAAACCAGCGAAAAGGCAAGGAGACGATTCGCCAGCTCTAAACAATTCTTAACCTCACGGAGTCTAAATGTGTCATAAGTCTGGTCGCACGGTGCTCTTTCGGAAGTCTATTACGCCCGAAGCACATTATGGCAAACATGGGCGCCAGATCGAACGGGGCCGTGGCCTGTAGAACCTGATAGACACATTCGCATCGACTGATTGTCCTGTGCAGTTATAGTACTACAACGAAGAGTCCGCTCTACTCCCTCCTTTCCAGGCCATGCTTGCCTTTTCCGGGCTTCTTCTTCAGTTCCGCAAGCGCAGTCCATCCAATGTCTAGACGAGTCCTCGCATGCAGGGCCTGGCTAAGACAAGAGGGCCGTAATTGAAGGTTCATTCGTTATTCTCTCGATTCTGCAACTACTAGCACAAAACGTGCAGCGTCAGTCATCATGTCTCAGTAGAAACGCAAGTATGTTTCTCGTTCTCCATTCATTGCTGCGCGATTTGAAACACAACCGACACTCTCTATGCGCCGAGAGATGGGTGTGCTGTGTGCACATGAATCTTTTTGAAGAGCAGTCACCCGCCAGGAACAAATCACCAAGAGTCGTTGCAACAAGGACACTGGACAACGGGTGAACAAGTCGTAAGATGCACGTCTATATATTTACCATTTACACAAACACGTGTCGATGAAAATGCCACATCTCAATAGCCATGCCAGTAAAAAAAAAAAGAAAAAAAAAAGAAGGGGGGTGGATGACCCGAATCAACCAGATCCAAGGCAATGCGCCTCCGTCTCCAGGGTATATCGAATCAAAATGTTCTCCTGCGCTGTTGCAACCACAAACAAACGCATGTAGATTCCGCCCGCTACATTGAGTCTTCCATTTGTCGACTTCTCGTCTTGGACCAGTTATCTCTGTCCCGCTTGCCTCCCTGGCTTTCCAATCCCATGCCTCGCTCTACCCATTCTTTGCTCTCCATATGCTTGAGCCGACTCAATGCTCGCATAAACGCAAACGCTTCCTCTTCGCCTGCAAAGAGACCTGAATTCTTGAGCTCATCGGCCTGGCGGTCTACGTCCTCTATTATCTCCTGCACGGCAGACGGCATTCGTTCTTCCTCACCAGTGCTCTGAGGATTGTCTCGCAGTAGGGCCTCGCCAATTTCATCTTTTGAAACGAAGAGCTCCGTCAGTGGCTTTTCCGTGGTGAGGACCAGTTTCGCGTTGCCCTCGTAGACGGCGTCGATGAACGTGATGAATCGGCGGGCGAGATCGCGCTCTCTGATTGTCATTCCCGGCACACCGGTTACAATAAAGGCGTCGTATGCGCGCACAAGTTCGAGGTAGTCGGCAGCGGATTTCGGTTGCCGTATGAGCTCGTCAAATGTGAACCAGGCGCATCTGCCACTAACCTTGGGTACGTAGATTTCTCGCCCCCAAACCTTTTGCGTCTCTGAATGTGGCGGGTCGTCCGAGGAGTCTCCGAGGAAGCGAAACCATTTCTCGGCATGAGATTTGGCATGGCCGTCGAGCGGCGTGTGATATACCCCTGACGGCGGGCGGGGGATTTTCCGGTAGTCAGTGGGCGAGTCGAGATTGATGACATGCAGTCTGTTCTTCAGGAGCTTGATGGCGGGTATGAAGGACTCTCGTTGGATGCCGTTCTTGTACAAGTCATCGGGGTGACGGTTGGACGTCGTGACCAGGACGACGCCGTGGGACATGAGGCACTCTAGTAGCCTGGCCCGCGCTGAAAGTTAACCAAGAGCTCCGTCTGGCAGGGCAGCTTGGAACAGATGGTCAATGGCGTTGCGGCATCGAGACGTACCTTCGCAGAATCATGGCATCCGCCACATCTGTGCACTGAAACTCATCGAAGCACAGTACGCTTCCGTGCTCGGCAATGTCCGCTGCGACAAACGGCACGGCGTCCACGTCAGTCCCGCGTTCCGTTTTCAACTTGTGCAGCCGCTTGTGTACATCTTGCATGAAGTTGTGGAAATGGATTCGCGTCTTTGTCTTGACGGAGCTCGGGAGCGTGTCGTAGAACAGGTCCATCAGCATCGTCTTGCCACTGCCCACGTCGCCGTACAGGTACAAGCCGCGGGGCAGATCGTCGGGGATGTCGCCCACGCTGGATTGTGCTTTGCTGCCCGAGCCGAATATTGACGAGAACACTGATTTCCTGGGCGGATGCAAAGAGTCGACGCTGGGGCGCTTGACCTCGGGGGCGTGGTAGTTGCGCAGCTCGTTGTACAGGTTTTGCAGACTTTCAATGATGCCTGGGTGACGACGATGTTAGCCGTGGCCAGAAATACGGCGGAGCTCTATTCCCATTTCTACGAGACAACTCTCGAGCCTCACCCCGCTGATGGTCGTCATTTCGTAAGAGGCCGTCCTCTACCCGTCTATCATACTCTGATAAGGGGCCCCCTTTGTGCAGCTGGTCATCCGCAATGGTTGCCGCGCTTCGAAAACCTGTGTTGTATGGCGGAAGCGCAGTTGGCAGCGGTATGGGTGTCCGGCACGTCGGGAAATGCTTGATTGCTGTTGGCCGACAGCTCATTTGCCCGATGCAAGAGTATTGCTTTGCAAATCGCACGTCGCGAGAGCGGTGTAACCGGCGGGCGGTGCCCTTTGACAACGCACCGCCGCCTCGCATCGTCGAATAACTCTGTCCTGCAAGTCACAGAGTAGCAGGGCAGGCGATTTGTCTGGAATCTGCCATGAGTCGGGAGGCCGATCTGACTTGGGGAAGTTGTTCTGCGGCGGCTGCTTCGTGATTTGAGGCAGTGTTGTCCATTGTCGGCTGCTTGGTGGTGCCGATGCGGGAAGAAATGGACCTGTCCAGCCTTCAGCCGTGGAGCCCTCTGCTTCGGACGGGCAAAACGACGTCACGAGCGGGCCAACCGTTGAAGTCCATGCTAGCCACTTGTCTTGAACTCTCGGCCAAAACAATAGCCCGTTAACGTCATGATTAGCATCGCCGCGGTTGAATATTAAGCGAGATATTAAATTGAAATTGAATTACCCTAAAGTTCCATACAGCAACCAACGCGATCGATTGCCTCCTCCCTATGGCTGTCCTCCTGTTATCAAACCATCTGTTGAGCCGGGAAATTAACTTCATGAAACTTGTTCGTCACACAGGCTCTGTCGTCGACTGTGACCCAAATACCCGCGTACCTAGCCCTGAACCCATCGAGGTCTAGTTGGGCTCTTGATAGCTTCTCCCAACATGTCTAGAGCGCCGAGCGACAACGAAGACTGCATCTAGTCATTGCTGCGTCCCTCTGGAGACATGCCGGTACTCCCTGAATATATAGACACTTCTCCATTGCTAGTTCAACGTACGCGATGTCATCTGCAAGGTTTCACGCACTCAAAAACATAGCCCCCCAAGCGGTGGCCAGTGTTAGGAGAGGAACATGCAGAACACCAGCAGCGCTCTTAGCGCTGCTTCCCTTGTCCTTGTCCTTGTCATTCTTCTTGCTGTCGCCTGATTCGGAGGACTTGCTCTCGGCCACGACTCCGCCGTAGGGAGAATTGCCAGGGGTGACACCTCTGGCCAACGTGGCAGCCCGTTTCTTGTAGTCATCGAGGGTTTCTGTGCCGTTTGCATTGATCATGCCGACCATGCCCTTGGCGCATTCGTTACTTTGGGAGGAATAAAAAGCCATGGGGTCTGTGCTGTTCACTGTCACTCGGAACACCTTGTCCTGTATAAACATGTCAGCTTCCTAGTCCGTTTACATTTAATCGTCGACACGAGATCACCTACTGCTTCGCCATTTTCTGCGGGCACGTATCCAGAGAAGAAACCACTGCCCATCGGAAGAGGTGAGCAAGGATACTTGTAGTCACCTGCTACAACACTGTGGTTCTGAGATTGGAAGTGAAACTCAAGGATATCACCCTTCTTCGCTGTGACAGAGTTTGGGTTGAATGTGTTGTCGGGTTGAGCCGTGATCTTGATAGTGTCGGCCTGCGTCACGGCTACTAAGGCGCAGACTACGAACGACTTGAATAGGGCAGGCATGACTGCTGAGTCTTCTGATGATCGAAACCGAGGTATGGGAAGTCTCAAGCTGCACTTCGTTCGTCCTCGGCGAAAGGAGAGAGAAAGAGGTTTCGGGTGAGATGGCACCGAGTCTGGCCTTTATATTTGATCGTTCGTGGCACCGACTCGGCGTACGGAACATACTCGGGGATTATATGCCGAGCAAAGAAGCTGTTGCTGTTGGGCTTTATATTTTTAGCATCAATGGCCTAGTGCTTAAAGTAAGGAGTCAAGTAGCTAGGTACCCTGGAAACACGGAAAAACAAAACAAAACATGGTCCCTGCGACCGACAAAGGGGGGGGGGAGGGACAAGGCACGCAATGCGGAGTGAATCAAGTAGAACGTGGCCACCAAAACGCTGCCATGAACAAATCGTTTTTCGACACGGCCGAGTGCGCCTGTGCAGTGTCTTTTGTGGCTCAGAGCGCGCTCCTCGGCTTTCTAAAGTTAGAAAGCTGGGCTCAAATGCATCCCGTGGGTGGTTTCTGGGTTACAGAGTGACAAAGAGTGGTGGGAAAGTTACCACTTGACGGCAGGGCGCACCAGCAGCCACCGACCCATGTGCGCTCAGTGACACGAGCCAGACGGAAGGAGCTGCCCACGTGCGTCGTGTTACCCACGGCGACACAGCTCGATGTTTCCTTCCCCTGAGTCACATATTTGATATCTGATCTGGCTCAAAATGTCCATTAATAAACTATCACTTGATTACCCTGGACTCTCGGCTCAGGCACCGTTTGAACATCCTTTAACTGGCCACCCCGTGCTTCTCCAAACCATCGCACGTACTCCGTACACACACTCAAATTGGAATAATCTCTTTTATTCATGTGAGACTGGTGAGATTGCTGTAGTTTTCAGGCTGACCGACTTTTTGTCCCCTACTTTCGGTTACTGACACCCTTGCTACGGCAAACAGGGACCCAGACAACCAGGAAAACATGATCTGCGTTTGATCCCAAACGCGGAAGATCCATAGATGTTCGGGCGGCACCTGATCAATAATTTACACTGCGTTTCTTCTATGAATCCGACGAATCAACTGACCGGGATTGGGCGAACTCTAGACCTGTGAGAAGCACATTGGTTGTCCGGGCCGCGCCGCCTGACGCATCGGGCCACCAGGCCAGAGACGTTGAGTGACGTCTATTTTCTCTTTCAATCGTGATAGTTTGTCGAGAAATCGCCACATGGCGGAGCGAATCGAGACTCTATGCAAAGATAATGCGTCCTGTCCTAAGCAGCATTTTCGATTTAAACCATCGTGAACGTATTCTCAGGACACATACCAGATGAGAAGCCCTCGTTTTCGTCATTTTTTGATGTCTTTGGAATTTGTCACTGCCTCTTCGTCTTATGTGAATCTTTGCTGAGAGAGAATACATCCCAACACTTTGAGGCGCAAGAGCCCGACTGTGCAGAAAGACTTGAAATTATAGGCTCCAGTCAAATTTCACGAGCACTGGCCCAGGATTTGCAGAACGAAGGCGCACACTCAATATCGTGCCTCCCAACTGCCTAATACACCCGTTACTAGTCAACAGTTACTAGTCAATATGGCGAACGTTCCTACAGGCTAAATGGATCACCGGACCGGATATTTGACAAGAATTGGATAGGATCCAACTGATCAGACAGGCCATTTCTGTTCAGAGTCAGCCGAAGGGAGACGGAATGATACATGAGAGGCGAACCTGGTTTGATTCGAATACGATATTTGACCATAGCCACGCATAACCAACAATCAACCGAGGGCATGGAGCAAACCAATGTTCTTGATAAAGTTACGACGTTCTAGTGTGCGTCATTCTGATTCAGAACTAGAACCCGCATAGGGAAGATGAATGCTCATTTGCTCGACTATTTCATCTCATAATGTCAGGTCCGAGCCCGACCCTTTCATCTGGTATAAACGCTTCAAGTCTACTAGAGTGGCATAGGCCTATTACAGATCTGATAGCAATCTGGTAAAGAATCCTCGAATGCATGTTGTTGTATGCAATGGTTCCACTACTAAATCTGATTTTGTGGTAGTAATTATTTCCCGCGATGGCAAATCCGATACTTCAACCTACATATACGATCCAACTCCTCCAGCTTCAGAATCGACAGCATGGTCATTCCACCCCAGACCTGTTCTGATAGGGCCACCTTAATGTGACCAAAAACAGTGGCCCTGTGACCTGTCCACCAATGTGTGGTGCGCTTACTCAAATAGAGTAGAAAAATATGAACACGAGAAGAAGTTGTGTCCATGGAGCCTCTCACCTTAAAGCCCTCAGTACGGGAGAATCAGCTATACATACTATCTAGTACACACACGCTACTTAGAATCGATATCCACACCACGGACGACTGTACCCGGGTCTGTGGGGAGGGTGTACGGTCATAATCGTCGTCGGTGTCCGTCGCTCGGAAGGTTGAGTATTACACTGAGCTTTTTTGTTTGATGGTTGTTACACGACCCACGTGGCTCAGGTGATCTTGGATATGGTTTTCAATCGTACAGCAGAGCAGCAGAGACAATCAAGCCTGCGAAGAGCCTCACTCATGGTATCGATGCTGTCTATTACGCTACTGGAATATACCTAGCTTCGCTTAAGGCAAGAGTCAACGATGCCTGGAAGCAAATCCATTACAATTCCAGCCAAGTCTACGATATATCGCCCCCAATATTCTGTTCCCCTAATAACTCCCAAAAAGTTGGGACACAACAAGGAGATCTGGCAACGTGGTGCAGACGACATACTCTTGTGAATCAAGGGGATGATGTGAAGTTCGTATGTCAACTGCTCGTTAGATCTTGATTTAAGGTTTCCCATACATGCCATATCGAATCTTACATTGCTGCAGTACGGGGAGTCTCGTCTAGCCGCGCGGTCGAAGCTGGATTCCACATTACATGAATGGGTCCGAATTGGCTATGTTAACTCAGTCGCCATGAAGTGGAAATTTTGCGCTAAAGTGTGCGCAAGACATCCACATGAACATCAACACCACACGATCTCTTCGTGAACGCCGTGATCAGCAGATGCAACCAATGCAAAGAACGGAGCCGCCAACCGCTGGGAATCTTCGGCTGATCTACATCATGCCGTGATCACATTGCGAGCCCATTTCGATCGAACGAAGGGGTTTGCTGACCTCAGTTTGCTTTCCAACTGCTTGGTGCTTGATCTAATAAATTAACTAATGCATAAGCAAGCACGTCATGCCCCTGGTTTGTGCGAGGAGATGGGCCCGAGAATGTCATCAGCCGTCCTGGGGCACCTACAACAACCGCTATATGATAACTCGTCGCTGGACGGATCGTTCTGGAGCAAAATGCGCCAAGCTACAGTAGCATGTTCCCCAGAGCACATCTTCCTGGAGTTATGATATAGTTCTATCAGTCTCGCAAAATAATGCTCCACATACACATGTGAAGATCATCAAAATTGGGACGATACGCGCCTAAACTGTAAACGGATACGTGAGCACTTACGAGCCGGATATATCACCAAGGCATTAATCGAAGGGGATGGTAACAAGAATATATATTTAGCATACCTAGCGGGTGCTAATTCGAAGCTTTCCCACCCTGTGCGCTTGGCATTATGGAGCTCGAGAGGGAGAGTCGACGATTTCGCTTTACACTACGTATCATTGAGATCCGCTTGTTACTCTTGATTCTTGATGACAAAACAAGGTATTCTATGTATGGAGAACTGGGATGCTCCCGGCCCTCGCAATTTGCATGGGTTGAAGAAAAGAGCACATGTTCGTTCATATGTACTTCCCAGGTACTCTCTCTCTACACATCCGCAAACAGCTACTCTTACAAGCTACCGTTCACTGAGCATTGCATTCGATCGATCTCGAGCCGCGCAATCACCCGAGAGAGACGGACTGGTGTATATACACAAACTCGACAACTGGCGCACAAGACTTGATGCGTGTGTAAGACAGAGTCGGAAAGTCCTATTCCTTCGCTTCGTCTTTGGGACTTCAAGCTGAACAACCGGGCAATTACTACGCGTGTTGAAATGAACGAGCTATGGAGGCAGAGATATCACAGTAAGCTGCGAATGAGTCCGGATGAATTGGATAAACCGTTTCGCCAGCTTTTACGACAAGGCTAGGCAAGGGTTTGGCTGCGGTAGACGGGGGTTGAGATGACAGACTTCAAGCTGGACATTAGTCGACATCGGAAACCACCCAACCATCCTGCCTTTTGGGTTGCATCCCGCTCCTGACCCAGAGCTTTCGGACTCGATGCTTTGCCCAGAAGAGCCAACATGCCTCGTGACGCCAGCGCCCACAATGCGAGCAGGGGGACTTCTGGAAACTCTCGAGTCAGGAGGTGCCACAGTGGCGCCATTGAAGAAAGGGAAAAATTCCGACGTGGCCCCCAGGGCGGCGGCGGTACATGTGCGTCTGCTTGATCCTGTCTGTTACAGTAAGTACCAGTACCAGACTTCCCCAGGAGTACCAACCACTACTCAAAATCATGACGATATCCTCAGGGACAAGCACATTCCGCAAGGTTGCGGTCGTGCAGGAGGCTAAAATACACTAGCTGAAAAGGTATTCTGTGAAGAAGGTCGTCCCATCGCCCTGCCGTTGTTGCCTTTGCACCGTCACGCTGGTGTAAGTTTGGGCCATCTCGATGAGCTGGATGAGTACATATGTTCAAGAAGCTGGAAATGGCCCAGGACTTTCCACGAGGCTACGCAGTCTCGTTGGATCATCCTCACCGACATGTCGATGAACCCGTCCGCCCTGCGTACGGAGTAGCTGTTCGTCTCTTCCGGTGGCGAGTCACGGCGTGGTATACAACAGCTGATGTTCTCACACCCTCCCTTCGGCACACTCCTATTTCCCAAGACATCTCGGAGACTACTCTGTGAGCCAGCACTCGAATGGACCAGTGTACGGAATATCTCACATGCAGACAACTGCAAGCCGTATGTAACTTATATCTCTTCCTTTGAGGCTT